TGTTTCAATTATTTTACATTAAACATGTGACAGAATTTATGACCTGACTAGGTATATATAAAATGAATTGCTGTTCGTTAGTCTCGCTAAAACTCGAGAACGGCTGGACCGACTTGGCTAATTATGGTCTTGAATTATTTGTGGAAGTCCAGAGAAGGTTTAAAAGGTAGATAAATATGAAAATGCTCGTAATTAAATAAAAATAACATTTTATTTTTCTTTTGATGTGTTCCCCGTCGGACGGATTCCTTTTGTTTGTTTTAAGTTTATTTTATACAAAAGTTTATTTCTATTATTTTATTTATCGATTGAGGCACTACGAAGTCTGCCGGTTTAGCTAGTAATTAATAATATTTTTCCACTGTAAATTTGATTTTTTTTCTTTCATAATCAAATTTTATGAACAATGACATTAACATTTACAAGTGTTTTCGTCATACATGCCGGTTTTGAAGTACATAAATGTATACATAATGGAAAATATGTGATATATAATAATAATAAATTAAAAACCCAATGTACTGTTTGTCCAAGTGTAAGTTAATAACATACTCACTTGGCATTCTTCACATCGTCCTCATAATAGTTGACCAAGAACAAACCGGCGCTATCTTCTTTGATGTATTTATTAAAAGACATTTTTATATAGTAAAACTGTCTGTTGTTTTGACTGTACATCTTCAAAGGCTCCCGCAAGTGAATGAACAGCTTCCCATTAGTCTTATCGTACTCATACGGACGTGCTCCATTCACCAGGTCAGTGCTTCCGTCCAAGACCTTGATGGAACCGCTCCGGATGTCTAAATCCTTCGCGTCTAACTCGATCTCCCTTACATTGGCGTTCGCAATAACAGTGATCGTTATATCCCCGTGATAATAGGAATTGTCTTTGTAAATATAAGGTATGATTGTAAGTTCGTATTGTATAGGATAAACTGTGTAATTCAAGCATTCTTCTTCAACGATAAAATTCGCGTTCGAACAAGAAAAGAGAACGAACAATAACAATGCGGAAAACATTCTGAAGTATTTAAATTTAAATTTGAATTTCGGAATTGTTCTCCGCCGGAGCGTTTCTCGAAGATCGTGTATTTTTTTGGTTCGGTTTTCGCGATGGAAGCGCTTCGGCGTCGTCCGCTCTTGACGCGCGCGAAAACACTGATGTTTACAGCCCACTCGATCGAAATTGGCGCCGGCGAACCCCACCAAATCATCTTGAACTACTCCTCTCCCCCGCTTCAAGAAAGCTATAGATAAACATCGGTATTTCAATAGAACGTCAAGTGTCCGCTTATCTGGTTCAGCGCTGAGCCGTGTTTATATTTTGGTGGATAATTTGTTTTCACGGCGAGCCTGTTTGTTTTGAGGAGTGCTCATGGGTTTCCCGAATTTTGTCTTATGATCATAACTTCTTCATAATGCGTTTCTAAGAAAATTTAAAACCGTAAAGTTTCTAAGGAAAATCGAGCAGCTATTTATGAAAAGCGGGAACGTGATATTTTCACTTAGTTTTTTAAATTGTACCAAATTTTTGTGTATAGTGTTTTCGTGTAAGCCTGGGAGTCTTTTTTTAAATAAGACGTTATTAAAGCGTGTCTAACAGCTTCGATTATATCAATGCAAGGAACGAACAGGCTAGCTTTAGCGATGATTACAGAGAGAGAGAGTATTCTTTATTGTACACCAAAAAACAAATAAACAGTACGATACATTAAATACAAAAAATACAATTGGCGGTCTTATCGCTAAGAGCGATCTCTTCCAGACAACCATCAGGTGGACAAGAATCATTTGGAAACGAAATTATTATCGTTTTGATGATATTTAATTTTGTATGTAATAATATTTATTTTACAAGGTCGTCGGTCCATCTAGTAGGTGGCCGTCCCACACTGCGCTTGCCAGTACGTGGTCGCCACTCCAGGATCTTTCTGCCCCATCGACCGTCCTCTCTTCGTGTAAAAAGCGCTGGGTCTCGTTGGATGCAGGTGGCAATGGACCGGTCGCACTGGAAATCTATTGGAGAGGCCTATGTTCAGCAGTGGACGGCGATAGGCTGAAATGATGATGATGATGAATATTTATTTTTTACCTTTAAAACTATCTACGGGTCATCTGATTGTGTGTTTTCACCGGCGCTCAAAAGCTCAAAGCTTTAATGCTTTCTTGAAGACTAACAAGCGCGCTCACAGCCCTCCCGATGTTAAGTGCTTACCGGAATTTATAGTTTCCAGTATATAAATACCGTCGCCTATTTTGAGTCTTAGGTGTATAATCTTAATATGAGCAGATATTTTCATAATGTCTTCTCATTGGGTTACGAGTTCTAAAAAAAATGCTTTACTTTATTCTTTATTGTATACACCGTTTAGTACAATACAATAATTGCGAAAAGTTGTAAAATGGCGAGCTTAACTCAACAATTGAGCTATCTACCAGCTAACCGTTCTTAAAAAGGGGGAGCTCTACATAAGTGGGTATAAGAGTACAGTGGTAACAAACAAACAAACTTTATGTACAGAAGTAACAAAAAATAATAATGTATGCAGTTAAAAAACCCAATGACGTGTTGTTCGCTCGTCTGAGTGACAAGTTCATAGCGCGACTCGCACGGACAAGGTCATGTGCAATCGGTGACGTAAGCACTCGTACCGCGAATAATAAAATTATTGGTTTAATTTTAGTAGGAGGTCACAATGAAATAAAGCAGTTTGTATATAGAGTACAGTTTACATGCGCGGCTCAGTGTTAGCCCGTTACTCATGTGCGAATTCGCGCCACGGAGCGTATTGTTTTCTACTATCTGGTCGTCGCGTCCTCTTACGGGGCTTGTGACTCCCTGTCCTATTGAGGCAGGGGTGATGAGCTGCGGGATTGAGTCGGTTGAGTCTGAGTTCATGGTGGGTGGGATTCTTCTTCCTTCTTCTCTTCATTCTTCATTCTTGTCTCCTTTCTTCCTCTTCTTTCATTAACAATATTGATGGGGGAGAGGACTGTAACGGGTATGAAAAACCCCATCCCTAAAGGAGGTGGGGGGTGGGGACTAAGCCCCTAATGGAAATGAGGCAGCACCTCTGCAATACGGGGGACCCGCCAAGCGGGCAAGAGACGTGGGACTAGAGCAGGAGTTCCCAAACTTATTTTGTCTACAGCCCACTTTGAGAATAAATTATTTTTCAGCGCCCCCTTTTTTTCAACTACTTAAAATCCACTATAGTGAGAGCTCAGTCAATGTCTAAGAGTCCTTCTAGAATTAATTACAAATCGCCTCTGAAGCCTCTACACAACGCCCCCTTTTCTCCAGGGTCTCTTACCGCCCCCCTTTAAGCCTCCGAGTCCTCAACGGCCTCACAGCCGGCGAGGAGCTTTATCTCCGAACGATCGTCGGGTATACCAGTAACTCCCGTGGCAACGCCGTACCATAAGGTGGTCTGGCGTGCAGCGGGGCCATGTTGTAGAGATGCTCATGTTTTCAGTGTAGTTAATTGGTTATATTTTAACCTGCCAGCGACAATCAGATTGGATCTTATGATGACTATTCTACTTATCAAATGGACCAATGACTGCTTAGAAGTAGAAATAAGAAGGATGGCGGTATTCATAATATGCCATGTAAAAATGAATTAGGTATAATTCTGTAATTTTGCTCTTTTGTTTAATACACGATCTTGTTCATCGTGGAAGTCAATCGTGATGACCATTCCGTAGAGAAACTGCTTGATACGAGTACTAATACCGAGCATCTTATCCTACAAACCACGATAAAATCTCGCCATCTCCTTATCACAATGCTATAGCAAATACGTGCAAGCGAAATATGATAAATCGATATGACTTAAAGCTTTGTTACTACAGAAAAAAAGCTCCTCCTGGCTAAAAAGCCAACATTAACACACGCACGCACTTATATTATATAAGAACAAATCTAAACTATCTTACGCACAAGGTTGACTTTAATTCAGAGACTAATGTAAATAGCTGATAATGAAGTCAGGGCCACAAAATTTTACTTTTAATAAGGAAGCAAATTAAAGGCTTTCTCGCTCATTACGTAATGTTCGTGCATTCCTATATTTATTCCATTACGTTTATTATTAATACATGAAATACTACCCTGAATAGGATCACCTTATCTCTTCTTGTAGATGTCATAAAGAGTGACAGAAGAATTCTTCGATGAATGTGATTATTGCCCTAGTCAATCGAAATTTACAAATTCTAGGGCTTTTTTTTGCTTAGATGTATGGACGAGCTCACAGCCAACCTGATATTAAGCGGTTACTACTGGAGCCCATAGACATCTACAACGTAAATGCGCCACCCACCTTGAGATATAAGTTCTAAGGTCTCAGTATAGTTACAATGGCTGCCCCACCCTTCAAGCCGAAACGCATTACTGCTTCACGGCAGAAATAGGCAGGGTGGTGGTACCCACCCATGCGGACTCACAAGAGGCCCTCCCATCCTAACGAATTGTTGGTGCCTGCTCGAGTTGGATCACCTATGGCGTTTGCCGTCGAATAGTCATCCAGTTTTAAGGATATGCTGTCTTTCTACAATACTGTAGGGACTTCGACGATACTTCTCGAAGTAGTCTCCGACATTTAGATTGTCGTGTCTGTGAATTATGTTACTTATCATCGAATAGACCGTAAATCCGTTCGTCATTAAAAATAAATTAAAATTAAAATGATAACAAAAGATTTTTGTTTACATTCATTAACTTTATTTATAGTTAAATTACAGATATTATTCACGTCAGCATGAAAACTCCGACTCTGGTAGTGATAAGAATATTTTTCAGCAACCGAGCGCGTTCAGCTCTACTTTGAAATTTAGTGCACATAATAGTGGAGAAGTATCTCTTCTTAAACTTACAAATAATACGTTATTATTACTAACCAACTATAGGAATAGCTTAAACAAAAATAAATACGAATTAGCTAAAATAATGTAATAATAAGATTTGACTGAACAACTATTTCAATTATGATATTTGATTAAAATTTAAATAATACTACTACAATGCTCAAAATGAAAAGAATCAGAGATGGCGCGTTCACCGAAGATCCGCTCTTCAAAGCGCTGACTATTTCTTCCCGATGCTTCTTTGACCAGTCCGAGGCAGCCCGAGCGCCACTCAAAGCAGTTCTCGCACTTAATTTGCTTTGTTCAGTGCATTCCGTGCAAATTGAGAGCCAGGTTTCCATCTAAAAAACAAATACCGATCGTCAATAGAAGATTGCGACTTTTGCGACTGCGATTTTTTTTTACTACTCTACGTGAATACGATAATTCTTTTCAACGGTCAACGAACCCAAGTAGTTATTGCAGCCATCTCATCCCAAATTCACCTTTACTGCCCGGAAAGAGCTTTTATTTATTTATTGCTTAGGTGAGTGGATGAGCTCACAGTCCACTTGGTGTTAAATGGTTACTGGAGCCCATCGACATCTACGACGTAAATGCGCCACCCACCTTGAGATATAAGTTCTAAGATCTAAAGTATAGATACAACGGCTGCCCCACCCTTCAAACCGAAACGCATTACTGTTCACGGCAGAAATAGGCAGGGTGGTGGTACCTACCCGCGCGGACTCACAAAAGGTCCTACCACCAGTAATAAATGGTAACATAAATAGTAAAAAATAAATGGGCACATATACTTCATTAATGCTTCGCGTAGAAATGGGTAGATTTACTAATCCGTGAAAATTAAAACTAACTAGTAGTAACTAGTCTCTATCATCGCAAAATTATACTTAATACGATAATATGGAAATATTTAACAACTACAACTACAGGATTTGAATCTATTTCCCTAATAAAGCTTTTTAAAAGATAAACACAAAAAAAATCCAATAGGGCATTTGAATAAGGCAATTAATTTTATCGCAAACTTTGATGAGGACTTCGTCTGACCCGAATAAGTGTTCGTCAAACACTTGGCTACGTACATATTCATTAGTGCCTCTTGTTTGTCGTCAACAAGGCTAATGACGGGTAACGACCCCAAAACGCTGAAGGACTGCCCCACAAATTAGCAAGTATTCGACCACAAAGCGAATTCTGCAGAAGACTTAAACTTACATCCGTAAAATCATCGTCTGTATGCAAAGCCGCTGCTACAGTGCTTAAAATTGTGTCCATTGATGTGTGACTGAAATTGAAGGTTAACACAATTTTTTAAATACCAAACACTATAAATTGATTGACTCCGTTTAAGATGTTCAGTTTTGACACCATGCAGATGTGGTAATTGGAGCATTTGCTGTAGATTGTTTGAAAGAAAAAGAAAATTTAGCCTTTCAAGGAACCCCAACCCCATTGCTCATTGTTCAGCTACTCTTACATGATCTTATCAAATTAAATATGTGGTTTTAAGATATTTGGTATTAGTTGTGTTTTTTATTTATTATTTATTTCTTAGTCAAAGCTCACGGCCCATCTGATAAGTGGTTACGGAACCCAACAGACATCAATGGCGTTAAAGCCGTCACCCACCGTGAGATACAGGTTCCAAGTCTCAGTTCTTTGGTGCAACAGTTTTTCCACCGTTCAAACCAGAACACACTACAGCTTACTGGCAGAATCAGTAGGTTGGTTTTACGTACCCTTGCGAGTTCACAAGATGCCTTACCACCAGTAATCACGCAAATTATATTTTTTAAGGATTTGATTTTTATTACACGATGTTATTCCTTCATAGTGTAAGTCACTCGTGAACGTGCGTTAAGGACATATTTCATTAGAAAAATTGGTACCGACAGTCGCGCTGCTCGATATGAATGCACTAAGAGGCTTATCCTTTACGCCACGACGACTTCTACAGTGTGGGTAAATCACTTGTGACACAGTTGACCCTAGCTTTTGATTTTTGAAGGTGCAACTTTTTTTTTCTATTAAAGCCTAAAAGCCTTAAAGTCCAGATTATTTCCAGATAGACTAATTAACTAAGACGGTTAACAATTGGTCGGTCTGATGCTGGTGTGCACGTCACTCCGCAGGTGCCGGCGGAAGATCAGCGCCGCAGTACCGATTGTTTAGTTACTGTTAGGCGTTGCTGAGCCGGTAACCCTTTCCAAACCTCGTTATCTTTCTTATTTTTGTTTTTATTTTTCGTACCTAATTTATGTTTAGAATAAATGTTTATTATTATTAACTAGCTTTTGCCCGCGACTTCGTCCGCGTGGAATAGTTAGCGTAAGCCTCAAAAGGGAAAAATACCCCGATTTTGAAACATTCTTGCTCCGCTTGGTCCTATTGGCCCTATAAGTTTTAGCGTAATGTTATAACCTATAGCCTTCCACAATAAATGAGCTATCTGATACTGAAAGAATTTTTCAAATCGGACCAGTAGTTCCTGAGATTAGCGCGTTTAAACAAACAAACTCTTCAGTTTTATAATATTAGTATAGATGTGTGTTAGTACTTGTTGAAAATTTGAGAACAACAAAACCGATAAACCTACATGGAACTCCACGCGCTGTAGTTCTGCTTCAAGCTGTCCATTACTATGTATATATGACTGTGGTTAGACAAGACGCCGGTCAGTGGAACAGTCAGATCTTGTGTCCTTATTGGACTGTTCTCTTCTTTAACCGAGAAAAGGAATCTAGAATAACAAGTACATGAATAGTCAATTATTTATAATTATTAATAAAACCCTACAAAACATATTAAAATAAATTCGATGCTTTTGTGGCTAAGTTTTGAGTATAATTTTTAATTGAGGATTTTCCATACGACCACTTTGTCAAAGAGAAAACAAGTTGGAAATAAAAAAACTAAAAAGCACCAACCTTAGTTTTTGTTAAAGTTAAGGGTTTTATTTATTTATTTTTTACTGTTTAAGTAAATACAAGTACTTGAATTAAATTGATTTCTCTAGAGCATGTTGGCAAACTAATAACTTTATGTACCCAGTTCGTTATTCAGGACCTTTGCAATTAGCTCCTTGATTTAAACCAAAGTACGGCTAAAAACTCAAAAAATTCCAAATTCATATGCTCACTTCTTCAGACTTCCTTCATCTGTGCTGCAGCCTAACACCCCAGAGATGACTCTGGCTTCATTAGCCACATTGGTCGTTGACATTCGCTCCCAAAGAAACTCGTAGTCGGAGGCATCGCCGAACCGAAGACCACTGCAGTAGGTGACTGGTCTTAAACTTGGCGAAACGCTGAAACAAAGTAAAAATATATATCGACTCTTGAAAAGCAAACGTGACTAACTGCTTTATACATAAATGATAGGCAATAACCATATTCGATGCGCAAAAAATATATATTTCTAGGTGTATTAAAATCATTGCAATCCTACAGCTTGATTCGTTTGGGAGGATTAAGCGACGAAAGGAAAGATCTTCCACCGAGCGGGTGATATTGCTCGGTAGACCGACGGTCCGAACGTTGTATGTGCGCTTTATCTTGAAAATGTCGTAAGCGAGATTCAGGCCATTTGCGAGATTTTGATTCAGGAGGTCAAATATCTTGTGTTCTGTAATGACTACCGCCACATTCGTTAAAATAGAATTTTTTCAGGTATTTCAACTTTAAATTAGTCTACTGTAAAGTTCACGCATTGTCGCTTAGTCACGTTTGCCTTTCAAGCGTCGATATATATACACACAGTAATTAAGTTCTAAAATGCTTTTAAATACATCAACATCACTGTATTAGCTGTAAAGTAAAATAATCCTTCCAAATTCAACTTGCTTACCTACTTAGATATTCCTTGCTTACCTTCTTAGAATAGTATTTATAAGTTCTCATGTCATTTTAAAAACAGTGAAATGAAAGTACCTTAATTTGCTAAATCTGTGTATCGACAAATTTAAACAGCAACAGCTAAAAGCTGCGGGAAACAGACCAACGCAAAACACTGAAAGATCTGATGAAGAGCCAATTTGCACATCAGGTCACGCATCTGAACTAGTATTGTTGAAGAAATAATCATACCTAACTCCAGTATCTTTAAACCGCTTAAATGCGGACACAGTATTTTCAATACATCCCTGATGACCAATTTTGCATGCAAATTCCAACAACTGCAGTCGGTTTGTTAGTGTCGAGAAATCATCTGTAGCCCTCACTTCGTACCCAATCGTTGTTATAGCATTATCAATAAACTTCAGCGCTAATCTCTGTAAGCATAGTATTTTATATTGTTACTAGTTGACCCGGTAGACTTCGCAGTGCCTCAATCGAAAAGTAAAAGACCTAAACTTTTGTATAAAATAAACTGAAAACAAACAAAAGGAATCCGTCCGACGGGGGACACATTAAAGGGAAAACAAAATAAATTGTTATTTTTATTTAATTCCGAGCATTTTCATATTTATCTACCTTTTTAACCTTCTCTGGACTTCCAAAAATAATTCAAGACCAAAATTGGCCAAATCTGTCCAGCTTTTCTCGAGTTTTAGTGAGACTAACGAACAGCAACTCATTTTTAATAATGACAAACTTTGTTCGCACTTTCATCATCATAGTCGGTTACTGTTGGCAGAGCAGGTAGTGGTCATGTGGAATCCTTGTTTATTAAAGCCTTAACAGCTGTTCTCGATAGTTCGTGAACTAAGGCTTGGCGCACGTACTCGTTAAGTGAGCTTTTGATAAAGATTTTCATCTGATCAGTCATAAGAAGCTAATAATAGTACTACACTGTCCTATCTTTTTTTATTCCTTAGATGATTGGACAAGCTCACAGCCCATCTTTTGTTAAGTGGTTACTGGAGCCCATAGACATCTACAACTTAAATGCCGCCACCCACCTTAAGATTTAAGTTTTAAGGTCTCAGTATAGTCATAACGGCGGTCACACCATTCAAACCGAAACGCATTACTGCTTCACGGCAGAAATAGGCGGGGCGGTGGTACCTACCCGAGCGGACTAACGCAAGGTCTTACCACTTGTTAGGATTAGCAAAAGCATAAAATACCCAATATAGTTCCGAAATACTAATAAAAGAAAAACAAATGAATGATTAATTGTGACTATTGCATTCAAAGAGCTAAGTATTGCTTGAATGAAATGAATAATGAAAAAAAAAAGTTACAGATTCGTAATTGCAAACAAAAATTGATAAGGATGATTTGAAGCAGTTAAAAACAGATGTTGATTAACAGTTGAATCTCACCTCGATGTGTTCCAGAGCGGAATCACCTAGGTAACTGTTCCATAGTTTGTTCAAGCCTTTGATAGCTGCAAACCACACTGCATTTTCAGTTTCTTCTTTTAAGAATTCCAGGGTTTCGATTAGAAGACTAAAGCTGACCTCATCAGCGTAATATAGATCGAAGAGATCGTTGACTATCTGCAATTTTGACATAAAACTATAGCACCCTGTGTTAGTGTACCCATAACGACAGTCTTAATTGCGGATTTTTATTTTATGACTTAGGATATAGACCACATTATACCTTGAATTAAAAATATCGACGTATGAAAGCATATTTGCTGTAAGTAGACATATTGCAATTGTTCAGCAGAGCCAAAAAACTTTATTAATTTCGGAAAAAAATTAATAGTGTCTGACCTATCCATGATATTGCTACCATTTTTGGAACATAGGTTTATTTAACTGCCAGTCACCATTTGCAATGTAAACTTTTTATCCAAAGTTACTATAAGTACATGTTTGGCTAGTTACAGCAAACAGTTTTTTAAATCACATACCTTTAAAACGCTGTAACTAAGGAAGGAAAATGTACGCATAGATGGAAATATTATTAATTTACAGGCGGTAAATATGCTGTATGCAGTAAATTTATTTATTTGGGTACTGCAATTCAAGATGTAAGATTAAATTTATAATTATGATTAGATCTAGAAATGCAGTGGGTCAGTTGGTAATGTAATGTTTGATTAAAATAAAACGTCGTAAATGGTAAAAAAAATATTATGGTCATTTAAATTGTTGAAACAAAATTTTAAACTCTTAATTATACTGCCAGAACTTCGCTTCAACAATACAATGAATTAAAAAGGTATTTTTCTCTTATATATAAGACATAAAACATAAAAAAATAAAATATACAAAACAAAAACAAAGGCCCTAACACTAGTTAGGAACGCAAGATGTAAATAAAAACATTGTATCCAATCAAAAAATATTTATTTAGAAGTAAAAAACAGACACTTAGTGGCAATTTGTCTTATTTTAGAAAGAAAGATGTAACAAAATACAATTATAATTGAAACTTAACACGAAGACATTGTGTCCAATCAAAAACATATTTAAGGAAAAGTAAATAAACCAATGATGTTAAAATTATGCTATCGCGAATCATTCACTTTTTTTTTCAGTCATCTTCATCGGTTTCAGGTAAACAGTCATTTGTTTTACAGCTGTACTTAAAACCTAAATATTCTTTGGCGTACATATTTGGAATCACTTTTTTCTCCACTAATTTTTTTAAGTCATTATATTTTTGTTGGGATATTGGTAACTTAGTCGAATATAAATTTGATTTCGGCATTGCACTATTGAGGCTGCTCAATTGAACTTCAATTGTTTCAGTTAGTGGCAACATTGAGTTTTTCACATACATCACATTTGGTTTACACCTTTTAAATGTAACCACATGCATCTTTGAAATATTAATTCTTTGGTTTTTCTTAAAAGTATTATTTGTTATTTCTTCAAATCCCATAAAATTTGGTCCTTCAAGTGTGGTTACTTTGTAAGGAAAGGGGTTCTTCCTGGCTATTCCTACAATAGTAGGCCATTGAGATGGAGCCCATACTATTGTATTCTTCACTGCTCGTTCTATCACAGAATGCATGCTATCTACAGGCATATATGTATGGCCAGGGATCAAGTAGTTCATCTGAATAACTTCAAGATTAGCACACCTAGATAATGCAAAGCGAAACATAGATAAAACGGTCTTATTTTTGTTTTGTCCGTAGCAGGAATCAGAATACAATAATAAGGTCTTAACTTTAGCTTGAGAATCAACTTCCATTATATAATTTAGTAAGCATGTCGATATCTCATTTGCTCCACGATGGGCATCTGTTTCATTCCATATATTACAGAGCCCTACCTGCGTGTTACTTTCATAAACTGTGAAATTATACACTGATATTTTTCGGCTATAATAAAGGGCCATGTTGTCACCGTGTGGAGTATTAAGCACTTTCTGCATGTCAAAGCTGGCACAGATAACACTTTTGTCTGCCTTGTTAAGATCCTGATGACATAAAAATCGTTTGTATGATTCTTCTTTTTCTTTTATGTGCTCGGTTAACTTATTCATTTCCTCTTCAGTTTTCACCTCGAAGGTTTTTGTGGCCATACACTGAACACATTTATCCTTTTTTGGGATATGGAAGCCAATATTGAAAGTACTACGAAACCATTTTGAAAAAACTTTAAAAGACATAGGTTTTACGTTTTCATCGTTGCAGTGCTCTTTGTAAATGTTGTACAAGTTAGTCATGTTTTTAAAATTTTCTGGCAGGTACAGTCGTGTGGAATCTTTGCGACAATAATGAGAAGGCAATAATGGCAAAGACATAACAAAAGATTTGGCTTTGGCGATGACTTCCGGTGATGTTTTATTATGACCACCGTTTTTACCTCTTTCGTCAAGTTTGGAAAAATTATCTATTGAATTTTGCAGTGTATACAAAATAAATCTCTGCGTCACATCGAAAGTCGCGATCAGAAATTGTTGGCAGACCTTTCTCCTTCCTTCTCCTTCATTAATAAAATATTCATGTGTGATGCTCCGCCTGGACACTCCGCTATTTTGTGAGATGTGGTTCTTAACACTTTTTTTATGACAGCATTGAGCAATCCAATCTTTGCGCCTTTGCGTACACTGAAGATTCCAGAAATAGTTAAATAAGTTTGTACGCCGTTCTTCGGTTATGTTTTCACAGTTATTTCTACATTTTTTGCCAGTACATGGGTTTGGTTTCATTTTTTTTTCCTCAATAGGTTTTCCTTTTCTAGTTAAATATTGTTTCCCTTTTTTCTTTTCTTCTTCATTTTCTTTTTTAATCAATGCTTTTGTTTTATTTTTTTCTATATTTATGTGCCTATGATTTCTCTTTGTTTTTATTTTGTCTTTATGTTTGCCTTGCTTGTTCTTATTTCTTTTTGCAGTTTTAGTGTGTTGATCTCCATCTGCCATCTCGTCAGATGACTCTTCCACTTCACTCCAATCTGTTGAGTCATCTGATGGAAAAGCTTCATTTAACAATAATGTATCCGCATCGTCCACATAATCAAGATAACATTTATCAAAACTTAGTTTTTTCTTGCATATTTTAGGATTTATCCTTTTGGTGCCTCTGTTCTCTGTTATCTGAATTTTGTTTGTTTCAGGGGATGATAAATTATTTCTAAACTGTATCTGCACCACGTTGCTGTCATTCGTTCTAGGGAACATTGATAGACTTGGAGATTCTATTGACGCTATATTGCTCTCAATTGCAGAACTGTTTTCAGAAATAAATTGCATCTGCACAGCGCCATTTGTAGTAGTACTTATGTCAGGAACCAGAGAATAGCTTGAAGATGTTACCTGCACTACATGGCCCTCAATCGCAAAACTCGTTGAAGGTACTAGAGATGGACACCGAAACTGTAGCACGTTACCTTGAGTAGCAACACTTGTATCAAGAACTGGAGACGGACATTGAAGTTGCGTTTTCACGTGGCTCTCTATTGCTGCATATCCTCTAAGACCGGAGGGTAGACTTTCAGGGTCCATCAATTTTACGTTGCTTTCGATCATAGCTCTCTTCTCAGTAGCTGGTGATTTACTTTGAGGCTGTTCCATATTGCTCTCAACACCACTACCAAATTCTGGGATAGAATAGAGACATTGGGTTTTGATTTGCTTACCATCATTCTCAGCTGGAAAATAGGCTTTACAAGCTGTTAAATGTGGAATACTTTCATCCAAAACATCTTCATTCTCAATGGTTACAGTAAAATCTAATTTAGCATGCTTACTAATACATGTTTCGTGGGTGATTTCGCAATCTGTATGCAAGTCTGTTGGGATTTCCGTCAAGCCCGAAGCTTGAAGCGGTGGCGGTAAAATTTGTCTTATTATGTGGTTGGTTGCAGTCATGTATTTTTCTGGGTTTCGAAAAGTTGGAGTCAAATCTTTGCTACTAGTCATGTCCTCTTCCAAATTCCTTGTATGTCGAGGTGTCGTATTGCAATTATTTTGCGAAAAATTATTAGATTCATCGGTCTGTGATTTTATTTTTTTGTTGTTCAATTTCGAAGGAATTAAATTGCCTTGTAGGTATATTTCGTTGCTTAATATTTGTATTTTAGGTTTTTTTCTTGAATTCTCTTTAACAATGTCTTCTTGAAGAGGTCTCAATTCGTCCATCCATTCCCTGCGTTTCGCCATCTAAAATAGGCAAGGCAGTTATAAAAAATAAAAAATATCTTGTTACCCTCGTTGGCCTAGTGATTTTGATTGCTGATTATAGGTCATGAGGTTCCGGGTTCGATTCCTGGCTATGGCAAAGTGTAATATTTGGTTTTACTGTTGTGAAACTTCCTCAATTGCAGCTCGTAACCGGGTTTGTGCTCGCCGAATATTGGTTGGTTCGCCACCAGTCACATTGGAGACTAAATACGTCGGTGAAGTTCCTACTCCGTGGGGGATTACAGATGTGACGATATTCATAAAAAATCAGTAGAAGGACAAGTAAATTGATCATTTTTATACTTTGAAACTACCTAGAAAAAAAGCTTAAACCCAATTATGGCAGATTACAAATTTCTTTGCTTGTATTAGATAGCTTCGATTAAAATACAATACGTAAATACTAATCGACACTTAATAATAATCATTCAGAAATTTACTTACGTTTTCGTTATAAAATACTCAGGTCCAATCTAAATCACACCACTTATTACGGACACTCAGCACACACGACGTTTCAAATCAAATGCCACGCTTATAATGGGACATTAACAGAATGTCGTACAAGGAATGAAGGGTGCGGGCGGAGCCGCTAGCGATGCGGTAACACCGACACAACTTCAAAGTACTATAATTTTTTCAATGGCGTAACGGCAAAATGAATTGATAAATGATTTATCAAAATGCATTATCTCAAATTTCTAAAAAATCACAGGTTTTTAAAATGCATTATGTGGTGTAAGCTTTTAAAGCAAATACGTGACGATTTGCTGTAAATAACAAAAACTAAAATTGTAGATTCCCTAAACTTGCTGTAAGTAAAGGAATGTAAAAATCACACGCCGCAGAAATGCTGTAAGTAGCATTAGCGTTTTTAAATGGGAAGAAGTAAGTATTTGTAAGGCAAAAAATGCAGTCTTTCTTTTGCTGTAAGTACAAAATATCTAAAATGACTAGATTTTGGTGTACATACAGCATTTAATCTTGCTAAAAAAAAATTAAGTACGGGCGTTTTCAGCGGCGTATGTAATTTTTTTTTTCATCGTATAAACACAGGACCCGGGTCATTCGATGCGGCTTTTTTTTCTGATTCTAATGGTACTTACTAAAAAGTCACTTTAGGTATTTTGTCTACTTACAGCAAATATGCTTTCCTACGTCGATATATAGAACTGAAATATGATTGTTAATTAAAAAATGAGATTCAAATTAATTAAATCACATCTTTTCAACTTGTATCTATTGTTAATTGTACAGATTAATCAATGCAAAAATGTTTCATACTTAACATATTATTATGTACACTAAATGTTATAATAGCTTTAAATTAAAATTTGCATCGAATGTTTTATGAATTTTTCAGTATTATTACAACTTTATAGTTTTACTTATTTTAATTTGGAACACTAATAAATGTCATGTAAGATTTTATCAGGAGATGTCACTTACTTTAGCGCGATTAAGATGATGTATTTTTTCTCGACTGGATCCTTTCAGAGCACCACCTATATGCTTCCAGGTGTGCTCATCGTAAGTTACTCTGTAGAAACCTGAAAATACCAGTACATATGAATGAATGTATATTTTTTTTGCTAACTATGCTGATAGCCTTGAGAGGCTATTTCAGTTTCACCCTAACATGTGTAGGTGAGCTCACGGGGCTCAAACCGGAGTGTTGCTAACACTGACCCTAGCAAGAGCAGTGCTTCGCAGAATCTACCACCGGATCGGAAACGCGACCCACTGAGAAGATCCGGCGAGAAACTCAGTGGGCTATGTCTACGGGTTAATTCGCTCGTCGAGCCCTTCGTCGCCAGCGACGGGTTCGACGAGGACGGTGACCCAGAATGAATGAATATCGATAGACTTGTAGAGCCAAAATGTATTACATCTGAGATCTCCACTTTAAGTTTTCGGTGGCTAAATTCAATATGTGATGTGTATAGATTAATAATAACATTAGGTAGACTGCAAACTCCTTAGTCCGTCTACTATAGTAATTAGAGCGATAAGTTCTAAAGTTAGTTAACAATATTTAAGGTATTTTAGACAAATCACCTGTCTCCTGAATGTTGAATATTACCCAAGTATGAGTTTTGCTGATGTTTGTAATTTGGAACTCATGTGTCTTCCCCGTCATTACGAAAACTGGTTTGGTGTTCTCGAAATCAGGTGATTGTCCGGTCGTGTAAGTTATTGGGATGCTGTACGTTTCATCCGATGAGTGCGAAGAATTGATGTAGAATCTTTTCTAAAAAAAATCAATAGCGTCTTTACATATAAAAATACGGGATGCCGGTAAAAATTTTGTTAATTCTCCATTCAGTTGGAGTAACAGGTTGATGCATCTGGAATTTTCTGCACGGAATAGCATGCTGCTCGGTTGCTGATTCGGTACAAGTGCCAAACATAATATGGGCTTCCAAAGAACAGCGCCCAAACAAAAAATTATTATAACTTGCACTGTAACTGGACAGCAATAGTAAGCTGCTGATGATGCTAATTTGATTTTATCAAGTTCTTCTAGAATTTTCTGCACGAATTAGCATGCTGCTCAGTTGCTGATTCGGTACAAGTACCAAACATAATATGGGCTAACGAGAACAACGAAGAACAACGCCCTAACAAAACAAAAATCATAATTTGCATTGTAACTGGACAGCAATGGTAAGCTGTTGATGGTTCTATTTTGATTTTATCAAGTTCTTCCAACCGAATTCCTGTATTTTAAAACCTCTGGGTGCTTGCTGGGAACTTGGCTTGGATGTCCTGAATAATTTATTTGTTCGTTCGAGACTATACCGTCTTTTTATTTTGAACATCCGACCACCTGCCTCCGTAAATTGGTTCATTTCTAACCTGTCCATGTCCACCCCTATATCTATGAAACTATTTCAAATCTTCATAGACAATACCTTTCGTGAAGGCATTTTTCTTTAGATGACATATTTCATTCTACGTACCATTCTACCATATTTACCGATAAAAAGAGTTCATAAAGAATCTTTAGTAGTAAACAGAAGCATCGGTCATATCAATCGGACTTCATACCTTACTTGTCACTTTAGTTAGTTAGCTTTCGCTGTAAATGTATCAAGCTGCCTATTAGACTTATTAGGAAATATTACCTGAGTTAGAGTTACAGTGTCATCGGTGTAGTTAACATGGACGTGAAGCAAAGGATGGCCTGCTTGAGTGATCCAGGTCTTCATTACATCGGTAATGCTGATTCCGGGGTAGGAAGCTAAGGAGTTGTTATTCTTAACGCCGTTCTCTAGAGCTGAATACAGCAACTCTGGATATCCTGAACCGAATCGGCTGTTGAAAGGTTTTTTATTACTATTAATCGACAGTCGCGGCCACGGCCTATCAGATATTAATTATTACCAAAGCAGATAGACATCAAAAAGTCAATGTCGACATAGATTTGATGAAAATCAGAATCGAATTGCCTTAACAAATGTCCCACCCCAAGAAATGGAACGCACAACTGCTCTGCATGACAAATAGGTTGGGTGGGGTATCTTCCTCTGCGAGTACCATCAGTAATAACGTAGATACAAATTATTTTAACAGAATGCGATATTTTCATCGTGGAGATGCTTTGTTTAAGAAGCAGTCGTTTCTAGATTTAATCTTACCACTTTATTCGTGTAACATGGGATCAATAATACAAGATTTTATTAATACTTTGGTTATTCGTATTCGTATGTCGTATCACTCTTGTCAGAGCGGTCGTGGTCGTCATCTAGCATCATTGCTGTGGGCAGATGCTATACGCCTCATTAGCAATCGCCACTCCTGCGGTTTGTGATGAGCCTGGTACACTCATGCAAACAGCCGCCAACTGCCGACTTGATCTGGTCGGTCCATCGCATGGGCAACCTTCCACGCGGTCTGGTGCCTTCTACTTTGCCTTTTCTTTCTACTTTTTTTTTTATTGCTTAGATGGTTGACGAGCTCACAGCCCACCTGGTGTTAAGTGGTTACTAGAGCCCATAGACATCTACAACGTATATGCGCCACCCACTTTGAGATATAAGTTCTAAAGTCTCAGTATAGTTACAACGGCTGCCCCACCCTTCAAACCGAAACGCATGACTGCTTCACGGCAGAAATAGGCAGGGCGGTAGTACCTACCCGCGCGGACTCACAAGAAGTCCTACCACGAGTAATTACGCAAATTATAATTTTTGCGGGTTTAATTTTTATTACACGACGCTGTTCCTTCACCGTGGAAGTCAATCGTGAACATTTGTTGAGTACTTATTTCATTAGAAAAAATTGGTACCCGCCTGGGATTCGAACATCGGTGCATCGTTCAACACGAAAGCACCGGACGTCTTATCTTTTAGGCCACGACGACTTAACTCACTTTGGTTAACAGACCAAAAATCTTACTTTACGTCCAAATACTCGTGCAGTGCGTATTTGAAAGCGACGTCGCCAATGAAATGATGCATCATCCGGATCACGGAACCGCCCTTCTGATACGTGATCGTCCCGAAGTGACCGCTGATTTCGGCTGGTGAATTCACGTCGTTGTTCGTGATGGGCGCCGAAGACGGAGAATTATCAGCGCCGTAGGCCGAATACACTGAGCCTATGACCAGTTGATTAGCTGAGCCCACTTCTGGTTCAATCTGGAAATACGAAAAAGCATCAGAGCATATATTTTTTTATTGCCCATGTAGGCAGACGAGCATACGGCCCACCTGATGGTGAGTGGTTAGCGTCGCCCATGGACTTCAGCAATGCCAGGGGCAGAGCCAAGCCGCTGCCTACCGCTTAATACTCTCCACAAGCCTCTTTTTAAGAAGAACATGTCATAGCGCTCGGGAAACACTTTGGAGGGGAGCTCATTCCATAGTCGATAGCTCGATATGTGCTTCAGATCTAAGAGAAATCTCCTAGAAGGCTTTAAGTACATACATAAGTTTTGTTAAATCGTAGATAAATAAAGTCCACTTATATAGCAAAGGTTTCCGTTACCCAGAGAACTTAACAATGCTAGAGGCACGTAAAATTTGGTAAATCTTCGTCTTTCCAGAATTAAATGTGCTTGCAGGATTTGAACTCCAACACCACTCGATACGAGTACATTAGGGGTATTACCTATTGGACTTTCCAGGTTATTGTATCATGTTTACGGCGCATTTACGTTGTAGATGTCTATGGGTTCCAGTAACCACTTAACACCAGGTGGGCTGTGAGCTCGTCCACACATCTAGCCAAAAAAAAAATACATATATGAAAAAATATGAAAATTAAATTTCAAGGCTAATTTTATGTGTTTGAGATTTTACAATATTTATTCTAATGTTTAGTAATATCTTAGTATTTTATTTAAGATGCAAATATTATTATATAAATGTGTAATCTAGTATATACACACGACTAACATGAGAATATTATGTTTACAAGAATCTTTCAACCAATTTCATCACAAGACAAAAAATCTACATTATATGTATTGGGTATTACAGAGAAGTCTAAATTTTTCGTATTAAAATTAATCAATACACGAAACATTTTGAAACATTCTAAGGAGCCAAACTTTTCGACATATACATATAAATCCAAAATAATCTGTATGTATATTTTAGCATTGACTAGCTTACGGTCTACAAGATATAGCTTTTAGAAGCCCATAGACACCATGGATGCTGCTAGCTACCTTGAAACATATGGTTCAAGTCTTAATTATATTTAAGGGCTATCTTGCCCTTCATGCCCGAATACACGACTACTTCACACCAAAAACAGCAGGACGCAACGCCGACGATCTCGCAAAACGATCTATGACCAGGAAAAATAACCTTCCTTAATTAGCTTTGCCTAATGAAAAACATACAGAAACGTTGTACTTACAAGCGCAGTGATGTAATCTTGGAAGTAATTGGCAAAGCCCTCATTCAGCCAAGTATTGCTCCACCAGTGACACGTTACCAAATTACCAAACCACATATGCGTGGTTTCATGAGCTACGATTTGAGCAACTCTGTACTTGTAATACGGGGTAGATTCCTCTGGCACATATAGGAGCAATGCTTCCCTACAAAGTGAAGTTAGAAGTTAGTGATCCAGTATTAAGCTAAGATAAGCTAAGATGACTCGTGATAATTAATCAAAATCAGTTCTTTATTTTGAATAGCGTCCTAATCATCAGCTATCTTAATACCAGCTGGGCCACTAACTTGTTCAACCAATTATGCCAAAACAGAATCTTCTGTACCTTTTCCATTCAAAAGTTGCCTAAACAAAATATTTACGGGTTTATTTCGGTGCTTTGTTTGGGCAGATAGATGGAGAAAAAATTTACCTGTATTTGACCAAACCCCAGTTTTCCATTGCACCAGCCCTAAAATCTGGCAGAGCCACATGATCCAGCTTCAGATTACTGTCGACTGAGTAATAGTCGATACCATAAAAATCACTCAAAGCCTTCTCTACTCTGGTGCCGAAGTCAAATGTATAAGAGCTCTGGTTAACTGCTTCCGGTCTGGTGTAGATTGCAAACTCTCTTCCATTTGTAGAGTCGGCTAGGGCTGCGTCAAATTCAGATACCATAAAAGCCACTAAATAAGTAGGCATTATCGGAGTAGGGTAGAATACTTCCCTAACGTAACCATTTGACCTGCAAAAAGGTGATATTTATAGTAGTTTAGAAAATACGTTATTTGTTACAGAATTGGTGAACTATTTTTCCATTTGGACGCATTATTTATTCGATGTGTAATAATTATATGATCGATTACTTGTTAGGGTTTTTTTAGACTATGATTTTACTTGTGCCTCACAGTACTATTTACTGAACTTGGCCAGTCAATCTTGGTCAATCTTGGCCAGTCAATTATCTCATTAACTTACAGGGTCACCGTAGTCTGCAGCTTAGTGTTAGCCAAGGAGGGTTTGTAGTTTTGCGGTCGGTCAACAATCAGGGTGAAAGTGGCTTTAAGACCAGGCTCATCAAAACATGGGAACGCCTTCCTTGCGTGTGTAGGCTCCATTTGTGTCGCGCCCAACCATCTGAAATGAAACTCATCCATCATTAAATATAGGTCAAATTAGGGATATTCGATTTTTTCAATAATTACTATCGGAGTTTATCGTTAAGCGAAATCATGCATTCATCTCGGTAGTCTTAAGCCAGAAAACGCAAATGCTGTGGTGGATATCATTTACAAAAAAGACAAAATTGAAATTATTGAAACTCTTACAAAAGCCTGCCAATGTAATGGATTTGGTAGCTTCTTATTTATGCGGTGAAACGATCATCCTCATTGGGCTAAAGTGTACAAAGCCATTGTTTTAATGCAACTAAGAATTTAACTTAATATCTAAAGATGGGAGGAGATCTATGCCGATACTGTATTTTAAATGGCTCTATTTGCGAGCTCCTGTTTCCAGGTGTAACGCTCATCCCGCCTAGCCTATCTTACATTTTAAACCAGGATGTTTTATATATTCGCTGCATAAGTACGGTACGGCAGGAACGTGGCTACGTACATGCTCTACAACGTATCCTACTCCATATACAAAACCCTTTGGCCTTGGGTCTTGTGAGATAAGAGCCAATTTTAAAATACAACAAACATTTTTTTTTTTTTAAGATTTTTTGTAACATTATAATTATTATGTAATTATTCTATTACCACTTAAAAGCATAGGATTTTTGTATTAGATAAACTTGAGGGACTTCTAATGTATTGCATCACTGCTCCACTGAAAGAACACTTTAAATTGTCGATCAAAATCGTCAAATACATCAGATAACATGTATTTATGATATTGAGAAATAAAGAGATACGAACGCACATATATCTTTAAGCACACAGATAAAACAATTAAATTGGCTCTTGAGATGCACACTGAAATATTAAATTATCAAAGTTTATCATGCATACATAGTTAAGGAAGAGTACTAAAACTCTAAGGCTAAGTCAAATAGATCGTTACGTAAGAAATACATAGATAGCACTTTCATAATTCGCACATATTATGGACATACTGATAATATACATAAGTGATATAGATATGTATTTATGTGTAAAAGTGACATATAATCTGTGAAACATGAGGTCAGAGTCCCAATTGCATTATATCAATTTATGGAAGAGCTCAACTTAAAAATAAATCGGTTGTAAAAACATTATTTCATTCTTATATCTCTCCAATTATCATAATCGTGAGGTTCATTTTGTGTGCGGCGACTCAAACGTGCAGAAATATCAACAGACAAACAAACAGCCCTAACGATTTAAACTACATAAAATGTAAATATATATTCAGTGACAATACTACACTTACTTTTTAACGCCGTTCTCAAAGTAATAATTCCTGTAAAATCCATTCAAGTCCTCACGTATGGGTCCCCTATACGAAATAGTCAGTGTATACTCGACCCCAACTTGTAAATCCGACGCCAAATTAATATAAACAAAGGTATAGTTTGCATCAAAGATAAGCGGTTCCGTGTTAGCTAATGCTATATCTCCACTGGCACCACTTACAGTTACATTGTCAGCGACAAAATTCAGATCTTCCGAGTGTAGCTTGATTTGCTTTGTCACTGCTGTCGTGGTGAGCGTGATGCTGACCTCTCCATCAAACGTAAAGGCATTGCGGTCACCGGTATCAAAGTATGGTGTAATGATAATTGTATACGCTTTTGGTACTATTGGAGTGTTCAGTCTGTAGTTTGTGTCGGTACCGGACGTCTTTGCTAGAAGACATGCTATTGCTATTACGAGTATTCGTTGCATGTCTGTAAAAGGAAAAGAAAACAGGGCAGTTATCTTCCTTTAATCTCACTGATGAAGGTTTGCTGTTAATATCATTAGTACGGAATCACTCTAAGAGAAAAAGTAGGTACTTATTTCTCAAAAGGTACTCAACACAATCAATCATTTTATAATTTAGTGACTTTAATTTATTAATAACTAGCTGACCCGGTAGACTTCGTAGTGCCTCAATCAATAAATAAAAGACCTAAACTTTTCTATAAAATAAACTTAAAACAAACAAAAGGAATCCGTCCGACGGGGGACACATCAAAGGAAAAACAAAATTGTTATTTTTATTTAATTCTGATCATTTTCATATTTATCTATGCGAGATAAATATGAAATAAAATATAGCGAGACTAACGAACAGCAATTCATTTTTATATATATATATATATATAGATTTCAAAGTGTAAATGGTGATATATTTATCAGAAATATTTAAAGTACTTGTAACATATTTGGAACAGAGTCTTGATATAACCTTTTTTTTCTAATTTCAGTGACTCAAAATTGAGAACTTTTAATCAAACATGACTTTAAGACGATGTCCATTCACAGTACAGACTTACTATTACTGTGATTAAGGTAGTTGCATTTATTTAATTTTACATTTCTCCATTTTTCATATTAGCTTCGAAGTTACGTGACAAAAAAATGCTTGTTGCTTCTAAATTATTACTCATTGCGCATAATATTAATGTACCAACTAAAATCAAGGTGTATTGATTTTAATAATTATGGTTACTGTTAAAAATACTAATAGTACATACAACAATACCACCTTCTTATCCATACTAACGAATTTTTCTAGAATATATCGTCTATTTAATCAGGTTACTGATAATCGATATTTAGGCATATTATTTGTATGTATTTGTATAAAAATATCTTTTAAAATAGATTTTTTTTACAATTTGTATAGTTTTGATTACAAATAAGTAAAGTAACCTCAGTTGTTTTAGTCAAATATTTAATTCTAATTAATTTATTTATTGTGTTATCAAAATGATTGTACACATTATGAACGGTGAGTTCTTATGAGAGCTATATTATATACCAGCACACTTTTCACATTAGTAACAGAAATAATTAAGTCTAGTAAGTTTAGGGGTTACTTGAAGTATTAAAAAGATTTGTGATTAATAAAATGTACGTGAGATTTTTAATTCAAATTCGATAATGAATATTTTTTTTTCGATAATTAATATGAATATAAATGATCAATTGATTGTATGTAATATAACAAACCTGTATATGATGACGGCGACTCGAGATGTACTGTGTAACTAGCGTCTGTAAAAGGATCTGAACACTGCAACTGATAAGATTCATCTTAAGTGCCTACTTATCATTTGTCAGCGATAATATTATTCGATTCACGACTAGATTATGTCGCTGTATTTACTTGTCGAACGAATATTTTGATACTCCCTGTTCAAAATTAGGTATTATGGTTTTCGTGTGATAACAATCACGCTGAGTGATCTTCTAAGCGTCATTTCAGATACCTGTTTGAAGGAATAGCATCGTGTAATAAAATTCAAAAGCCGCAAAATTATAATTTGCGTAATTATTGGTGGTAGGTGCTCTTGTGAGACTACACGGGTATGTACTAGTACAATGCCGATTTTTGCCGTGAAGCAATAATCCGTTTCGGTTTGAAGGATGGGGCAGCCGTCGTAACTATACTGAGACCTTAGAACCCATATCTCAAGGTGGCGGGATTTACTTTGTAGATATATACAGGCTCCAATAACCACTTAACACCAGGTGGGCTGTGAACTCTTCCACCCATCTACGCAAAAAAAAAGGTTTTGAAAAATTATTTGACTGTTATTATTGAAAAATTATTAATTGACTGTCGCTTCAACTACGAGGGCCAATTCTGCCGCAACGTACGGAAACTCGTGCGAATGTGAAAATAAAGAATAGAGGTTTTGAAACAGGTATTTTGAGGAACGATTTTTGTTTTTAATGCTCTTTCTTTTATGTACTGATGAGTGGACGGACTCACGACCCATCTGGAGTTAAGTGGTTAGCGGAGCCTATTGACATCAACAACGTAAATGCGGTCATCCACCTTGAGATATAGGTTCTAAGGTCCCAGTATAGTTACGACGGCTGCCCCACCCTTCCAACCGAAACGCATTACTGCTTTACGGCAGTAAATAGGCATGGTGGTGGTCCCTACCCGTGTGGACTCACAAGAGGTCCTACCACCAGTAATTACGCAAATTAAAATTTTGTGGGTTTTGATTTTTATTACAGGATGTTATTCCTTCACCGTGGAAGTCAATCGTGAACATTTGTTAAGTACGTATTTCATTATAAAAATTAGTACCTGCCTGCGGGATAATAATTTTAATAAGTATGAGTAATTTTAATAAGTAATAATTTAATAAGTAACGTCTTAATAATTTTTTTCGTTTCTTTTGACATTAAAATTCTTTGTCGGAATTGAAATTATATTAAGAAATGTATAAAGACAATAATGTTACATGTGACCCCTGTTTTAAATAAGTCTTAACTCAGCCGACTAATGTTTACATGTAATGTCAGGATGATTGCATACTTTATCTTCATTGTAAGAATACTTTAGTGCAGGGCATAATATTAATATTCTTTCCAAGGAAGTACAATATACTATAATATTAATATGACCATAACCTGTTAGACTTATTGCTGAAGTTATAATTATAACTGTTGGACTGCTAATATTTTTACCATTTTTATTCATATTGTGTTTACAATATTTTCTCATTTATATAGAATTTGTATGCGACTTATTTACATTACAAAAATGCGTTCCATTTAGGTCTAAATAGACCTTCTCTGGTCAGACTTTAAACAGCCCGTGTATCAAAAGACCGACTGTTGTGTCTTTAAATATTATATGTATATATTATAATGTATATATAATGTATATGTTATCAAATATGATTGTGATTGTAATTCCGCACGGGTAGGTACCACTGCCCTTCCTATTTCTGCCTTGAAGCAATAATCCGTTTCGGTTTGAAGGGCGGGGCAGCCGTTGTAACTATTCTCAGATCTTAGAACGTATTTCTCAAGTTGGGTGGCACATTTAATTTGTAGATGTCTATGGGCTCCAGTAACCTAACACCAGGTGGGCTGTGAGCTCGTCCACCCATCTAAGCAATAAAATAAAAAAAGTACATAAAACTTCTCAACGACAACATTGCGATTGTCAGTTAAGGATTAAGCTTAGTAGGACGTCTTCCAATTTCCTATAATGATATCGGTTTCTAAGTTTATTAAGATTGCAATAAGTTAATGGCCAGTCTGCTCGTATCGAATGGCGTACTCAAGTTTTGGGAGATATATATTTCATTTTTCTAAATAAATGTTTACTTCACGTGATCCTTTTGTTTTTAATGCCTATATGTGTGGACGAGCTCACAGCCCACCTGGTGTTAAGTGGTTACTGGAACCCATAGACATCTACAACGTAAATGCGCCACACACCTTGAGATATAAGTTCTAAGGTCTCAGTATAGTTACAACGGCTGCCCCACCCTTCAAACCGAAACGCATTACTGCTTCACGGCAGATATAGGCGGGGCGGTGGTACCTACCCGTGCGGACTCACAAGAGGTCCTACCACCAGTAAAATAATCCTAAATGATTTCCGCCATAAAACCCGAAAAAAATTGTGATTCGCGTAAGTATTGGTCTTAGGATTTTAAAACAGCACAGATAACAAACAACTTTGTACATTAAATAAAAATGAAACTTCAAATTCATATATCAAGTGGTATTCAGGTTGTGATATCTATAGGTTTCGGTAATCACATAACACTCAGTGCGCCGTTAGCTCAATCACCCGTTTAGGCAATAAATAAATAAAAACAAAAAAAAAGTATATTAAAAAATTCGATTTAATTTTATTACAAAAAACAAATATAAACAATTTTCACATCATCAAATAAGTTACACTAAATTATTAACAATGAATAAAACCAATGTTTATGTCAAACATTAATTTCGGCAAATCGTCGCGGTCAAACCTGCTATAATCAAAAACTCTATTTACGAGTAAAAACATTACAAAATTTTATATGATGGTGAATTTTTAAGAACTATATCAAATGGAAGCTATAGATAAATATTAAAGCTATAGACACATAACAGTTTTTTTATACGGTAGATAGGGCTGTGAACTATACGAAAAGGTCAAAAAGTAAAAATCTCATAAAGTGCACATAGCAGATTTTGGTTGGACAACGATGAAATGCTACTTCCAACTACTTCAAAACGAGCATGGCTAATGTTGGGACCAACAGCATGAATGTCGGCAATACGGTAACAGCAGAGCCTCTGGCTGCTTTCAGGATCTCCTGTGCTCTGTCAGTTCCCCATTGCATGCTTGTTCTTGCCGAGTTTATAGCGTTTAGTCCAACGTTGAAGTTGGGTATCATGTTTTGGTTGGCCCGAAGCCAAGATTCCATCTGTAAGAAAATTCCAAATTAAGTCCTCAGTATAGAGCTTTTAATAATTAGATCTATTTACTCTTATAAATCGACTGTCAAGCTCGTGGACCACCTGGAGTAAATTGATGGTCAGAGCACTTTGCTATCACAACTTAAATGTCCTAACTAAAATCTGTGTTTAAATTCACGAAACAAAATTAATCACTTTTTTTGTATTGCCCAAGCAGGCCGACGAGTATACGGTCCGCCTGATGGTGACTGGTCACCGTCGCTCATGGACGTCAGCAATGCCAGGGGCAGAGCCAAGCCGCTGCCTACCACTAAACCTGCCTGCCTATCCCTATCACCAAAAATTAAGTAACTCACATCTTCGAGTCCTTCTTCGTTCAAATAGGAAGCCAAATTAGAAATAACGTTATCGAACCAAGCGGGGAGAACGACTCTGAAACAAAGTAAATAATAATTTGACTAAGTGATATGTATGACACCTGTTTCTGACAGTTCAGCTGAGCCTCCGGCGCCGCCGTCGGCGTTGTCGTCACCAGTCGCGTCTAAACCTACCTCACCTGTTTCTGATCCACATCAGCCCGGACCCTTGTCCATACGTTATTCCCGTTCACATGTCGCAAGAAGAGAGTTGAATACAAGCAATTCTATTATTGATTATAATTAATTTCTATTGTTGTCAGGTTCCAAAATTAGTGTGGAGGAATGATATGTATGAATGACACTGTTGTCTATGCTAATCGTCAGCAGTAATAAACCAGTACGCGCTCAGAGCGGTTGTTTGCTTTCTAAGTCACATACATCTCACTAAGGGTTGATCATACTTTAAAGAAGATCAAAATCCCAAATCTTTAGATCATATTATAGATATTGTGTAACAAGGTCTTACCCTTGTCTGATTTCCTCGAAGTTCTCCTTCAAGTACTGCAGGGCTACATTAGCGTTGGAACGGTCTCCCATATAGAAGAATGTGAGAGCATTCACTCTATCTTGAGCTTTGACATCGTCACTCAAAATCATGCTTAAGTATCTAAAACAAAAAAGTTATTACAGTTCGATCCTTTAATAAGGTTTATGGAGTTACTCCATACTATAAAAATATACAGGGCTACTTTTCCGAAAATCTCAAGTGATATAGCTGACAGAGTACTCCGAAAATGGTTTTCGCTAATGATGGGAGAATTGTAACGCGCGTACCACCATCATATTTCTATGAAATAGTAGTCATAGGTTTCGATTGAAGAATGAAATAATCAAATAATCTCAGGACTCAAGATGGATGGCGGCATTCTGTTGTGGTCAGTCTTCGGTAACGAATTCATTCAACTAGAGATTAAAACAAAATAGTTTTTGTAACCATATAGATTACAAGACGCTAGAAATAAGCGAGATGCTGATTACTTCTGAACTATCCCGGTATAGTTAGACAGGAATTATAGAGTTTAAACAATGGGTAGCTGGCTAATGATGAATGTGATCATTGTAACTTACTCCTGTCGAGCCTGGGGGTTCGTGGTGCACCCAAGAGATCTGAGCATAGCGACCTCGTCACCTTGGTTATTCGAGTTCTTTCTACGCTCATATAGGAATCGCCACTCATTGTAACCACCTTCAAGGAGACCAGAGCAGAAAACGTGTCGTCTCAGGTTAGGGTTGACGCTAAAAATATACATAAATCCATCGCTTAGACCATCACTCGAAGAAATACTTAAATACTAGGAGCCTGAAAAGAGTTAAATGTACGGTGCTGCACACCCTGTACTCCAATAACAGATGGGTTTCCACCATCAAAGACAACAAAAAATCCGATCTCATTTACAACGGCTTAATGGAGAGGCGTACCAGATACTTCTTCTCCTTCAGCAGATACAGCGTGGATTTATTTTTTTTAGCATGTTTTGAAAAGGTAACAGATGAGACATGAACAATTACACCGAAATACCCAAATGTCATTCAAGAAATTGTTAATTTAACCGGTAATCTAATCCGGACTTCATGTTACAAAAATCAAGGTTATCGGACAATTTAGACCGTTATCCATATATCACCCGTTCGATTAAGTCATTATTTTATATGCCCAGAGTCACTTATCATCGTGATTTGTAATAGACGATAGTCACGCAAAATGTAACTAATCCATTTATCTTTTTAGGAAAATTGATCGAGTTTTAACCTACTTCAAATAAAAACAAGGAGGAGGTTCTTTGTGTGCAGCTAATGTTTTTGAATTCATGGAATGTTTGCAATAATTATAGATTTTTTTCATTCATTTCATTACTTTTAAAGGGTAGACCAGCTCAAGGCCCACCTTTATGTGGTTACTGGTTCCCATAGACAAAGCAAATGCTAATTAATGCCCACCTTGGGACATGAATTCCAAGTATCCGTTTTACAGTACAACCTCTTCCCACCTTTTAAACTGAAATGCATTAGTGCTTCACGGCAGAAATGGAAAGATAACAAGGGGTATCTACGCCCTATCCCCCCTATTATTCAAAGCCTTATAACTGGTAAACAATGATCAGTTAATTGTCTATGTATTTTGTGATCTTATTTGTTTTTAACCAAGAGAAAGCTAAGTTCTTTAGTAGAGATCATATAATAGTTTAGCTCTAAATAAAGTACATAATTTAAATCTATCGAAAGTCGCCTTGTTATTATCGTTATTCATTAGCCAATGCAACACCAATTTGTGATAACGAGATTTAATTGCAATAACCGCAGCCGTCGATAAGTAATTTACAAAGATTACCTGGTACCACTAGTCCTCAAAGCATTGAACTTCTGTATAGCATTGGAAATGCAACCATCATGCCCAATATTGCACGCAAATGACAAAACGAAAAATCTATTCAAGGTCCTTGTGAGGGGTTCGCCGTCCACTACATCATAACCTAGATCTGCAATGACTGCTTCCAGGAAGGTGTAGAGGATTGTCTGAAAGAAAAAACAGTAGTTCTAGTGGGAAAAAGTATCAATTTTTGGAACGAAGTTCCTTATGTGACGATTACCCTAACCGGGAAAAAACGTCCGTAACGTAAGATTTTTATTAGTAATGCACACAGTGTACGACTTAACTTTGTAATAACGTACAAAAAATAACATATTTTTTTATCATTCATTGACCACGATCTCAGAGCGTTCGTTTGCGCAATACACTAACTCTTATGCAAACAACCGTGGATGAAGTGTACCACAATAAGTTCGTACGTTACCGAATGACCGTGGGTTATTGCGAAACCTCCAGTGTTATTTTCTTTATACCTCGAATATAACTTAAATTAATATTTTTATAATAAAGAACTTCGTTCCTATCCGGTGTCCCACGACACCACACATCTTTTTATTATTTGTTTTATCTATGTGTCTTATAATGAGTTTAAGCTCACTTGGGTTAATTCCAAACAGCTTAAGTGAGATTCCGTTATTCAAGATATGAAGATGAATTATTTGATGCGTTACAATGACGATGCCTATCTCATACCCATCAAATTGGAGCTTGACTTAGGGTTGTTTACTTTAAAGTTACGACTATCATGTAACATGTACGAAGTAAAAGATTTCAAGCTAAAATTTTCAGATTGTTTGAATTTGAATTAGCTCTTGTGGGCACGTAACAGTAAACACGGAACAGAAAATGTAACAAAAAGTAAAAAAAGTGCCTTTCGACATTTTCTAATAGTTCTCTAAACTCGCTCTCAGTATATGTTGTAATTAAAAATTCAATAGAAATTAAAAAAAAAAACTTTAGATATAATGATATAAGCAAAATAATATAAATGAGTAAATAAATGATATAAGATATAATAAATAACAAACGATAGTGATAAGCAAAACTTACATTAAATTCGGCCAAAACATCAGGCATATGCAGAAATCTGTTCCTTAGCCAACCGAAGCCAGTGACGGCCGGATACCAAACATAGTAACTGGTGTCTTTCTTGAGGAAGTCCAAAACACGAAAACCAAGATCGAAACTTAGCTTCTCTGATCTCATCAGCGCGAATACATCATCGACGATCTAATGAAAAATATACAAGTTAATTGTAATGTATTCTGAGATAAAGGTCAAGATTTATGCTCAGGGCTACTATTAAAAAGACATTCAAATTTCAACAAAGAAGTTTTTTTCATTGCTTAGATGGGTGGACGAGCGCACAGCCCACCTGGTATTAAGTGGTTACTGGAGCCCATAGACATCTACAACGTAAATACCGCCACCCACCTTGAGATATGAGGTCTCAGTATAGTTACAACGGCTGCCCCACCCTTCGAACCGAAACGCATTACTGCTTCACGGCAGAAATAGACGAGGTGGTGGTACCTACCCGCGTGGACTCACAATAGGTCCTACCACAAGTAATTACGCAATTATAATTTTGCGTATTTCGATTTTTATTACACGATGTTATTCCTTCACCGTGGAAGTCAATCGTGAACGTTTGTTGAGTACGTATTTCATTAGAAAAATTGGTACCCGCCTGCGGGATTCGAACACCGGTGCATCGCTCAACACGTATGCACCGGACGTCTTATCCTTTAGGCCACGACGACTTCAATGTAGAGATAGCCAAGGACGCACCTGTGCTCTGTTCAAATGATGTATATTGGTATGATCTTCGCTTAAAGCATTAGCGAGACGTTCCCAGTTTTCTTGATTATAGTTCACTCTGTAGATGCCTGTCAACAAATAGGAGAAAAACGAGTTAATCGAGCATTTCATTGAACAGCTATCCTTATCCACGAAAACTTTAAAGTGTTCCAGACGTTTGGAAATATTAAAAGGATAACAACAAACGCGCCATTAAACCGTTGGAATATTTACAAACAAATTTCCTTATAGTTATTTTTTTATATCTCCGTTGCTACAGAGATTAGTATGTTAGATTAGTCAACTTAGGCTAGTCCTTGTGTCGAAAATACCATTTTTTACCACTAAGTATGGTATTACATTGTGCCTTGGAAGAAATTTTCACCTCAATTTTATTCTCGGTATTGAACTTGAATACAGTTCTGAATGGGATTCATAATAAATGAATAATGATAGGAGGAGAATAATAATAATGTATTGGGTGGCCCATCACAACAAGGATTTTGTAAGCATGGCCTTGGTTTTTTTATTTAGATTTAGTTTGAATGAGTCCATTGATGTCCCATCGGATTATTTCGTGGGTGAGTATACTTATAGGGTGACCCATACTCAGTACCGAATGGCTTTATTACTTTTATTGCCTTAGTAAGCAGAAGAACATATGCCCCACTTAATAGTGAGTGGTCACTGTTGTTCACGGACGTCAGGAGTGCCAGGGACATAGCGAAACTGCTGCCTACCGCAATGATACGAATAATCGAATGATTGCATGATTCAGTCAATATTGAAATCTCAAAGCCAGGTCTTATCTAGACGTTGCGACAGCTACTTCAAACTAGAGTAGCTATATACATATATTTTGTTAGATAGAATTACCTTTTTGTTGTACATTAAAGATGACCCATTGGTTTCCAGGTGCTATACGTATTTCATCATTCTGAGCGGTCATTATGTGCAAAGGTCGCAGGGAGTTCCAGTTAGGGTTGCTACCAGTTGTGTAGGTCAATGGTATAGGCCAGATTTGATTAGTTTGTGTTGCACTGGTACTTATGAAGAAGCGCTCCTACAGATTTCACAGATATTACGGAAGATGAAATGAAATATTTAATAATGTATTGAATGTTTACAATCCCATTTAGAGTTAGGTTTAATATGATGCTCTTTACATTTAAGAAGACTTAAATAGTTTGAATCCTATATAATGATGATTTTCGGTACAGAAGAAATAGAGAAATTAACAGGACTTAGTGATATGAATTGTTATTTTCGCAACTTATACTTTCGGATAAGTGCAGCATGCGTTACCTGCTTAAGGCTGATAACTCCGGTTTCTGTATTGACTGCAACATCCAGAAGAGGAAATCCAGGCTCGTCAACCCAGTACTTCATGAATGCTTCAACGTCGAAAGTAGTTTCCAATGTACTATCTTCGCGTACTGCTCTTACAAAAGCAGAGTATAAATTTTCCGGCGAAGCGTACTCAAATGACCTACAATACAAATCTTTTAATAGTCTATATTCTATACCTTTTGATTGATTCGGTGGAGCAGTAGTTAGCGGCCCTGACTTTTGCGCTGAGGGTCGTGGGTTCGATTTCCACTTCGGGCAAACATTGTGTGATGAACAAGTTTGTGTGCTCTTTTTCTGTTTGGTTATTATCTAATATGTATATGTTTAAACATTTATAAGTATGTTTATCAGTCTCTGGTACCCATAATACAGGAGTCCTAAATTGGGGACGGATGATCATGCGTGATATGTTCCACCTTATTAAATTATTATTATACATAAGTGATGTTGTAAATGCGAATGATAGCTTTTTGTGGTAAAATTTTTATATTTACATTACCTATTTAAAACGCTATACGTATATATTAAACGCATATATTTGATATATATACAGTATATATCAAAAACAATCTTCCAAGTCTGATGTAAAAAAGCGAATTCATAATCATTCTTCATTCCTCATCCTTTATAGGAAGTACACACGTATGAATAATCAAATCACTTTTTTTATTTATACTAGCTGACCCGGCAGACTTCGTAGTGCCTCAATCTATACAAATAAATAAAATAAACTTGAAGCAAGCAAAAGAAATCCGTCCGACGGGGGACACATCAAAGGAAAAACAAAAATTGTAATTTTTATTTAAGTCCGAGCATTTTCATGTTTATATACCTTTTAAACATTTTCTGAACTTCCACAAATAAATCAAGACCAAAATTTGCCAAATCGGTCCAACCGTTCTCGAGTTTGAGCAAGACTAACGAAAGCAATTCGTTTATAATATAAATATATATATATATATGACTAAATTAGCTTAATGTTAAGTGATTACCGGAACAAATAGATATCATGACGTGAATGCTGACGCTGACCTTGCGACATGAGGCTGAACTCTGAATCATATTAAATAAAAGGTCCTTATTATTTCAGGTTCCTCAGACTCAACGTATTACCGCTACTCAAGAAGAAGAAATAGGCAGAATGGACCTACTGTTGCACGGTAGTAATATCTCCTACCACATGTTGGTACATAGTAATTTTGTGAGTTCCACTTCCAGTACTTCGACTGAAATAGCCAAAGTGATTGGCTTGAAAGCTTGGACGATTGAAACTGGCCGGCCACACATACCATCGCAATGACAATCGGTGTGGTACAAAAATACTGGAGTGGAGACGTCGTACTGGAAGTCGTAATGTGGGCAGAAAGCCAACGAGGTGGCATAATGACCTTGTCAAAGTGGTTGGTAGAGACTGGATAGGAAAAGCAAGACACTGAAGAAAATGGGGTGCATTCGAAGAGACTTACACTCAGCATTGGGTGGACATGGGTTGAAGAAGAGAAGAGAGAGAAAGACTTCCAGTACCACTGTCGATCAGAATGCGTGTAATTAAACAACAAAATTTCCCATTGCTAAAACTGTGGATAAGCTTCTCAATAACTCACCTATCTATGAGGAAATAATTCAAAGCCTTCTTAAATGTATCTTCTGTAACCAAGTGCTTCATCATTAACAGGAAGGAAGCTCCTTTAGAATAACTGATTCCAGAAAAATGACCAGTGACTTGAGCTGGACTGTTCACAGTATGACGTAAAGCTCTGGTGGATGCAGAAGCGTCGGTGGATAATGCGCTTTGCATGTACATCAAGTTGAATTGATCAGCTAGTTCTAATTCGGGATCAACCTGTAAAATTGAATTCGCACCTTTATTTTAAGCCGTCATCTTCTAGCTAAATTCAACCTAATTGAATTACGTGTATAAAAGTAATGAGTAGTGAATATATTTTCTAATGCCCTAAAAAAATGGTCTTTGACATGGATTTAAGAACATGGTTTTTGTATCTCAGTTTCACTCGAGTTCACTTGAAGCTCAGTGTCCAACAAATGTAAATGAATATATGTCGTAAATGACCACTAGGTAAGTATTTCATTTTTCTTTTGGTTTCTCCTGAAAATCTTGGTCAATACTTACACCATCCATAGCGAAGTATTCAAAGTAGCTGGCAAAACCTTCGTTGATCCATACGTTATCCCACCACCTGGCCGTGATCAAGTTTCCGAACCACTTGTGGGCGAGTTCATGAGCGGTGATAGTTCCAATGTACATTTTGTCTAGTGCATTTGTTTCGCCTTGTTCGTAAAGGAGACGAACTTCTCTGTTTGAGAGAATTAATTCAAAAGTTAATTTCCCCACATAAGTCATAAATCTTTCGTCTAGGTTTTGGGATTAAAAACACCACAAAATCATAAAAAGTTTTTTTTTTAAAACCAACACGATTCCATCACTTGGAATGAAATACTGCGTCATAAACAGGCTGAATGATAAATTTAATTTAATTTTAAAAAAAAGGTTGAATAATTCAGTCGCTTTTACACTATTCTATTAACTGTAGATCAAGCAAATATTAGTATTTAAAAAAAAATATCTTTCTCAAAAATGTTGAGTAGTAACTCACTATTTTTTGGATAATTATGTCATTTTCAACTTAAACCAACTAACCTGTAAGTAACCAAGCCCCAATTCTCAGTAGCTCCAGAAGCCCAAAACGGCGAAGCAATCTGATCGTTTTTCATAAAAGATTGCATACTATAATAATCGATATTCAAATATTCTTCTAACCACTTGGTTAGCGGGGGCCCGACTTCCAAGGCATATTCACCTTGACCTTTGGCGTTCGGTCTTGCAAGAATTCTATACGACCTCACAGGATCATTATTGTCAGCAATAACGGTGAATTCTTCACTTATATGGAATGTAACTAGATAGGCTGACATTCTGGGAGTAGTGTGAAAGATTTCTTTAACGCGATCGCCCATTCTGTAATAATTATAAACCCTTAAAAATTATATCAAAATAAAATATAAAGGCTTCCTTGTAAAAACTGGCTTTTCTCAATCGAAACAAGGTTGATGTTTTGGAAATATCTAAGAATGCATTGATGCGCCTCATATACTGGGAAGGCAGAAATTTTCCAAAATAGGCTCGCATTTATTATTATTCAAAATTATTCAAAACATAATAACGTTTGTTCTCAGAAATATTTATGTCCGATTAACAATTAATAGTAAATTTTAGAAAACGTAATACATATTTTGTGTAAGCACACCAAGGTTAAGATCTTTCTGAGATTTATTTTTGCAATAGATGACGATTGTCCCCCAAGATCAGGGTGCCGAGCGTCGTCATGGACTATCCACTTCTCTGCTTTCGGTGAGACAGGGATTTTTCTTTCGACTTGTTCGGGCACTGAGACAATCTTGACTCGTTTGTGGACACTAACATAGATAATAATACGATAGATGCTTAAGAACAACAAAACTTACGGTATGGTCTGCCTGATTGGCATATTGGAATAAGTCTCGGTGAAATGAGCAGGTCTGTTGACGATGATATTGAAAGTAGACTTAAAGCCGGGCTCGTCGAAGCTCGGGAATGCTTGTCGGGCGTTTGTTGGCTGTAAGTGTGTTGCCGCGTACCAACTACAAGAAAAAAAAGATGGTGGATTTTTGAAAAAGATATTAAGAGTGCTCTTTTAGGCGAGCCGTGAATGGTATAGCCCAGACGTCATCTATCTTTATCGGAAATAAACAAAAAAAATGCGAAAAAACGTTTTTTAATATTTTTTTGGATCGTAACGGCACTAGAAGCAGCATTTTAAGAATCAAAGTTAGTGTATGGTTTCCTTGAAAGTTTAAATCGCTGGTCTAAAAAACATAGCCTCGAATTGTAAGCCTTCCCTTAACGTTACATTAGCAAAAGTTAATTTAAAGTTTAAAAACAAGAGGTTTAAATATCTATATCGCATGTAATTACGAAGACATTTCAACTGTCAGTTGTAATTAAACAAGAGAATATTATTATGATTGGTTCCAATGGTTCAAAGATTATTTTAAGTAGCATATTTATTGGCGATGAAAAAGAACATACTTTATATAATTGCTAATGCCAATTAATTAACCCGAACCATATCTATCTATTATCTACGCGACTTTATTAATGAGTTGTGATTACTTTTATATTATCATAAGTTAAAATTATTGGGAATAATTATAATTTTGATCAATAAAGTACCGAAGTTTTATCCTGTCTTATCTGATTTACTTGATGTCTATTTCTAGGAAGGTATTAATATAGTAATATAGCAATCAACAAATGATTTTTATTTCTAATAAATTTTCATGATTGATTGATTGTATGGTTTTTTTATGGGCGACGCCAGATACAAGATAGAGCATTAGCGACTTTTTCTTTAATTTGAAGCATGCAAAGCGCGCTCGTAATATCTTCAAAGTATTTCTATATTGTTGATTGTTGTTAATATAAGTGAATGCATATCTGATATTCTCAGGCAAAAAACATTTATATCATGGATATTTCACGATAATTTTTATTGCTACTTAACCAGTATATAAATATAATGCCTAGAAAGCTTCAAACCCTTCGATAGTGAGGTATCACGAAAATTTTACTTTAAAAATTGCTGCTAACACTAATTATTATTAAGACAGTACTTACTAATGTGCTACGCAGGATCAATTCCTTTATATATGTAAATTGTATAATTGTATTGTTTGTAAATTGTATAATAATATATTAATGATTGTTTAATGAAAATATGTAATCATTAAAATTAAAATACATATTAGGGGGTTATTTTTCGAACTACGATTAGTTAGAACGGACTGAAAACCACATTAAAAAAGCTACTTACTGCAATTTCCCATCATCGCCGATGTAATTCCCTCTGAATACTCCTCGAGAAAGTGGGGTTTCGTTGATGTTACCAATATATTCGATAGTCAATATGTAAATTTGACCGTTGACTAAAGTAACGCCTTCAGCAAGATTAATCTTCAAAAAGTGGTAAGCTCTGATGCGTTCAAACGGGTTCCTCGTATTCAAGCGAATCGGAACTCCATCAGTATTGGTCAGACTGACTGCGACGATGTGTCGAACGTTCTCTTGAATGATGAGTGCATTCAGATTGTCTTTTACAGCCTGCAAGGTACAAAACAAATTAAGACATACTAATCAACTACAATGATTTCATGCTTCTCAACTTAATTCCTAAACCACTGCTTTTTTGGCCATAAATTTCTAACTGAAGAACTTGCATTTATCTAGCTTACGTAATGTAGAGATGCATCCTTAAGAATCAATCAAATCAATATCAATATAATGTACCAGTTTTAAGAGTACTAGCATGAAACTGATGAAATGGAGCACGTGACGGTTGTCATTCACGGAGCATGAAATTAAAGCAAAAATTTAATAGCTGCATCAAACAGCCACTATATTTTCACTGATGATGTAGCCAAATATTTCAGATTAGAAATGTCCGAAACTAAAATTCGTTAGAGATATTCTCTATTTGTTGGTTTTAAAAAAACAAAGAAACATTTCAGATGCTATACATATTCAAGTTAAGAAGTTTACTTACCGTAAGCCGAATCGTGGCAATACCATCAAAGGTAAATGCTTCATTAGTCTGTGTTGCTTCAAAATAAGGAGTAATCTCCACGTCAAAATGTATGGGATCTAAATCTTCGGGCACTCGATAAATAGTTTCATCAACATTACTTCGATTGACTGGTTCGTCTGTGTCCAGTGGGAAATCAGTTCTGACAAGAGCCAAAGCGGCCAGAAGGCAGAATTTTGTCAGATAATGCATGGCGCTAGAAAATTTAAAAGTGACAATTGGTTACCTATATCGTGTATTGTTATGACTTTAATTACGTTTTTAAACTACATAACAAATCTAACTAAGAAATCATATTTCTATATTAAAAAGTGAATCTAGATCAACTTAATATTGAATATTAATTTCAACATACCTGCTTCGGTTCGATTACGCCATGCAAAATGAATGTATTTGAACTAAGCGAACTTGTATTTTATCAAATAGGTATATTTTTTATTACGGAATAATAAACATTATCAAAAGGATTATCTCATAATTGAGCGATAGAATTTATCAATATAATTTAGTTATTTAAGATAAGCATAAATGCAAGTAATTATAATATCAGTGTCCTTTAAGATACGACGAAGTTTTTTTTATTTAGAGGTATGTATTTGACGTATTATTTGTTTACAGCATATCAGTCTTCTGCAAACTCTTCAATTATGCTGCAGTAAGGAAAAGTATGTGAGAAGACACTAATCATCATCACTTTTTGTAAGATACTTTAGTGATGATAGCATATTAGAATCATCAGTATATAATAATATGGTATATGTCAACAGTTAAAATAAAACCTATAAAAAATAAATTGTATAAATTGATGTATTTTAAACCGCTTCCTTTTTAATCGTTTTAAAAATAAAAATAATGATTGTATAATACAATAACAAATTTGTAATATATAAATAGATTGTATACAACATACATTTGGCATTCAGTTTCAAGATAGCTTTAAAAATTAAGTATTCCATAATACACGTCCCCAAGTTATATTAGATAGAGACAAAAACACCCAATATACGCAAAAATCGATTTCCAGATGTCTCCAAATAAAAATACTCGACCAAGACGAATTTATTTCCTTGGTATAGATAATAAAGGATGCTAACTAACAGTAATTAAATGTAGTTAAATTGGACATAATGTTAAGTCAAAGTAAGGAATGGTTTTTGGCATGAATGAAAGTATTAATTTCATCAAAAAATAGTTTATTAAAATTAATGAAGTAACATTTTGCTTTACATTATTAAAGCGAACAGTGTAGCTATAGCCAACAATGCAGCAGAAGTCACAACTGCGGTTGCACTGTCCCGTGCAGCAGCTAATAACATTTCGGCATTAGCAGTGCCCCAAGCAATGTTACTCCGAGCCGAATTAATTGCTGAGAGCGCCCTATTGTACTGCGGTATGTTGGTCTGTGTGGAACGTAGCCAAGTTTCATACTGTAAATTAAAATTTAAGGTAACGTTAAGTATGAATCTTTGATTAGGGATTTTAGCAGACATTTTGGTAGATAGCGTCAGGTTTTGTAGATCAGTATCAAGTCCAGAATTTTGCTCGATACCCAGGCAGCATATGAAAGCTGGTTAAAGGCCAACGGTTTGATAAAAATATAACATTATTAGTTCCTTTGCAAAACCCATGCAAAAAACTTTTGGAGATAAAGAGTAGAGGATTAGGAAAATAAACTGTTTTATCGCCTTTCTAGTCAGACGAGCATACAGCAAATTTGATGGTAAGTATATAGTTATCATCGCTCAAGGAAATCGGTAATGCCAGAGGTATAACCAAGCCGCTGCCTGCTATCGAGGACTCTCCTCAAAGTTTGTTTGGAGAAGGAAATGTCATAGCCCTCAGGAAATGCCTTGGAGGGGAGCGAGTTCCAGAGCCAGAGTGAAAATTTTTAAATGAAATATCAAGTATATCTTACTTCATCTAGACCTGATTCATCAAGGTAAGCAGCGAGATTAGACAATGCTGTATGCACTGGAGTTGGTGGAGCGTCTTCAATGTATCTGAAAATCATTTTACAATCATCATTTTGGAAACACTTAAATGCCATGGTACAAATTAAAGCAGAGACGAAATCTATTGAAGAAAATGATGAAGAAGAGAAATCTCATCTTCAATCTTCATATTGTGGTGTATGTTCCGGTGAATATATGTTTTTTTTTCTACCTATTTTAGTAGCCTCGAGGGGTTATTTTAGATTCACCGAGCTAGTGGGTGAGCTCGTGGGGCTCAAACCGGGGGTGTTGCTAGCACTGGCCCTAGCGAGAGCAGTGCTTCGCAGAATCTATCACCGGATCGGAAACGCAACCTACTGAAAAGATCCCGCGAGAAACTCAGTGGGCGATATATGTAGTACTTAGTGTGTCGGCACCTTTGGCATACCAGGAATTGTATTTTTTTTTTTACTAAATCACTATACTTAAAACTTCATATGCTTAACGCTACACTTATATAATAGGCGTCAGTTTCAGGTGCAAACAGCTGCTTAAAACAAATTACAATAGTAATATGGGCTTTAATGAATTTGACTTACGCTGTTCTTATAGCAGCAATATTGTTCTTCACGAACTGGAGTACCGTGTTAGCGTTCTCTTGGTTACCAAGCAGAGCGTAGTTGAAGGACGTAGCTTTATCGTGCGATCTCACCTCCCTAGTCAAGGTCAACTGCAAGTATCTAAACAAAACATCATAATCATGATTATATAAAAATCATATAATCTAGTGCGCAGAGGTTAGGCGTGCTAGCTTAGGAAATTAATAGCTCGTGTAATAAAAGTGAAACCCGCAAAATTATAATTTGCGTAATTACTGGTGGTAGGACCTGTTGTGAGTCCGCGTGGGTAGGTACCACCGCCCTGCCTATTTCTACCGTGAATCAGTAATGCGTTTCGGTTTGAAGGGTGGGGCAGCCGTTGTAACTATACTGAGACCTTACAACTTATATCTCAAGGTGGGTGGCGCATTTACGTTGTAGATGTCTATGGGCTCCAGTAACCACTTACATAACATCAGGTGGGTTGTGAGCTCGTCCACCCATCTAAGCAATAAAAAAAAAAAAAAACCTTAATTCCAATGCAGTACTGAGTTAGGTTTTATGTCGAGAATTAATTCTTGATATAGTATCACATGGATTCCTGAAATCGTTATGTACATGTTCCTAAATCACGATCCGTGAACAATCGGTGGTAATAACTGGTAGTTCAATAGATACTCTCACGATGGTGTTCCGCGTTGCTTCCACCGATACCAAATCCATATCCACAAGCGTTAAGAGATGGAAACTTTAAGATACTTCACTACTTTATTTCTTTAAAAAAAAAAAACAAATTTGATTGTTACTAACTTAAACAATTTTATCATACCGAGTCAATAATTGAGAATCTTTAGAAGCTCCCAATCCTCTGAGCATTTCTAGCTGATCGTTAGCAAAGTTCGATTGCCGAAAACGGTTTAGTAAGTATTCGAAATCTGAACTGTCTCCCTCTCTCATGCCAGTCATATAGACGTTACGACGTATCTGAGGACTAACCCTGGAATCAAATAATTGGGAGAAAATGAGATGTGAAATTAGGATCATGTTTAATTCAATTGATCTAATACACAGACTTATAGGTTCTAAAAAAAAAATTACCCATTGTTTATTCCTATTCAACTATCCTGTATACTTCCTATTTCAAAAAGTGTTCTTCGGTTAATCTCAACCTTGTTGTAGACAATAGAAAAGCATCAAATCCGAATTTCCTTCTAATTAAATTTTGGAATTATATTTGGAATTTTGGGAGAATTAAACTGGCAGAAATGTGCACGCGTTCAGACATTACGGACAATTGTTAAAGTTAACCTATACTGACGAATAATTTGGAACTTCTGAATCTAAGCATTATTTTAGTTCTCTTAGCCAAACTAGTTTTGGAAACAGTTTTTGTAGTAGGATATAATAAAAGACCTGGTTTTACATAATGCAATGCAACATAAGGTTGGTGAGACAACCTTTAATCTATCAACTATAGAGAGGGCAGGCCAAGAAAAAGAAAGACCCACTAATTCAAAAACAAAATTATCAAATTATTTTTACAAAAAAGCAGTAAAAAATACTTTTACCATTTACCACTTCTCATTTCTCTGAATTTGTCGTACGATTCTTGGATGCACTTTGTGTGTCCAAGGTTGCAAGCGAATTGTAGTACAGTTTGTCTTGCCATACTCGTTGTAGGAGGCTCATTAGCCGCGGCATCAAAGCCATAAGTATTAATGACTGTTTCCATTAATTCCAGAATGTGAGCCTAGAACACAAGGAATTGTCGGTTTCTGTGATAAAATAAGTGAATTTATTCAAGCTTTGCTCTTTTATTATTATCTTTTGATTACTTTCAAGTGGAACCAGCTGAAACTTAGCTAGAGAGATCGGCTTATGAGGTTAATACTAAGTCAGGTCGAAGAAATTGTTACTTAAGTTTCGATCCCCGTCGATTAAGATTTCTTTGGGAGCTGAAATTTTAAGCCACACTCACGTCAAACGTAGCTTGATCTGGTAAATGTCTGAGTCTATTTCTCAACCAAGTGTAGCCAGTGATGGCTGCATCCCACACGTGGTAGTTAGATTCATTGCGCAAGAAGCGAAGGATTTTGAAACCAAAACTGTAAGTCATTCTGCCCGACCTCATGAGGGCGAAGATGTCATCCACAATCTGAAATTTGAAAACTTTGATCAGGCGTTTAGTTGAAAAAAATACAATAAATGTAACAAGAAAAAAGAACTCTTCGTAATTGTCATATAAATTGATATGTCTTTTCATGCTGTTTTTTTCATGATTTTAACTTATTTAATCACCTTGTAACCTAAATCACGTTTCGATGCGTAGCTGAAATACAATAAACTTTCAAATTTACCATTACTTTCATCATAAGATACTAGAATTTAAGAATGAACTACATATATATAAATTAGTTATTATTACCTCAGCTCTATTTAGATGATGAATAGACTCTCTTTCGTTAAGCAAAGCATCTGCTATCAAATTCCATGTTGTATCATCATATGTAACTCTATAATGTCCTGTATTTAAAAGTATATATATTAAAATCACTTCTAAGCCCTGCCATATGATGTATGCTGCTTATTTCAGTAGTGACTCCTTCTAATTTAAGTTTTGCTTACAGATTTCGTGGAAGTTTTTATGATTTATATTATGAATATTCACGATCAGCTGCCCGTTAATAAAGTACATATTTACATTCATATGGTGACCTATGGATCCCTTGAAATTGCTTGCACCTCTGTCACAGCAATCAAATAAAAGATTGCGGGCAAGTTACCATAGATATCTTTCGATAAGCTTATTTCTTAAAGTAAATACGACAGCTAGTGAAAGATTGAATATAATAATTGGTGGAATCTTTATACTCATCATCCTCTTACCGTGTTGAAGATTGTTGAAGATAACCCACTCTCCTTTAACTCCAGCATTGAAAGCATCAGTCTTAGTGGTCATTATACGGACCGGTCGGACGTTGTCAAAGTTATTATTGCTTTTACTACTATATGTGATAGGAATTGGATATATATGGTCTGTCGGGGTAGCAGATGCACTCAAGAAGAATCGTTCCTGAAACCAAATGCATTGTGAATTTAGAGACCATATAACATATTCCTTTAGTACAATACTCAAAAAACGCTATTGCCTATTCTCCGAGAATAAAATTCCTCCATCCCCAAGATCCTCTGAAAATTTAATATAACTAAAAACTTTATTAAGACATAATTATTATAAATACCATACTATGCCAATTTACCTGACTGAGAGTAATAGTTCCGTCACCATGGTCAACCGTAACCGTCAGCAACGGATATCCGGGTTCGTTGACCCAAATGCGGTAGTACTCTTCAAAGTTAAAATTGGAATATTGAGACACACTTCCGTCTTCTATTATAGCTTGATTGAAAGCTTTCAATAAGTCGTATTGATCCGTTGGTTCGAAAGCGCTGTAATAAAAAAGGTATTTATCCAAATCATATCTAACCCGAGAAGACTCGAGAGCTTATATGTACGTGTGTACATACATAACTGGGGCTTTCAATCAATTTCTCGCTAGAATATTCAAAGACAATATGCAGTCTCTTCAGTTCTAGGCAGTTTCAAGTTTGTACGTGAAGAATGTTTTGCAGAAAACACATGATAAAACCTTTTTGTATCTCATACAAATGTTTATGAACTCGGGCTATGAAAAACCATATTTTTATATCATCAAATACAACGAACTACAGTAAAAGGAACCTCACTTATTAATCAAGAAGTAACGGCAAGCTTTTCGGAAAGTCTCATCGGTGATGATGTCAGCAGTCATCCTGAGGAATACGGCGCCCTTAGAGTAACTGATGGTTCCAAAGTGGCCGGTGACTTGGGCTGGTGTGTTTACGTCATGGTTCAGAGGCACGGTGCTGACGCCAGAGTCGAACGATAGCGATGACGAAACGTAGCGGGCGTTAAAATGCTCATGATGCTCATACTCGGGAAACATCTATAAACAAAAATAACCACATGTGGCACTCGGGGACTGCTGCGGTAAAGCTATTGCATAGCATTTTCTATCAACTTATGCTATTACAATTAGACAATAATTATAATTATTTATTATTAAAACAATAATAAAATAAGACCACGCTATATTTATAAACATTAATAAAAGCAAAACCTTAACTGTCCCCTTCACACTCATAAGCTAGACCGCGCGAGAGATGGGCAGACTTTTCATGATACGCATGCAGTGCGACGTCACGCCGCGCGCTTATTCACAAACACTACACAAGCGCAACGTGTGAATGTATTGAACGCGAGCTACGTGGTAGGCGGAGTGGAGGTGTTAGGTTTTATTTTCGTTACGGAATTTCTTGATTCGGTCGCCGCGATCAAAGCCCGCGATAAAAGCTATGCAATAGCTTAAAAATTAATTCGCAAATAATATTATAGTAACGGTAAATTGAATTTCAAAGGCTATCGTTCTATCGCAAATTTAATTAATGCGAACTGTTTCGCATTTCAAATGTATTCTAAAGTTATATAATTAGTTATTATCTTGGAACAATGAAAATTCTTGGCTGTTACTATGTATAAGTGAAAAAAAATCACACTTAGCCTTTCCCTGAATCGCTCTGTATAGAAAGAAGAGAATCGAAGTTTAATCATCATAATTTAATAATTATGATTTTTACAAAAATGAATTAATAATTGATTAAAATAATAAATGTAATGAGAGTGGTATAGAGAAATCATAAAACAACATTATTGAAAGTATTTCTTTTGACCTAGTGTCTCACATATGAGGGTTGATGTTCAATTTGTCGGGCTGTAGATTCAAGTAACAACGAAACGTCAATTAGAATAACAAAATTTTTCATGTTTTTTTTTTTTATTGCTTAGATGGGTGGACGAGCTCACAGCCCACCTGGTGTAAAGTGGTTACTGGAGCCCATGGACATCTACAACGTAAATGCGCCACCCACCTTGAGATATGAGTTCTAAGATCTCAGTATAGTTACAAGTTATGAATTGAAGTTAATTGGTGTTTCCCGAGCGCTATGACATGTCCTTCTTCAAACGAGCCTTGTGGAGAGTACTTAACGGTAAACAGCGGCTTTAACCACCCCTGGCATTGTTGAAGTTCATGGGAGACGGTAACCACATACTATCAGGTGAGCCGTGTGCTCGTCTGCCTACAATGGGTAATAAAAAAAACGCGGATACGTTTTAACGTAAAATTTTTGCGTTGGAGTTAAATAAACTAAATGCTGAATACCTGAGAGGTAGGAATGTACCCGAAGTAACTGGCAAAGCCTTCGTTGATCCAAGTGTTGCTCCACCAGTAACATGTGATCAGATTACCGAACCATTTGTGCGCGAGCTCGTGGGAGACCAACGTGGCAGCGTAATGCTCCACGGACATGACTGTTTCACGAGGATCAATGATGAGGTAGAGTTCCCTTAAATCAGTTATGCCGTTACTTGTGACCTAATTTTTGTGGCGTAGACGTGGAAAAGAAGCCGATGAGCTCATGACCACCAGCTCACTCCATATTAAATAGATCACAAAGACATGACTCTTTACTGGTGGTAGGACCTCTTTACTGGTGGTAAGACCTCTTGTGAGTCCGCACGGGTAGGTACCACCACCCCACCTATTTCTGCCGTGAAGCAGTAATGCGTTTCGGTTTGAAGGGGGGGGGGGGGGTAGCCGTTGTAACTATACTGAGACCTTAGAACTTATATCTCAAGGTGGGTGGCGCATTTACGTTGTAGATGTCTATGGGCTCCAGTAACCACTTAACACCAGGTGGGCTGTGAGCTCGTCCACATATCTAAGCAATAAAAAAAAAATCAATCAATACGACATATGTAAAAATATATTTCAGCATAACGATTGTTTTATTTAATTTTGAAACAGTCTGCGTATCGTCTGACTCACTAGGATTTGAGTTGGTCACAGATACTCAAGAACATGAGCAGTGCCAGGGTGCAACTTAACTTCTGTTCACTGCACAGGAGTCTTTACAATCCTTGCTTAAAGAAATATTTTATATCATTGTAGAACAGAACGTGAGTAACACGTGGTACGTGAGAAATGAGATTTTTGGAATTGTGGATGAATACAGTATTTTCGAAGTTGGAGCAGACTCCAGTGATGACAGGTGCAAATAACTAGTAAATTGTAGATGATTTAATGATCTCATGCAATCGTTCAAAGCTTCTTCTTCCTATTCGTACACTCTTGACAGAGTGATCATGGTCATGCATCAGTCGGATCCTGCGATATCATGAAATATGCGCCATGAAATAAGTGTTGAGTTTAGGTCATTCGTACTTATATTCAAATAGTTTAAGTTTGCCCTATGCAATGCATTATTCTTACAATTTCTATATGTCCTCTAGTGAATCATGATAGAGGTATGGGATGTAAGGTAAGATATTGTGAGGTCTTCTCATCTAATAAAATTTATTTATTGGATTTGTTATCTTAAGAAATAAACAAGCTTACCTATAACTGACCATTCCCCAATTTTCTGTGCCAGCCGAAGCCCAATCAGGGGAAGAAATATGATCATTGAGTAGATTTGGGTGCAGCGTCGAGTACGGAATCCCGAAATATTCATCATAGTATCTGGTCATACGGACTGCTAGTTCCAATGCGTGGTCGGCAAGACCTGCTGTGTTGGACCGGCCAATGATCCTTACAGGCGGAGTGAAGGAAGTGTCCTCGGCCAATACTTGGAAAGTTTCGCTAACAAGAAACGTAACCAGGTACGAAGACATTTTTGGTGTCGCCAGAAAATTGCTTCGAATGCGATCAGCTTCTTCACTAAAAAAAGGTTTTTGGGTATTAAGATGAAATAAATCTATTATTAATTAAGGCATTTATAAAGTTTTCTTTTTTAAACTTAACTAAAATAAAAATTTAATGATTTTTAGTTAAGTATAATGAAATAGAAAAATATTCCTTATTAACCTGAAAACAAGACCTTAAATTTTCACCAAAAAGCTACAAAACATTCGATGGCTAGACTATCAACATCAGAATGTGAAGCATCAATTTGGCCAAAGCTATAAAGCCAACGTTGTTTTATAGCAAACTGGGCGGAACGACATTACCATGTCACCTCACATATGCTCCATGAGTTTATACTGATGGAGCATATGTGATATCTACGCATGCAAGGCATCAAGCTTAAACATCAAAGACTCACAACCTAAAAGTTTCGACGCCAGTGTTTGAGAACGTGCCGGTGTAGGATTTCGGCTTCGAGATGTGAAGTTTGAAGACTGACTTGAACAGTGGCTCGTCCCAGCATGGGAATGCCTGTCTCGCATTATACGGCTGGAAATGGGTTGTCGCGTAGATCCTGTTGAAAAGCCAAAACTGTCTTTAGTAAGCTTTGTATTTGAAACACTATTAAAATCTCAGGTGTTGCGTGAAGTTAAAAGAACAATAACAGATGCTATTTCAATTTAAGCGTTGTATAATTTAAGAACATATATATCATCTCAAAAACTGTAATAACAGCTACTGATTAGTCAGTCAAATTGGATGAATAACAAAAGAAATGCTTGAGTATTTTGTTCAAGATCATTGTTCTAGATTAGATATTCAATTATCATACCTTTCTGTACCATCGTTGTCGATGTACCATCCCCTCCAAATACCCCTCTTCATTGGGCCTTCGTTCATTGTGCTAGAATATTCAATATACAAAGAGTATTTCTGTCCAACAACTAAGGGTTCGTTCAAATTAATTTTTAGGAAATGATACTGAGGTTCCAGTGTGAAAGGCTCCCTTGTATTAACGGGGAATGGTGCGCCACTTTCCGTTAGCACAGAAACAGCGTTGATGCTGTCTACGTTTGAATGTAGAACAATTTGAGTTACGCCTTCTGCTACTGCCTAAAATTAAATTAACCTTGACAAAGCCGTATAAACACAAAAAAATAATCTTATAAAATAGTTAAGAAAGAGTCACATACCTCTATAATGATGGTCTCTCTACCATCATAACTGAAGGGCCTGTCTGTTCTTTCAGCGAAGTACAAATCTAAATAAATATCGTATTCCAATGGTTTAACTGTCTCTGGTAATCTATAAACCTGTTCAATGCTTCTCGTTGTATTGTCAGTTATGGGGATTGGCTCGAAATCTCTGTGCCATGCTGGGTGATCAGCTGATGTTAGGGCGAAAATCGCCAAACACAGTAGTAAAAGCTTGGACATATTTGCTGTAAAGACATGGAAATAATAAAGATGGTGTTGTGTTTAGGGATGAATTCAGGTAGTTACGAGAGTCAATTTACTAAAATCCAAGATTCACGAGTATTGTCAATACTTTATATTGTTCTAGAGCAGCATTAAGCAGTAATGGGAGCCTATGGTTAAAACTACTTGGCTTTAAGCTGGAATCACTTTGGAAACTGGAATCACACTGATTTGTGGTTGCAACAATCCTTACTACCAAAAGTACTAATAGTGGCTGCCATTGAAAAAACGCTGCCATCCTCTGGAGGATCCCTCAATCATCTAGTACAGAATCCAAGGATAGAGACGGAGTAAGCCATTAAGGCCAATCCACAGAGCCCGATCATTATAAGTCTGGGTGTTTAAAATTTAATAAATTTAAAAGTATATAAATATAATAAACATATCAGTTCCAGTTCTTATAGGGGGATAGTAGGGAATTGTAGTTTGGGGCCCGGTATCGATGGTTATTGATTTATTACTCTTATTGATTTATATTATTTACTTTAACATTTACATATATTTGTTGCAAGTAAATTCAATTATTCAACAAAAATGTAGTTATTAACAGAAAGTTTTCCAAATATTAAAAATATAAATTGAAAAATATTAAGGCTTGATTCTGTAAATCCGAAAATTAATCCAAAAATATGCCTTTCTTGAGTTTTTTTAAGGTTCAAATATTTTTCATTCCATTTAAATTTTCTTTTTGAAGCAATTTAAGGTTCAAATATGTTTCATATAATTTCCTCAAATTTAAAAGCCCACAATACATACCAGATAACAAATATGTCCTTTGTTCAGTTTAGAATGTGATAAAGTGACTATTAAAACGTTATTCAACGTAGAAAACAGTAAATTTGATCATAAATGGATTGCAGAAAGATACCAAATTACCGTATCATATCTTTGGTAATTATGATTAGTATCAATTTTATAACCTTAAGATAATCTAACAAATACCAACGGCTAAAACTTCTGGAGTAAAGCTCTAGCGGAATAAAAATGTATCCGGGTTTTTGAGACATAGTTCGTAACGAAATTCAAATTTAAGCTCTAATAATGTCCATCTTTTTATCATCTATCTCGCCGGATCTTCTAGGTGGGTCGTGATTCCGGTCCGGTGATAGATTCTGCGAAGCATCGCTCTTGTCAAGCAAATTTTGGTAGATCTATGCCGTAATATCACCTACCATTCCTTGAGTAGCAACTGAGGAATAACTCCTTTGCGAATAGGTCAAGAAAAAAATACTCGTTTACTCCCACTGAAAGAAGATTAAATTGGGATAAAGCCATCAAAAGCATAGATTTGTGTGAATGGTCTGAGGAGGGAATGACCTGTTCGCAATGGCGCCACGATTCCAAGGATCCCTTTGACCTTTTGACGCTATTGTTATTTTTGGGGTCGACATTTCAAGCGACGATCTGTATTAGAGCCGTTATAGTATATCAAAATGAATATATACAATGTTAGGGAGTCCTTAACAGAGCGAAACGGCACCTAACGTTGGCAATGTTAATTATATTAAACAAAGCACAGTTTTGACAAAGACGTGGAACACTGCGCCTATCTCTGAACCGGGACTCCCAAATCTACTTCTTCTTGCTGTTTGGATCTCCTTTTTTTTTTTTTTGGATCTCCTGGGTCGACGGGAGATCTTTGATTCACTTTGTATTTTGTTCCGTATATTCCATGAAGATAGTACTCTGAGAAACTGTTTGAGATGATCGCGTAATCCTGAATTCCTCGGCCAATTCATTGTTATTGCCTGGAATCACTCCATGCGTGCAGTCCTGTAGAAATCATTTTTATCTCGTGCCACCTGCAGCTAATTCCACTTCACAGTATTTCCCAAACGGTTGAATTGTATTTGTTTGCAATTTCCCTTCGAGAGCGATCGACACCCTACGTTCAATATTGGAAAAACAACGTTAGGAAGAAAATTTCCTAAAGCCATCTAAATTGGTCATTATTACATTGATTGGGCATTATTGCAGCATTTGTTAGTTTGGTCATTACTGTGGGTAGACCAGTACTTTCGATTAGGTACTTGATTCTAAGCAGGTACAAGCGGGTACGGGGCGACGGGGTAGTTCAGGGTAAAATAAAAACAAAAATCCATTTCACTTGGCTAAGTGATAATATTTTTTTTATTTCTTAATTTGGTGGACGAGCTCACAGCCCACCTGGTGTTAAGTGGTTACTGGAGCCCATAGACATCTACAACGTAAATGCACCACCCACCTCGAGATATAAGTTCTAAGGTCTCAGTATAGTTACAACGGCTGCCCTACCCTTCAAACCAAAACGCATAACTGCTTCACGGTAGAAACAGGCAGGGTGGTGGTACTTGATCGGTGATCGCGGGGGCGCGGAAGTATCACGACGTCCCCGCGTACCTCCGCCGGCTGATCGGCTCCTATCTCGGGGACAGGTCGATCGTATGCGTCAGACACGGTGGGACGGTTTACCGCTTCCCCGTCGAGTGCGGTGTTCCGCAGGGGTCTGTCCTGGGCCCCCTGCTGTGGAACATCGGTTACGACTGAGTTCTGCGGAGCGCCCTACGGGGTTCCCTCCCCGGGCTAAGTGTCGTCTGCTATGCCGACGACACGTTGGTCGTAGCCCCGGGGAGGGACTACCGGGAGTCTGCCCGTCTGGCTTACGCAGGTATGGCAAACGTCGTCGCAAGGATCCGACGGGTGGGGCTCGAGGTGGCGCTCGAAAAAACCCAGGCCCTGCTATTTCACGGGCTGGGACGGGCGCTGCCTGCGGATGACCACCTCGTGATCGTAGGCGTTCGCATCGGGGTCGGGGTGACCGGTCTCAGGTACCTCGGCCTCGAACTGGATGGTTATTGGAGGTTCCGCGCTCACTTTGAGAAATTGGACCCTCGGCTGATGGCGACGGCCGGCTCTTTGAGCCGGCTTCTTCCTAACGTCGGGGGTCCTAATGAAGTGGCGCGCTGCCTATACACGGGGGTGAAGCGGTCGATGGCACTATACGGTGCTCCGGTATGGTGCCAGGCCCTGACCTGTAAGAACGCAGCCGCGCGCGATCGCGGTCAGGGTCATCCGACGATACCGCACCGTCTCCTACGAGGCGGCGTGCTTGCTCGCCGGGGCGCCATCCTGGGACCTGGAGGCGGAGGCGCTCGCCGCCGATTACAGGTGCCGTAGCAACCTTCGCTCTAGGGTTGAAGGGCACCCTGGCGAAGGAGTAATTAGAGCGCGGAGGCTCCAATCTCGGCAGTCTCGCTTGGCGAACCCGTCAGCCGGCCTCCGTACCGTCAAGGCGGTTCGCCCGGTTCTCGCAGACTGGGTTGGCCGCGACCGCGGACGTCTCACCTTCCGGCTGGCCCAGATGTTGACCGGCCATGGTTGTTTTGGCCGGTATTCTATAACTATTCTATATTATATATATCTACACAAAATAGCCGAAAGGGAACCGATGGTGCAGTGCCACCATTGCGCAGACCGCGACGAGGAAGACACAGCGGAACACACACTGGCGCGTTGCTCTGGATTCGACGAGCAATGCGCCGCCCTCGTCGCGGTCATAGGAGAGGACCTCTCAGCGACGAGTCCTGGAAGGCGATGCTCGACTTCTGCGAGTCCCCCATATCGCAGAAGAAGGCAGCGGAGCGAGAGAGGGAGAGCTCATCCCTTTCCGTCGCCTTCGAGCCGGGGGCCGGAGGAGGGAATACGCCCGTACGTCCCGGCCCCTGTAGATGGCGGCTTCCCCCCGGTGAAGGTCAAGGGGCGACCTGAGGGTGTAGAGGCCGCGAGGCGTGCTACCAGCACTTTAGCACGCTGCCAAGGAAACACGAAAGAGCGACCGGTTGGCGGTGTATCGCGTCCCGACCCGGCAGGCTAGTTCTGGTCCAGCGGGGTATTCCGGGACACCAGCGGCACCGTCTGGGCGGCCTGACGGGCTGCCATACTGAGACGGCCGACGTTTCAGAGCCTTCGATTCGCCTCGAAGGCTCCATCGGCTGGGCATCCATGGGGTGAGCCGCGCCGTCTGGTTGTAGTGTTGACCGCGGTAATCCCCCTACCTCATCCGGGTTCTGACCTCGGAGGGGATCGGACGCTTGGGCGAAGAGTGCAGGGGAGTCGTTTTGTGGGTGTGCCCTAAAATTTCTTGGGCCCGCGGTCTGCTCTCAACACCTGCAGATCGTTGAGTCCCACATACCCCGCGCGCCCCTTAGGTGCGGGGATCTCGAAGGAGGTTCGGCCCCCAGCCCGAAAAAAAAAGGGTGGTGGTACCTACCCGCGTGGTTCTACCACCTACGTAGCAAGAGGTCCTCCCACCATTAATTACGCAAATTGTAATTTTGCGGGTTTGATTTATATATTATAAGATATATATAATCATATACGAATTTATACACAACATAACACTTTTATCAGAGAAAAAGAAGAATATAGTATACTATAAGTATAAGAGAATAGTTTATTGCACTGAACACAATAGATTGCGAGTCAAATTTTTAAGTTTCCGCCAATTCATTCAGCAAAAGTTGCCGAACCTTTATTTTGAAATTTAAGCGATCTGTGATCATCCTAACATTATGATTTAAACGCGATAAATTCCCAAATTTTCCAAAATTTACTACTGCTATTGCTATGTGTCTTGGTAGCAGCAATCAAACATGACTATATAAAGCGAAGCAGTCATATTTTCCAGCTCGAAAGCCGGCCGGCCGGCCGGTAATCATTTGTTAAGGAGAGTCATTTATTTAAGAATTTAATATAACATAAGATTATAGAGCATAAGCTTCGCTCCTCATCTCCTTCTCACTACATTATTCAGATTTATTTTACATAGGAGACTTGCAGCTCATCATACACTTAGTGGTGATTCTTAAACCCGTAGAAGTCACAGCCACAGACAGTGAATGTATTTATTGGTCATCTTCAGACATGAGGTGGAAACTTAATTAGTACAGTAGTAAACAAATTTTAAGATTGACTTCAAATCTATTGCGCCTAGCTGATATAAACACATATTCTAGCAATTAATTTTATTCATTTACATAATATACGATTAAACTGGTAAGCATTAATTAAGCGATGGAGTTACTAAATAAAGAACCAAATTATTTTTTTATAAAAGATTTACTATTTTAGAAAGTTACAAGTAAACATAACTTAAATTAATAAATAAATAATGAACTAATGAAACATTTTAACAACTAATGCTGTGATCATTAGAATGAAGGATGAGGTAACGGTGGTTGATGAGCTCCTAGCCAACAGGAAGTTATAAATGTCAGTGGCTTCAGCGTTGCCCCATTCGAGGTTGCTGATGGCAGAATTAATGACAGAAACTCCTGTGGAGAAGGCGGTGCCGAGAGCTAGCTGGTTGGCGTATACCCAAGATTGGAACTGTAAGGAGAATTTGAATTGTTATGCTTCCTCTAGGGTTAAGAAGGATAAACGAGTTATATGTTTGATACTTATTAGATATAATTGTCTTTAAATCTTCTGTAATACATGAGTAAGCATCATCATCAGCCTGCGGCAGTCCACTGCTGGACATAGGCCTCGCCCAAAGCTCGCTACCGAACCCGATCTTCGATTCTACGCATCTAGTCATTGCCAGCTGCCTTGTGCAGGTCGTCGCTCCATCTAGCAGGAGGGCGTCCTACTCTACATTTGCCGGTTCGCGCTCCCCACTTCAGAACACGTCTACCCCAATGGTTATCGGTTTTGCGACATATGTGACCAGCCCACTGCCACTTCAGCTTACTGACTCTGCGAGCTATATCAATCAACTTGGTTTTCGCCCAAATGACTTCATTACGTATTCGGTCTCGCAATGACAAACCAAGCATCGCTCGCTCCATAGCTCGCTGAGTAACTTTTGGTCGGTGGACTACTCGCACGGTCAGCGTCCACGTTTCGGCTGCGTAGGTAAGCACGAGTAAGTAACCTGAAGTGTATTCACGAATGCTCACTGTGACTGGCTTATCAACAATGCATTCATGTATACATATATTAGCGACAGAATGTGCAACAGTACGCTCTAGCGTATTAGTTGATCTTCAATAAACTAAAAAAGCCGTATCATTGTCATCAACTTTTGTATCTTAAGCCTACAAAACGCAGCAACTAATTACCGAATTAATATTTTTTTCTTTAAATTCTGTTATATTAATTACCTCTCTTATTATTGCGAAATCAGTTAGGAACCCAGATATTGCATTAACAGCTGTGACGAGACGAGCTTCACCTCCATAACTGAAACAAAAACTTGCTTGTTGGGTAAAAATGATAATTTTCAATTAATCTTGAATCAGATACAATCAATAACAAATAATGACAAAGAACCTTCATTTTGTAATAAAATTGTAAGTAAAATATTCCCGATTTTAATAAATTCAAAATAGGGATGAGTAGGGATTTGCAGATGAGTTCACACGCTACATAGTGCCCAACGGTTATCAAAGCATATTATGAGTATCAAAAGAAGAACAGCCTTGAGTGTGCTAGTAGAAATGGATAAATTATTAGAAAATCTGAAAAAGATGAGTGGTATGATGGTCGTACCTGGTGCGAATAGCCGCAAAGTTTTGATACAGGAAGTTAAGAACGATAGGCAAATTTTCCCTGTTGCCTTGTAGAGCATAACTAAAGGCGTTCGTGCGGTCGTGGATGCGGATCCTATCGTTGTGCATTGACTGGAACATGTAACTGAAAGGAACACAACAATTTGTCATCACTAATATTCGAGGCTTCCTTCCAATGAGAGTTGTAGGCCTAATGCTTCCATAAATGTATAATTACCGTTGCTTGCATGCTTAGAAATAATTGGCCTTATAATACAAAATCACCATAAATAGATTATAGAATCAGTCGCTGGTTGAAAGTCTACCTTCTATTAATATCTGTTCAGATTTGAATAAGTAACTTTGTTCTTATCGGCTAAAGAAGATTAATTAACAGATGGCAATAATTCTGCACAGTCCACATTCTTTTTTAAATAAATGCCTTCCTATGGATCCATTCAATCAATTCCAAATATTAAAAATCCCAAATAATATTTTTGTTTTGGTAGAGAAAACGAAATAATCATAGATAATTGCATTTCATCAAAGATGATTTCAAATCAAGTAAATAATTTTCCAAATTAATGGTTAATGGCACATCTAAAACAATCTAAATAGATTGGGAAATCCCAACCATAAGAAATTTAATCTTATACCGAGTTTTTTTCTCTAATCTGATTTAATTAGGTATATGCGAAAGGCCCAATTTTAAACCATGTACTAAGGTACTACAATCATCCCTATTTATAATGTTTCATGGAATCTTTGCTTTGGCAAGCATGTAGTTTTGCATACAGGATAGCCGTTATCGTAAAATCTAGCTAAAGAAGTTCTCTCTGCAGAGTCTATAGATACAGTATCTGTCCAACTTCAATAATGCAATTGTAGATTTTGAATTTAAAAACAAGAATTGGTTGTTAAATCTGAACATACTGTTGCAATGAGTTTGTGTCTCTAGTACAAGCGAGAGCTCGCAGCATAACGACCATGTCGGCTGTGTTCTGGGAAGCATTGTACCGCTCGAAGAGGAAGTTGTAGTCACTGGAGTTGCCTTGACGAACACCAACACAGTACACGTAGCGCCGAGAATTCACTGGGACCCTAAAAAAACGATTATTTTCAAATTTTTTATCAGCTATTCTATATAATTCGTGCAGTCCAGCAGACGTGGTGGTAAGTAGTCGCCATCACTTATGGCATCAGCATTTTGGAAAAGGCAATCCATTGCCTATTAGAATTATTTTTATTTACTTCATTTTGTTCATTCGACTACCGTGCCAAATATACTACTGATTGTGTATTGCATGGATCTACTTGTATATGCTTATACTTAACAGAACAGTGGTAGGAATATTCAAAAAGTCGCGCGTTCAAGACCAGTTACACTTAAATAGCTTTTCCAAACAGTTACTTATGAACCAGAATATGGGAATGTGATTTTACACAGATAGGTACAACCATCTTGTTTAATCCTAATTCACAGTGGGACAATCATCATACAATTAAACACTTTCCTTCACATTTCATCTCAGGGCACCTATGGGCCCCAGCTAGGGAAATTTAAAGATTTCCCCTATATTCTTTCCCTTAAGTTTAGTAAGTGCAAGTTCCATGAGCACTTGCTATTCTGCTCTATTACTCTACCTTCACCTATTAAAAATTTTCGAGCTTATGAGTAAGTAGTAAAGAACCCAATATAAATTTAGATAAATATCTATTAATTTATGATATTCAAGTCCACCCAAACGCGAATCGACTGAGCTGGCGCAAGATAGTTTACGAGAAAGTCATTCAGAGAGACCATGATCCTCAGCATTGAGGATCATCGGCTCAAAGAGGTCATAATATTGCAGCACGTCACAAAACCGTTGATTGGCATAAATGGCGTTGTGTATACCACCAGCCTGCCACCTATGAAATCAAACGGTACTCACAAATTGGTCGGATTGTTCCTAAACTGTCTCCATTTCTGAAGACTGTCGCTGATGCAGCCGGAATGCCCGAGGTTGCAGGCGAGGTTCAAGATCTGCATTCTGTTGAGAATGGTTGATGTGGAGTCGGTTGCGCGTTCGTTGTATCCCAGGTGATTGATCACGTTTCTAAGAAGATCCAGAGTGTAAGCCTGCAAGTCAAATACGTAAACTTATTTATTTATGCACACATAGGGACGGTACGATAAATCGATTCGCGTGCCCTTGGCTGTCTTTTAAGGGCAATTAATATTCTTCCAATGCAATTGAGGTTCATATTTGTGATTCTAGGATATTCACCGGTTGGTATGGAATCAGCTGTTTTAGTTCCACAAATATAAATATCGAATATACGAATCTTCATCATGGCTCACGGGACATCTTGTATTTCGTATTGGAAAAAAATTACAAAAATTACACTGAATACTATAATGTGATGCACACAATGTTATGTCTACACCGCTCTGGCCAAAATGATATCATATTAATTGGACTAGCAGCTCGGCGTGGAAGGATCGCTGCGGCCGCGTCAGTTTGTACAGAAGAATTGCGTGATTTGTAGGCCAGATTTTTCTTACATTTTTTCTGTACACGACTGTAGATAAGATAGCAATTATAATTGTTTTTATTAGTAAAGTATTTAATGAACGAACAAGTATATAGCGACTTACATACTGTAGTGTTTTACATGGGGATATATTACGTTGTCACCCTTTGTGTTTTAATATTGAAAATTTTTGTACTAATGAGCTTTACTATATCGCCACTCTCATCTTATTGGTCTCAGATGAATCACATAAAATTGCAATCTATCTATATATATAAAAATGAATTGCTGTTCGTTAGTCTCGCTAAAACTCGAGAACGGCTGGACCGATTTGGCTAATTTTGGTCTCGAATTATTTGTGGAAGTCCAGGGAAGATTTAAAAGGGTAGGATTTAGATAGATATGAAAATGCTCGAAATTAAATAAGCAAATAGCAATTTTGCTTTTCCTTTGATGTGTCCCCCGTCGAACGGAATCCTTTTGTTTGTTTTAAGTTTATTTTATACAAAAGTTTAGGTATTTTATTTATCGATTGAAGCACTACGAAATCTGCCGGGTGAGCTAGTTCAATAATAAATAATGATAAAATAACTAATAGTCTGTCAATGGCAAGAGAAGAATTGAACTTAGATACAGTGTCAATATAGGAAAACACTCGATTAGTTACTCACTGTGAAAGCTTCATGCGCTTGAGGCAAATGTTCCAGTCTCCTGCGAATCCATTCGAGTTGCGTGATAGCGCCAGCCCAAACGTAATAGTCTCTCTCATTTTCCAGGAATGATAACACGTCGAAAGCGCGAGACGTGGTGATCTTACCAGCTCGAATGAAGAACAAAACGTCGTTGACGATCTAAAAAAGAAATTAATATAATTTCGAATGATCTTTCGAAAGATCTAAATGGTTCCTTTAATAATTCTATCCCCTTTAAATTAAATACGCCAGTACGTGTATGCGATTATGGATTATGCAAATGTGCACAACAATTTCACGAACACTAAATTCTACCTGAGATTATGATTTTAATTGTTCAGTTCTTAACTATATTTTAATTGTAACTATACTTGAGACCTTAGAACTTATATTTCAAGGTGGGTGGCGCATTTACGTTGTTGATGTCTATGGGCTCCAGTAACCTCAAGTGGTGGTGGTCATCAGGTGGGCTGTGAGCTCGTCCACCCATCTTAGCAATAAATAAAAAGTTCTTTGTAAGTACTTTATTTTTTTTCCAAAATAGTTGCGAAAATATCATCGCCATTGAAATTGTCTTCGTAAAGTAGAGCCAAAATGATGGTAGTATGTTTACATGTACACATAATACTAAGTTATATAGTATTAAAATTAAAGGAACATAACGGTTTCATATTCCGGTTTTTTTTATTGCCCTTGTTGGCAGCCGAGTATACGGCCCACCTGATGTTGAGTGGTTTCCGTCGCCCATGGACTTCAGCAATGCCTGGGGCAAAGCCAAACCGCTGCCTACGGTATTTGGAATACACTACACGTTGCGTCACGGAACACAGACGTCTCTTAAGTATAATAAAAAAAAATTTGACTCGTGATTAAGCCGTCAGATAAATTTCAGTTAAAGATGTTATAGTTTATCGCTTTATTACTTACTTGAGCTCTGTTTAGTTTGTGAACTGCCTCTCTGTTGGTTCGGAGGAAAGCAGCAATTCGCTGCCAAGTGCTGTCGTCATAGTTGACACGGTACAAACCTGTTGAAGTGGATTGAATTTTTCAATTTACTTTTGGAACCTGACCACGCTCCACTGTGACTGGTAAGGAACACTGCTAACTGTTTTAAAAAGACGTCCTGTTGCGTGAGCTATCTCGTGTATCACCCGATGCGTACTTTGATAGTATTACGACAAAAGCCTAAAGCATGAAGTCCCGTAGCTGCCACCAAAGTTAAAATCGTTTGAAACTTTAATCTTTAAAAGTTAAAGATAACAAATACCGAATTTCATAATAATAAAAAAGTTTACCAGATTGAGCGATGTTCAACATCACCCAGTGTTGGCCGGCGTTACCCTGGATGTTGACAGTTCTGGTGTTCATAATTAAGCTGGGTCTGGTGTTGGAGAAATTACGGGTCGTTGCATCAGTCCAGGTGATAGGAATTCGCCAAAGCTGGTCTCGTGATCCAGTGAGGAGGAAACGCTCCTAGTAGATAAAAAAATAGGTTGAAAGAAAAAAGCATTTCCTAAAATTAAGGGCATTTATACTTATTATTTATATCCTTATATATATCAAGGTTAAATATGCTAGAGTAGAGGGGGAAGGGGTCGACCGAAAAAGACATGGATGGAGTGTGTGAATAACGATATGAGAGAGAGAGAGAGAGGAGTGAGTGTTGAAATGACGGCTGATAGAAGAGAAGGAAGAGAAAAATTAGCTGTGCCGACCCCACCTAGTGGGATAAGGTGGAGAAGAAGAAGATCAAGGTTAAATATGCTCACAGTTTTAAAGTACTCCATTCGAAATTATTAGTAAATTTATCGTGTTATAAAAGTGTTTATTGGGTTGATTGTCCTTGTGTATGTCCTTTACTGGTGGTAGGACCTCTTTTCACTGGTGGTAGGACCTCTTGTGAGTCCGCGCGGGTGGGTACCACCACCCTGCCTATTTCTGCCGTGAAGCAGTAATGCGTTTCGGTTTGAAGGGTGGGGCAGCCGTTGTAACTATACTTGAGACCTTAGAACTTATATCTCAAGGTGGGTGGCGCATTTACGTTGTAGATGTCTATGGGCTCCAGTAACCACTTAACATCAGGTGGGCTGTGAGCTCGTCCACCCATCTAAGCAATAAAAAAAAAAGTATTGAAATGAGTTTTTTCTTAGTTTTCTTAGACTTTAATAATCAATGTGTCAATAATCGGTAGGCAGCGGCTTGGCTCTGCCCCTGGCATTGCTGAAGTCCATGGGCGATGGTAACCACTCACCATCAGGTGGACCGTATGCTCGTCTGCCTACAAGGGCAATAAAAAAAAAAAATCAACAGTGCAAAATTGAATTGATTACGTCTCACTAGTTTATTATTAAAATAGCACTTAACACGTTGAACACCATGGGGCCCACCGCTGGGCCTAGCATACTATAATACCATTCGGGCCGAGCCAAAATCAAGGAATCAGTAATTTTAATCAACTTAAAATTTTCATTTTAAAATTTATAAAATGCAATAATTTGCACGGAAGATAAAAATTAGCTACTTTTACCGTCTAGTTTTTAAAATATTTTAAAAGGCTTGATAAAAACCACAACTTTGTATTGGATTTGAAAACTAAAGCGTTAGGTTCGGCTAAAGGGCCACACGGCTCACTTCCATACGCGTTTTGTTTAATAGCTGCAATATGTGGCTTGTACGTGAAGCGTTTACGTTGGAACTCTAAGGCGGCTCACGGGTGACCCTCATAGCCCAAACGGCTCAGCACTGTGGCCTGAATGAAGATACTCAATTTTTCATGTGGCGTTCAACGTGTTAATTGACTTCATCTCTAACTTATATGTGACCTTAGAAACTGTACCTGAGTCAAAGTGATAACGCCATTGTTTGTGTTAAATTCTACATTAATGACGGGAGACCCTGGATTTTGGACCCAGCTGTCTAGAATTTCTCCGACATCGACGTTAGGGAAGTCACGGGCGAAAACGTGGTCTTCAGAGGCAGCTCTTCTCAATGCAGCGTACAAGTCCGCTGGAGTACCAATGCCGTAAGCACTGTCAATGTGTGGAAGTAATATTATAACTACATAGCATAAAACAAAGTCGCTTTCTCTGTCCCTATATCTCTATGTATGCTTGAATCTTTAAAACTACGCAACGGATTTTGATGCGGTTTTTTTTAATAGATAGAGTGATTGAAGAGGAAGGTTTGTATGTATAATAACATCTATTAAATAGTGGAGAAATTAATAATAAATTACAGTTTCCGAAGCGAAGCGAGAGCGGGTCGCTAGTTTAAAGATAATACAAATCATAAGGCATGCTCATTAGTGCCGATAGTACAATATAAATGCCAAGAGTCGTAAGTTCAACATTAAGGCAATACTATCATTTTATTACTTTGTCCAAATTTTTGGTTTAGCTTAATATTATGGATATTATTTGTTAACGCTTTTTTTTTTATATTTCATAATTTTAAAATATTTCCCTCGTTGGATTTCCTGTTTGGACTACTTGAGTCTTGTCTACGTGTCTCAATACTCGCTACGTTAGTATTTCATCAGTTTAGTAAAAGTTAACAAAACAACATAAATCTACAATCACACTCATGTGCCAGATAGCCAGATAGTAATTTTAATAATAATTGTAAAAAGACATGCTTTAATAAAAACCAACTTCAAATAGAAAAAAAAAGATATACCAAAACAAATTAATATACACTAAAAACAATAACTATCGAAATCGGTTAGCGTGATATTGAGTTATTGAGTTATTCATCTATTTGTCGCGCACGTACTTAATGCAAATTAAAGACTTATATGATTTTCTCATGGATACCATGGATACACGGGAAGCGTCAGCTTTTTAATAAAAAAAGAATCATTGAAATCGATTCAACCAGTCAAAAGTTATGAGGTAACAAACATAAAAAAACATACAGTCGAATTAAGAACGTCCTCCTTTTTTAAAATCGGTTAAAAAGTACACGTACTTGTCTCTGAGGTAGTATCTCAGGCCGTTCCTGAAAGTTCTGGACCCGAGGAAATGCTCCATCATCCTGAGAACCGAAGCGCCCTTGGCGTAGCTTGTTGTACTGAAGTGGGAAGAGATCGATGAATTATTAGACACTTCCGTCCAGTTCATCGGCGTCGCACCAGTTCCAGCATCCCACGTCAGAGCACTGTGTACGTAGTCCACAACAAATTGGTCGTCTAGCTCCAAAGAAGGATCCGCCTGAGAAACAAAAAAAATACTCATTAATTATGGTCTCCATGTAATATTCCCATTTACTAGTTCTGAGCCCATTCAAATATTCAAAATAAATGTTGCAAAGATGATAAATATTAAAAATATCACATGTTAAACATTCAAAACACTCTCCTGTTAAATTAGTAAGTTTTGAGATTTTACAGTTTTAATGCGAGAAGACGATATATGAGTCGACTATTATCAAAGCCGGCAATGTGAGTTTTGGACAATTATTGGTAAATCAGAAAACCTAATTATTGACTTTGTATTCCACTGGCAGTCACAAAACTCTTCTGAACGACATCTTAGATAAATAACAGGTTAAGTTAATACTTTATTTAATGCAGGTTTTGAACCGTATTCTTTGAAGGAGACGATTATATTCAAATCAATCTGTATTGACATATCAAAAATTTTTTTTGTCCAAATGCACAGATTGCCACCTTTAATAATAGACGACTCATATGCAAAAATAAACTGTAACAAAATTTATACGTACGTAATGAGCACCGAAGTATTCGTAGAAGCTAGCAAAAGACTCGTTGAGCCACAAGTTGCTCCACCAGAAACATGTGACAAGGTTGCCGAACCACTTGTGAGCTAATTCGTGAGCCATGATGGTGGCGATGAAGATCTTATTGATTAAATTCGTGTGCTGCGGATCGTAGAGCAGGTACGCTTCTCTGAAAATACAATAATGTGTAAATCTAAAATATATAAGAAAAGAAGTGGGTCACGGTCAGTTTTCCACGGTGAAGGAATAACATCGTGTAATAAAAATCAAACCCGCAAAATTATAATTTACGTAATTACTGGTGGTCTTACTGGTGGACGTCTTGTGGGTCCGCACGGGTAGGTACCACCGCCCCGCCTATTTCTGCCGTGAAGCAGTAATGCGTTTCGGTTTGAAGGGTGGGACAGCCGTTGTAAATAACTATACTGAGACCTTAGAACTTAATCTCAAGGTAGGTGGCGCATCTACGTAGATGTCTATGGCCTCCAGTAACCACTTAACACCAGGTGGACTGTGAGCTCATCCACCCATCTAAGCAATAAAAAAAGACTCAGAAAGACCTGCTGCTCCGTGATAATATAGACAGAAAGGTAATGAATGATAAGTATAATAGATTTCATTTTTTCAACAGTAAGCTGTTCTTAAATCTCAACGAATATTTGCTAACTTATTATTAAAAGTAAACAATTTCATCTTAGTAAATTACGTAATACCACTACCAGGCTTATATATAACTTCTACATTATTAGATTTTACAAATATATTCGATTTCCAAATGAAAATTACCTGTAGTTTACCATTCCCCAGTTCTCCATCGCACCAGATGGAAAATCAGGCAAGGCAATGTGATCGTTCTTCATAATCGTACCCTGACCCATCTCGTGGTACAAAATTCCAAAGTAATCATCAAGCTTGTCGGTAATCTTCAAACCGATTTTGGCGGCATATTCATGTTGAGACGTTACACCTTGGCGAGAAATTATTCCGAATGGACGAGAGTCGGTACCGGTGAGACTGGTTTCAACAAAATCGCTTACGTGGAACGCTACCAAGTAAGAAGAGACGATGGGAGTTGGGAAGAACGTCTCTTTGACGCGGTTGGTAGAAGGGCTGTTGGTGAAAGAAAAAATTTAATTAGGGTAAATGATGGTAAATCCAAACTTCGTACAAAGGTACGCGCATCTATGACTTATGAAAATTTATGAAGTGACATTGATGTTTCCTGGTATTGTATCGTCTTCTGCCGGTTTCGCAGCCCGTTTGGTTTTAAATGCTCATACCGGAGCCCATAGACGAAAGAACACCATCCATCCGGGAACTTAGGTCAAAGTCACCATTTTATAATTTCAAGAGCAAGAAAATTGCGAATTTGGTACCAGAATTTTCGTTATGGTGTCGAAGGCTCTTTACGTGGAAACAAAAACAATCGATTATTATAATAATAAAAAAATACTTGCGTTTCTGTGTTAGATATAGGCATGTTCGAGTATGTCGGACTAAGGCTCCTGTCTCGGGTGATTGAAATGATGTATATTGATTTAAACTGGGGCTCGTCGAAGCACGGGAAGGCCTTCCTAGCATGGAATGGCTGGAATTGTGTGGTAGCATAATATCTGAAAGAATACAGTTTTATTTGTAACATAGTCCATCAGATTAAGATATTAATAAAAAAATTCTAGAAGTTTTTATTGAAAGTAGCACGATTTTACTTATTAACGCCAATCTAATTTCAAACGTTCTACGTTCCAAATTCAAGCTAATATGGTATTTTCTGATAAGCTGGAAACACGTATGATACTAGAGCTCAGTACTACCCTACTACTCATTCTATCCTAGGAGATAAAGTACACGAAGACTACCAGTGGTATCTTTCGATACGAATAGAAGTGGCACATTAGGTATCTACCCATGAGACCAGATTGGCTACTTAAACGAAAAGATGTATGTGATGTACCCGAAATCTACTCACCTGAGCTGATTGTTGACGTAATAGTAACCTCGGTAAAAACCTCTGTCAACAGGATTGGTATTGATTTGACCGCGATACCTCACTGTGACGGTGTAATTACCAGCAGCGATTGGTTGGGCGAGGTTGATCAGCAGGAGTTCGTAATGTCTGTCAATAGTGAACGGATCCGGGAATTTTAATCCCACTGGATCACCACGGGCGGTAACCAAATTCACACCCTGGATAGAGACCACGTTCTGGTGGAACACGATCTGTTCAATGTTGCTCGCTAGAACCTAGAAATTAACGTTTAATTCGTTTTTGTCTTGAACTATCTAAAAAAATCTCATTCTCTAAATACTACATTCTCTAGATAAATACACGGCTTAATCTCGCGTTTGTTTTAATTTTAAAAGTTTTCAACATATTTATTGTTTGTACTAGCTGACCCGGCAGACTGACTTCGTAGTGCCTCAACCGAGAATTAAAAGACTTAACTTTTGTATAAAATAAACTCCAAAAAAAAAACAAAAGGAATCCGTCCGACGGGGGACACATCTAAAAAAAAACAAAATTGTTATTTTTATTTAATTCCGAGCATTTTCATATTTATCTACCTTTTAAACCTTCTCGGGACTTCCACAAATAATTCAAAATTAGCCAATCGGTCCATCCGTTCTAGCGAGACTAACGAACAGCAATTCATTTTTATATATATATAGATAGATTAAGTAGCCAGATGAAAGGGGTTCACAGCCCGCCAGGCGTCAAGTGGTTAACGAAGCCCATAGACAACGTGAATACCGCCACCCACCTTGGATATAAAGTACTAAACGCTAATGGATGTTAATTGTAACTTAACTGACATACTCTTCTTTATATCTTTTAGATTTTCATAATGTGTGCGATTGGAAGAGGCCATGCTATAATGAGTATTGGGATCAGCAGTGACAGACCTACCAATTTCCTAAATTATCCTCGTAATAATAATTTCTAGTCGACTAATATACAAAAAGCTTGGCTTGGCTAGCTGTGAGCCTAGTGTTAGCGAATGATTTCTTTTAAATTGAAGCAAACAAATGATTCATATCCAACCAAGGCTAGGACTTTGTTATGTCGATATAGGAAGCACACAAACAAGACCACAATAAACTTGCTCAGACAAATAATACAAAATATGTGGTATCGACTCCGGTTGAATTTCGGACATGAATTTCGTGGTACAATCAGAATCGCTAACCTTTTGACGAGTGAAATACATGGTTTCGTGACATAATAAACAAGATGGTAATACCGAGGTGTGCGATCTCAGGAATTCCTCTAAAAACCCAAATGAACACAATGAAGTCTGCCCGTGAAAAACCTCATATTTTCAGCCTTCAAAAACATATAAGTCAAGGTTACCATAAAACTTCCTTTATATTTACTATCTGATACGATCGGCACAAATAATCCTGATTATCGCTAAATGTGACAAAACCCAAATTTTATCGAAAGTATGATTAAAGTGTTGTAAAGTCATTCGATAAAAACGAGTTCGGTGTCTGGATAGCGATTACTGCAGTAACGTCGACAACTAATAAAATAAAAACTAAAGGAATTTGATTGATGATGATTATGGAATTCGACAAAAATTAATGGAATTAATATTATTTTATCGTCGAAGTCGTCGTGGCCTAAAGTATAAGGCGTCCGGTGCATTCGTATCTAGTGATGTACCGGTGTTCGAATCCCGCAGGCGGGTACCAATTTTTCTAATGAAATACGTACTTAACAAATGTTCACGATTGACTTCCACGGTGAAGGAATAACATCGTGTAATAAAATCAAACCCGCAATATTATAATTTGCGTAATTACTAGTGGTAGGACCTCTTGTGAGTCCGCACGGGTAGGTACCACCGCCCTGTCTATTTCTGCCGTGAAGCAGTAATGCGTTTCGGTTTGAAGGGTGGGGCAGCCGTTGTAACTATACTGAGACCTTAGAACTTATATCTCAAGGTGTGTGGCGCATTTACGTTGTAGACGTCTATGGGCTCCAGTAACCACTTAATACCAGATGGGCTGTGAGCTCGTCCACACATCTAAGCAATAAAAAAAAAAAAAAGTGTGATAGGATACGAGTTTTGGACCCGCTCATCGGTCTAACTTAGTGATGATTATCGCAACATATCTCTTGTATGCTTCTATATAGTTATTCTAATGGTTTGACTCTGCAATGCAAATCTTTGTATTACTGTGGTGATTTCGATTTGATTGAATACAAACAGATTTAATTTAAAAAAAAATGTGTGGCTTAGATGGCTGGACGAGCACACAAAGCACCTGGTGTTAAGTGGTTACTGGACCCCATAGACATCCACAAAGTAAATGCGCCACCCACCTTGAGATATAAGTTCTAAGTTCTCAGTATAGTTATAACGGCTGCCCCACCCTTCAAACCGAAACACATTTTTGCTTCACGGCAGAAATAGGCAGGGTGGTGGTACCTACCCGAGCGGACTCACAAGAGGTCCTCCCACCAGTAATTATGCAATTATAATTTTTCGTGGTTTGATTTTTATTACACGATGTTATTCCTTCACCGTGGAAGTCAATCGTGAACATTTGTTAAGTACGTATTTCATTAGAAAGATTGGTACCCGCCTGCGGGATTCGAACACCGTTGCATCGCTACATACGAATGCACCAGAGGTGTTATCCTTTAGGCCACGACGACTTATTACGACACGACGATTAATTATCAATTAATAATTATTTCATGTTTTTTTTTTCGTTCGTTTTTTTTTCCATTTCTCCAAGGTTGGCCGAAATATAACGGCCTGCTTATTATAAGCAAAATTGTGTTCATATTTATAGTCAAGAAATTTGTTCGGTAAAATTTTAAGCAAACCAACACGGTCAATTAAACCTAATAATCTGAATGAACAATTTGAAGAAATGTTTATCAATGAAAATTCAGACGACGCCTGACGCAGTAATTCAAATAATAATTTGCTTAAATACTTTCAGCGTTTTAGAGCGAAGAGTGCACATTTTTTTTTAAAATTTTTAAGGTTTCTGCTCTAATGTTAATAGAGTAAGTCTTTCGTCGGATAGATGTGATGTGTCTTTCGAGAATTTTACGATAGTCTCCTCATCCAATATTGCACCTTGCGTTTTGTCATTACACCTGACACCCGTATTTCAATTAGTCTACACAAAAATGTAGAAACAAACCAGCTTTATAGTATTTTCTTGTGGCTTAGCGGGCCGTAGACTTAATTTAAAAGTGCTTTTAAGATTTACGATAAAAAACCCGAGATTAAACCGTAAAAATAATTTTAATAATTTATCCCCACTTTGGCTATTACCAGTCCATCTATAAATAAGGATTACTACTTTAGTGGAAAAGTACGGATCGACAGACATTACTAACCTCAATATCCATGCTAACGATACCATCAAACCTAGCTTCGTTTAAGAAGACATCTAGGTCGACTCTCATAGTTCTAGGCTGGATAGTGTCGAGGAGTCGGTAAGCTGACTCGGCCACGTTGGTGCTGTAGTCCATCCACTCAAGGTTGGACCTCAGCTCGTCCATGGGGACGGCGAGGCCGGTTCCAATTAGGATACATAGTACAGTGGGCAGCAGCATTGTACCTTTATTGACATTAAAAATATTATATAATCCAATAAATTTGTTAATAGCGGTAGGGCATATTGTAGGTCCACACAGGTGCTAATTTTCTGCTGCGACATAATAGGGTACCTACTTAAGCTTGACTCCCTAGTTAAGGGTAGGAATCTTTTACAGAGTATTTAAGTTTTCGACCTCAAATACGAAGGACATTCGCGTCGTGATATCTATGGGCCCATGTAATTCTGTAACACATAGACTGAAAGTTCGTCTATCCAACTATAATAATAAAAAAACAGAATTTCTCTGTTTGTCTGTTATTTCTTCGTTCCTTTTATTCGTTCGGTTAGTTCCATTTATTTTCACAAAAAATGAAACCGATTTAATGCATCATCATACAATTTCTAAGTACTATACTTCCATAAGAAGATAGAAGATTTAAATGCTATGTCATTCCGTGAGTAAGTAAATTAATTAAAAGCAAAATCGAACTCACCCATAGCGCGCAGCTCACCACCGCACGACCAACTAAACTATACAATAAACCAAATTATGTATTTATCATTTATTATCCGTTTATCGTCAGTGAATAATTATTTTCAACTTATCGGAAACAAGTTCGAAATTATAAATTATCACTAAAGATTAATTTGTATTATCAATATTTGGAAGTGAAACGTCGGAATGCAGGCCGCACCGAACATACTATACCTTTTTTTCGTACCTAAGCTGATAGCCTTGAGAGGCTATGTCAGCGTAACCCTGACGTGCTCAAACCAGAAGGCGTTCCTGGCACTGGCCTTCTTTTTTTTTCAGGTCGGGGGCCAAACCTCCTGCGAGGTCCCCGCGCCTAGAGGGCGCGCCAGGTAAGTGGGACTTGACGATCTGCAGGTGTTGGAAGCAGACCACGAGCCCAAGGAATTTAAAAGCCCTACCGCACTAAACGACTCCCCTGCACTCTTACACCCGACGTTCGATCTCCGTCCGGGGTCAGAACCCGGTCAGAATAGGAGGGTTCCCGCCGTCAACACTACAACCAGACACTCGGCGCCACCCCGAGTACGCCCGACCGACGGGTCGTCGAGGCGATAGTCGACGACCAACGACGCCGATCTCCGCGAAGCACTGGCCTAACCTTACCTAACCTAACACAGGCCCTAGCAAGAGCAGTGCTTCGCAGAATCTACCACCGGATCGGAAACGCGACCCACTGAGAAGATCCAGCGAGAAACTCAGTGGACTGTGTCGGATCTCGAAAACATATTTCAATTATTCTTTAAGGATTTTTTCCGTTTTTTTTTTGGGTTTTTTTATACTTTTTATGGGAATTCCGATCTCCATGCTGCTAAGTGTTCACCGTAGTCCGTGGACATCATAACGTGAATGCCGCCCCCACTGAAATCAACTCTCAAGTATGATGTAAAAAGCTTTTAAAATACATATTAACGCCTACTAAAAAAAATTAATGATATTGTAGTTCAATTGCTCTAAGATTTTTAGTAGGACTTTTGATTGAAAACCGCAACTTTCACACAAACTCATACTTCAACTAGGTGAGCTCACAATTCACCTGGTGTAGGCCTCTTTAGCCTACGATTTAATATGTATCGAGTTGAAGCACAAAGTTATTAAGTTCTCGGCGGATATCTTTACACATGGGCGGTTTCTTGGAATGTTTTTTGGAATTCTAATTTCGCTATTAGGCCCTGTAAGTTCTTCGATCTGTGATCCACATCAAAAGGAACGCAATAGATCGCTTACTTTCGCCATATCTGATTGACTTCAATTTAAGATTTTCACGGTAAATCAGGCTTGAAGAATTGTGTTTAGTATAGATATTTTTTGCTCTAGACAAGCCCATAGTCCAAGAAGGGTGAACGCTGTCGCCCACCTTTACATGTGATGTCGAAGTATCAATTTTGTTGTTTAATTCCAATCCCGCCAATTAAAACGGAACATAATATATTGGAACGAAGTTCCTTATCGCGCGTTGTGAAAGGGGGCTAGACGGAAAAAATTCTTACGAAAAGTTGTCACGACACTTTTTAGATCCGTCATTCTGACCAATCAACGTGTAAGCGCTTATCGCTTGACATTGCTCGTATCCGATTGGTCCGCGTAATGAGTACAGTTTCTCGAGATAGCGTTTCAACAATAGTAATTTAGTTCATAGTATTGTTTTTTTTTCTTCATAATGCCGTAATTTATTATTATAACTTTAAAAAAAAATTACAATTCCTTCACTAATTAATCGAAAGGAACTTCGTTCCATCCGGGTGTCCCTTGACACATCTGAAGTTTTTTCTACGTGTGATAGAAATTGACAGAATAGTAGTATCTAAAAGTTTTTTTTTTTTTAAGAAAATTAAATTTACTATTGAATTACTATTATTATTCTAAATTAGGGAGTAATTTAGCTTGTGCGACACGACTTCTTCGCTTTTTTTTTCGTTCATGTCTTCCGATGATACACGCATAGTTACAGAGCATAGCATGTTTGATGCTTCCTATAAAAGCCACAAAGTCCTACGCCATATACGAGTACATACATATCGAAAGGGTGTAAGGCCATTTGACTTGAGCGACTTTTTTTTCAACTTTACGCAAGAGCTATTTAAAGTATAAAATTTGGAAGAAAATATCGTAAAAATAAACTTCTTCAGCTTTTTTAATGGGGTAAACTCCATTGAATTTCAATTAAAACATCAAACTGTTGACTCTAATTCCAAATGAAACGGATATTTAATTACGAAGATCAATAAACACGTTATGACGGATCCTCCCGAACCCCGGCTTTAGGTACCTCAAGCACCGGTCACCGCCCTCGCCGAACCCGTCGCTTGCGACGAAGTGCTCGACGAGTAAATTAACCCATAGACACGGCCCACTGAGTTTCTCGCTGGATCTTCTCAGTGGGTCGCGTTTCCGATCCGGTGGTAGATTCTGCGAAGCAATGCTCTTGCTAGGGCCAGTATTAGCAACACTCCCGGTTTGAGCCCCCTGAGCTCACCTATTTGTCAAGAAGAAGCTGAAATATCCTCTCAAGGCTATCAGCATAGGTAGGGAAAAAAAGACATGCCTGTTTATGGTAGTCATTTATTTATTAATTTTTTATTATTTTGTAGGCAGAAGAGCATACGACCCAATTGATGGTAAGCAGTAACTGTCGCTCATGGACTAGAAATTCCAGAGGCAGAACCAAGGCGCCTTTGAGTACTCTCCGCAAGCCTCATTTGAAGAATAGCACCCGCGAAACACCGCGGAGGGGAGCTCATTACAAAGCCGGATGGTATGTGGCATAAAAGATCTTTGGAAACGCAATGGCGATGAACGCAGCGGTTCCAGATAATATGGATGAACTCTACTCCGATGAAGAGAGGTGTGAGAGTAAAAAGGAGATGAGGGAAAAGGAGAGAAGTAACCAAGGGTTTCTTGTGACGCGTTTATTTAAAAACCATATTAAATTAATATAAATTACAATGAAATACAAACTTTTATAATAATTGAAAAATATAGTATATATATTCAATAATTTAATTTATGTACAAACAATATTACGCCAAATTGACAGCTAAGGTGATGATAAGTGTGATAAAGCTTAGGGCTGCGACGTTTGCTGAATCGGGTGCAGGGGTGACAGCTGGAGCTTCTGTAGACAGAAAAATATCAGCACGTTTTCTATATATATAAAAATGAATTGCTGTTCGTTAGTCTCACTAAAACTCGAGAACGGCAGGACCGATTTGGCTAATTTTGGTCTTGAATTATTTGTAGAAGTCCAGAGAAGGTTTAAAAGATAAATAAATATAAAAATGCTCGGAATTATATAAAAACAAACAATTTTGTTTTTCCTTTGATGTGTCCCCTTCATGTGTCTTTTATTTATCGATTGAGGCACTACGAAGTCTGCCGAGTCAGCTAGTTCATAATAAATATTAACATTGCATTTATGCATTGCTTTAGATTATTAACGAAGCTCACAGCGGTACAAGCTGTTATCAAGTGCTTACAAAAGCCCATAGATATCACAATGCTGTGGTTACAAACACCGCGTTTGAAGTTTCAATTTAGATATCCTGACCTTTCCCAACTTTCAAATCAGAACGCATGAGTGTCAGTCACTTAGTCCAAAACATGAAATTGGTAATTTGGAGCCAGGAAGAACTAAATTATTTACGGGTCATAACTTTTTGTGAGTATCTCCAAACCACATATAATATATATTTTTTTTATTGATTTTATGGGTGGACGAGCTCACAGACCACCTGGTATTAAGTGGTTACTAGAGCCCATAGACATCTACGACGTAAATGCGCTACCCACCTTGAAATATAAGTTCTAAGCTCTCAAGTATAGTTCCAACGGCTGCCCCACCCTTCAAACCGAAACGCATTACTTCTTCACGGCAGATATAGGCGGGCTTGTGGTACCTACCCGCGCGGCCTCACAAGAGGTCCTATCGCCAGTAATGTTATAATTCCAGGGTCTCAATATAACATCCTTGGGCCCGCGGTATGGTCTCAACATCTGCAGATCGTCAAGTCCCACATACCCCTCACGCCCCATAGGCGCCGGGACCACGCAGGAAGAAAAAAAGTGTCTAAAGCCTATCTATATCCAATTGCTCAAGTCCATGGGCCACCACTCACCGTCAGGTGGGCCGTGTGCTCATCTGCATACAAGGGCAATAAAAAAAAATAAAAAAATAACTCCATACCGGTTGGTGGGGCGGTCGGGGGAGCAGTAGGCGGTGCCTCGGTGATCTCCTCAATGACATCCTCCACGTAGCCTGACTCGAAGTAGTTCGTGAATTCTGAAATTCTCTGCTGTGACCAGACGAGGTTCGACCGCGTGGTCTCGATAGCTCGTAGCGCCGTGCTGTATGTGGCTCCCAGGGTGTTTTGGTTGGCCGTCAACCAGTTCGAAACCTTTTTTGAAAACGAAGATAAGGTTAAAATTCGAATGGCCAGTTTTATAACAATTTAAAAAAAAAAAAAATATAAACTTACCTCATTTATCTGTTCCTCGTTGAGGAGACGTCCAATTATTGTGTTCAAGATCGTGGAAACGCTGCCTAGGCTAGAAAAAGTATGTAAATATTATTTGTTTAGAATCGATTGACTGGCATATTACCAGGATTTGCTTTAATGAATCCCACCATCACAATGCGAGTTTTCATTAGTACGTATATTAATATACAGTCATGATGATTTGATATTGTGCAGCTTATTTCGTTACCCGTTTAGAATATATAAATACTATTAGAGTTTATTTATTTATTTATTAGATACTAGCAACCCGCCCTCGCTTCGCTTAGGGAACTGTAATTTATTATTGACAACAGTATTTCTCCACTATATAATGGATGTTATTGTACATATAAACCTTCCTCTTCAATCACTCTATCTATTAAAAAAAACCGCATCAAAATCCGTTGCGTAGTTTTAAAGATTTAAGCATACATAGGGATATAGGGACAGAGAAAGAGACTTTGTTTTATACTATGTAGTGATATTTCACTATTAACTTACGTTCTGGTCGCCTGGTCAACGTTATTCCTGAGCCATTGGAACGCTCTCAGAGTGTTTATCTCATTGGATGTAATAGCGGAGGTTAGAGCAGCATTGTAGTCTTGTGGTCTAATATCGTCGTTTCCTGAGACAATCGCATCCAGGAATCGATTCAGACTGGCCTGGTCAGTAGTACAGCCAGCAACGTTGAGCATTACCACCTTCTCACTGGACAGATCTTCCTGAAGGTAGCGGTTCCAGAAGAAGTTGAAGTCTTCGGCCGTGCCGTGACGTAGTCCAGCGCAGTATACCCACGGGCGCATGTTAGCCGGGATACTGGAGTGATCAATGATAATGATAATGGCAATTTTTGACAAATGATGACACAGAGAAACGGACATAAAGACAACTTGGTGGTAGGACCTCGTGTAGTAGATATCACCACTCCGCCTATTTCAGCTGTGAAACAGTAATGCGTTTCGGTTTGAAGGGTAGGGCAGCCGTTGTAACTATACTAAGACGTTAAAACTCATATCTCAAGGTGGGTGGTAGCATTTACGTTGTAAATGTCTATGGGCTCCGGTAACCACTTAACACCAGGTGAGCGGTGAGTTTTTTTTTTTATAGATTCATATTTTCATTAAAAAAAGGGTGCGTGTACTTATGTACGCGCGTAAGAAGTTATACTTTATTTTTATAAAATTTATTTCTTTTTTTTTAAATATTAAATAATTAATAATAAATATTTAACGTCAATAATTTATTAATATTTAGTATGAATTATATTAAATAATAATTTTGTCATTTATATTACTAAAAAATGAATGCTAATAACACATTTTTTTACGAGTGTACAAGCGCGAAAGTTCACCTGCGGCTATATTCAGACTCGCCAAGTTACGTCGGTCGTATTGAGCGATTTAGTGGGCAACTTCATTCTGTTAATTTTGTGTCACGGTGCGCGCGCATCGTGAAATTTCACTCTCATCAATTTTTCACAACGCGCCTAAAGAAGTATAACTTCAAAATTTCACAATTACAGAAACAGCATTGGTCTTTAAAGTACTATTATGTATAATGCTATTATCAATGTCCTAGAATATGATGAAATCCCATTTTTAATACCAGATACATGCAAAATAAAACTTATAAAACAAAAAGGCCGTAAATAAAAAAATACTATTCATATCTTTTTTTAATTTCAATAAAACTCAAACTCAGTCTCTTTAGTGTAGGCTGTACTCAACTCAGATATTCTGGTTCTTGTATGGCTAACTAGACCGATGAGGCAATCCATTAGGGTTCAGGTGTAATTTGTTGGCTTTGCCTCTCGCATTGCTAATGTCCGTGAGCAACGGTAACTACTCACAGTCAGATGGGCCGTATGCTAATCTTAGGCAACGACATTAATAAAGTTCGCTTAGAAGACAAAAAATTATACTTACAAACACCCCCTCCAACACTACATGGCGATCACGACCCCTCTGTCAAGAGTGACACGATTGAGTAGAAGAAGAAGATACTTACAAAGTACCGGTGCTCCACCTTCGGAAGGCCTGGGTTCCAAAGTTATTGCATTCTTCGTGTCCCACGTTGCAAAGGAATTCCATTACGTACATTCTTTGAAGATCAGTCATATAGGAGCCATTCTCTGGCTCTAGGTAACCGAGTTTAGCTACTACCGCGGGACTTAGCTCTAGAATAAGTTTCTAAAAGAAATACAAGAAAGGATTTTTTACACTTTTGTTTCTATCGTGTATTTAGACTCGATATTACTGTGATATCTATTTTCAGTTTAAAAATTTTAAAATCATGCAATGTGCTTTTAAGGTTTGATGGCTTCGTATATGCGAGGACTTCTCAACTAGGCCTTAGTATGTTTTCAGTTTTCCTTGGATGTCTCGAAGGAAGCTCGAGTTTCTAACCGAGTTTAACAATCACTTTTTTTTATGATTGATAGTTTACAAGTAGCCCGGAGGCCTTTCCAGTTTCTTAAGAACAGGCGGGCGATCAAGGGCTAAGTCAGAAGAGGGCAACAATCATATACCACTCTACAAGTCCATGGTCACTGACCAAATTTTTTTGCCAATCTGGGTTAGCCATGGAAAAATTTCAAAGCAACTGAAATAGAGGTTGTCCTTCCCTTCAAAATGTTTTCGACGTGTAGATAACCAAGCTAATAGAACACGATAGGCGACATTATACTGATAAAGTAAATTAATTAATTTGATAGTAAGTATGGTTTTGGAACGAAGATCCTTATGGGACGATGCGGAGGGGTACCCTAACCGGGAAAAAAGTCCGTAACGTAAAATGTTTATTAGTAATGCACACAGTGTACGACTTAACTTTGTAATAACGTACAAAAAATAACATATTTTTTTATCATTAATTGACCACGATCTCAGAGCGTTCGTTTGGGCAATACACTAACTCTTATGCAAACTACCGTGAATGAAGTGTACCACAATAAGTTCGCACGTTACCGAATGACCGTGGGTTGTTGCGAAACCTCCAGTTTTATATTCTTTATACCTCGAATAGAACTTAAAATTAATATTTTATATTAAGGAACTTCGTTCTTATCCAGTGTCCCACGACACCACACATATTTTTTATTGTATTGACAATATTTGTGTAGCTTACTTGTAAAAGTGCCGCATTAGTAGAATCATGAGCCAGTCTCCTGATGAGGAAGTTGAAGCCGCTGATGGCCGCCAACCATGGAGCATATTCGTCTTCAAATTGCAGAAAGGATAGAATGTTGAATGCTCTGTTGTACTTCATCACATTTGCTCGGGCCAATTGGAAAAGATCGTCCACAATCTATAGCAGTACATGCAAGCAATGAAAGTTACATATTGTCTTATCGCATTAAAAGTGTACAATTTCCAAAAATATTCGAAATTGAGTTAATATGCGGAATCATTTGGTATCACCAGTATTTTTCTCATAAATACTGTCAAAAGAGCGAGCGTAGTTTAGTTTTTATTTTATTTTAGTTTACCTATGTTTTGACTACTATTAACTAAATTAATACATAATTTTATCTTACTTTAAAAGACAGATAATGTAACTGGTAAAAAATAAAAAATTAAAGTTGTAAAGATGATTAATATTAAAAATATTACATATTACACCTTTAAAACACCCTTAAAATTAGTAATTTTTGAGATTATACAGTTTTAATGCGAGAAGACGATATGTACGAATTATGAATCAGTTTTCATATTTATTCTTTCATAATTAAGGTAACGCAAATTTACCAAGCTTTCTGTTTAAGTTAAGTTTAAGTTTTCTGTACTGGTGGTAGGACCTCTTGTGAGTCCGCCCGGGTAGGTACCGCCTATTTCTGCCGTGAAGCAGTAATGCGTTTCGGTTTGAAGGGTGGGGCAGCCGCTGTAACTATACTGAGACCATAGAACTTATATCTCAAGGTGAGTGGCGCATTTACGTCGTAGATGTCTATGGGCTGCAGTAACCACTTAACACCAGGTGAGCTATGAGCTCGTGCACCCACCTAAGCAATAAAAAAAAATTATATTATTCGTTAATTGAATTACTACTGAAAATATAAATGCAGCAACATATCTCGTTCTCCTCTGTTCTACCTCGTACTGCTTCACTGATAATCTAACTCACCTCCACTCTATCTCTGCTATCTACTTCTATGTTACTAAAATGTATAACATCGCACAAGTCAAATATCGAAGAATGGCAATCAAGGATATAATTTAAAAAAATATATTTAGCTCTAGTCAACCTACTTTCTCCTTTTTTAGTAATGCAATATCAAGAATTCGTTACAGCAAACAGAATATGTGAGTTAAATTGAGAACGAACCTGAGCACGGTTCAGTTGATGAATGGCAGTTCGGGACGACGACCTCAAAGCTCTAGTCAGGAGAGCCCAATTGGTATCGTCGTAGTTGACTCTGTAGAAGCCTATAAAAAAACTAGCAGCTACAATGAAATGTTAGAATTACCTGAAAATCTCGCGAAGTTTCATGAAGTCATTTTTTTTTTTTTAATGAAACAATAGGATTTTTTTTATTGCTTTGATGGGTGGACGAGCTCACAGCCCACCTGGTGTTAAGTGGTTACTGGAGCCCATGGACATCTACAACGTAAATGCGCACCCACCTTGAGATATAAGTTCTAAGATCTCAGTATAGTTACAACGGCTGCCCCACCCTTCAAACCGAAACGCATTACTGCTTCACGGCAGAAATAGACAGCGCGCTGGTACCCACCCGTGCGAACTCACAAGAGGTTCTTCTACCACCCGTAAAAAGTTGGAAACAAACTCAATTATGTATTGAGGTACGTAAATTCTCTAAAGCTCACTATAGTTTCGTAACCCATTCATAGTTTATGGTTGTTGTGTTTAGAATCTCGTCTCAGGTATAATATTTAGGAACGTAGGTACCAATTTTTCTCCTTACGTCATATCTAGTATATTATTATCTATATAAACAGGCAAATAAAAAACACTAAAGTACCAATTTAGTATTTTTTATCAACGATACTTTTTATTGTCATTATTAGATAATTATTGACAATATATGTATAATGTTATCTATTTCTATAAGCTTTTTTTTAAGATTTCGACAAAAAGGACAAGAAGGTTAAGTCCCATTTTCTCCTCGTTTTTTTAGCAACAATTTCTATCTTTAGTACCTATTACTAATTTTGTTTCGAAATCTCAATAATAAAACAAGGGGTAATATATACATAAAATGAATCTAAGCATCGCGGTATCAGTGATTATTACTAGGTCATTAATACCCTAGTTCATCTAAAACTCATATAATTATGAAAGCCAGATAAGATAAATACAATAACTAGTTAGAATCTTTGGCTTAAAGCTGTCAATATATAGTTAATTTTTTAAGAAATTGGCATATCTGACACTTATACATATAGCTATTAAGCAAAGCTTGTAGATACAGAAATACGAAATGATAAGACTGATTATTATCATAACATTATTGTTCTTACCGGATTCTTGCTTGTTGAATATTACCCACTCCAACCCAGTGGTGCCTCTGTTAATGGAGGTCACTTGTTGCGAGATGAATTGCGATGGTTTCAAGTCTTCGAATTCGGGTGCTCCAGCCCTAGTCCAGGTGATCGGTATGTGCCATAGGCTCGGGAATTGTGAAACGCCAGTATTGCGTTCCCATCTTTCCTGCATTGCATTATTTCACACAAATTGGTTATTGTTCCCAGTTCGTATTTTATTTAAAAAGTGTGATGCTGTATACTGTAGCCATTCTTCATTATTACTTTCGGTGGCAAATGAGTATATACTTCGCTGATGATGAGTGGTTGCTGTCTCGTATGAAGGTCGCGAAACACAAATCTTGTATGAAGAATTCGATTCCCGGTCAGACAAAACTCTTTTAAGACTTACTCATTATATTTTTTTTTATATGTGGGAATTGTGGGCCTTGTTGTTGAGCTGTTACATGGTTTTCCGATGTGTTTCCGCCATCAATGTCTACCACATCTCCACAACTAGGATCCAAAATGGCGGCCAAACAAAAAAGCTCACGGAGGACAGCTCTATCCTAAGTTTAACTTTAAAAATATTGGCTCTTTTTTTCAAAACAAATCATTTAGAATTAATTACCTGTGTAACAATCATTTCCCCAGTTCTCTGGTTAATAGTGACAGTCAGAAGTGGATGTCCGGCCTTTTCAGACCAAGTCCTGAAGTAGGTATCAATTGTAATACCGCCATAGCCGTTCAAAGCGCCATCTTCCACAGCAGCCGCATCCAAAGCCGTGAAAAGGTGATGAGGCTCAGCAACATTGAATTGTCTATGAACATTCAATAAAATGTACTGGCGGTAGGACCTCTTGTGAGTCCGCGCGGGTAGGTACCACCACCCTGCCTATTTCTGCCGTGAAGTAATGCGTTTCGGCTAGAAGGGTGGAGCAGCCGTTGTAACTATACTGAGACCTTAGAACTTATATCTCAAGGTGGGTGGCGCATTTACGTTGTAGATGCTATGGGCTCCACTTAACACCAAGTGGGCTGTAAGCTCGTCCACCCATCTAAGCAATACAAAAAAAATTACAAATATACACTTTTCGGAAATCTGTATCTTTCATTTTAGATTTTAATCAATATCTTTGATTTAATATCTAGTGCGCAATCGAAGAATTACGATATTAAGATATTAATTAGGCACACATTATTAGCTACACCGAAAGCGATAATATAAGAAAATTAAATTCAAATCATCATTGCTGCTTTTGTAAGGAAATACAAATTGGGTCCTGCGATTCTGAAATAGAATGTATCATGTGTCGCATGTTCACAAAGTTAAAGATTTTTAACTGAGAGTTGTGTATCATTTCCTTTTATTTTTATTAGCGGTAGTTAACGGCTAATATACGAAGCTTACGATATGTCTGATAATAAATCGTCACTAATGCTCACGGATTAAAGTGTTATTATTACAATTTTGAACCTATTGTGTACTTTGTAGCGATGCACCGGTGTTCGAATCCCGCAGGCGGGTACCAATTTTTCTAATGAAATACGTACTCAACAAATGTTCACGATTGATTTCCACGGTGAAGGAATAACATCGTGTAATAAAAATCAAACCCGCAAAATTATAATTTGCGTAATCACTGGTGGTAGGACCTCTTGGGAGTCCGCACGGGTAGGTACCACCACCCCGCCTATTTCCGCCGTGAAGCAGTAATGCGTTTCGGTTCGAAGGGTGGGGTAGCCGTTGTAACTATACTGAGACCTTAGAACTTATATCTCAAGGTGGGTGGCGCATTTACGTTGTAGATGTCTATGGGCTCCAGTAACCACTTAACACCAGGTGGGCTGTGAGCTCGTCCACCCATCTAAGCAATAAATAATAATAAAAATGCAGTGGAAATGACTTCGTATGTTCCTTCCTAAATCCGGACACTAATATTTTTCATTTACGAAAAAAATGGCTCGCTATCTTTTTTAAGTTTTTGTCAGCACTTATAATTATGTAGGATATTAAAAAAATGTTGTTTTAATCAAAATATTCAACCAGCTCTGATCAGACCGCAACTGTCCAGTTTCAAAGTCAGTTAAAAAGTAATACAGTAGTATTGGAACAAATTGTTAGCCAGCACGGGTGAGTACCGCAATCATGCCGATTCCTGTCGCGAAGCAGATGTGCGTTTCAGATGAAGGAATGGTATATTTTTTATACAGCACCATTGAAATTTCAACTTCATGTCCCAATGTGGGTGATCGCGTTTATGATGCTGATGGATTCGTACAACCACTTAAGACTGATGAGTGACGAAACTGATTAACCCATTCAAGCCTTTAACATTTAACAGATCAAACCTTTCACGGAGATAGTTGCGGAGGCCTTTAACGAAGGTTTCGACTCCAAGTAAGTGTTGAGTCATCCTGAGAATGGCAGCACCTCTCGCGTAGGTTATTGTAGAAAAGTGCGCGCTGACTGTGGTCGGATCATTTACATTGAGATCTGTCAGTGCATGAGCGGTGTCAACGGAATCCGAGAACATAGCCATTTGGACTTGCTCAACGATAAAACGCGTCTCATAGCCCAGCTCAGGTGCAACCTTATAAGAACGAAAAGCAATTGATTAATATCGCGTCTTCGAATCAAAGAATGTAAACGTTAACCCAAATTTAGGAACCTTACCGATGCCGTCAAATAATATTGATAGAATCTAGCAAAGCCTTCGTTTAGCCACAAGTTGTCCCACCAGGCGCAAGTGACCAAATTTCCAAACCACATATGAGCTATTTCGTGGGCTACGATGTTAGCCACGCGCTGTTTGTAGAAATGGTTTGAATTCAACGGATCATAAAGTATCAAAGCTTCCCTGTGAAAATAATAATAATAAATAAAAATAATAAATAATATCGGTAGCTCCTCCTTTTCAAAATTTGTTAATTTCTGAAACTCACTTCAAATCTTACTAATATTGTTTATGAAAAATCAATCGATATGTTTGGTATGAGAATAATTGTTGATTTATACCTGTAAGTCAATAGACCCCAGTTTTCCATAGCACCAGCAGAGAAATCAGGAATTGCCGCTTGTTTCATGTTAATATTTTCGGCCATTGTATAATATGGAATTTGAGTGTATGCCTCCATAGCCTCCAAAAGTTTCTCTCCGATCTCCAAAGACCAATCACCAGTGCGACCAACATTGTTACGGGCATAGATATCGAAAGGTCGTAGAGCATTGTTGTTAGTAGATACAACAGTGTAATGTGAAACGATAAAAGCCAACAAGTAGGTAGAGGTAACCGGTGTCGTCCAAAAAGTTTCAGAAACGCGACCATTTGCAAGACTGAAAGAAAATATTCGGAAATCATGAAATTTTATGGAAATCATATACAAAATTTACATTAACCAGATATGAATAAAGCAAAATACGTACGTGTTGGTCGTTCTAATAGGCATGTTTGAAATAGTCGGACTGAAGGATGCTTCTCTGTTCATGGTAATATCAAAGGTGGCTTTGAATCCAGGCTCATCGTAACAAGGGAACGCTTGGCGAGCATGACCAGGTTGGAATTGGGTAGTACCCATCCATCTAAAATGCGTAATATTTACCATTACCAAATCAATTACAGCACTTTATAAATTGCAGGACAATACTTTGTCGAACTCACCTCCTACCGGTGTTATCAACGTACCAACTTCTGTAAAAGCCTCTCATGTTAGTTTGCAGATTTCCTCTAAAAGTGCTTTTAATTATGTATTCTCTATTGAGTACTAAAGCTTCAGTGGTTCTGATTCTAAGGAAACTGTAAGGCATCTCACAGGCGAAAGTCTGGCCGGTGGCTGTTATATCTACCACATTCGTTCCACTTTGGTAGCCAATTGAAAGGCTTTGAATGGTCAAGTCGTTGCAGTGGATAACAACTTCGTTAACGTTTGCTACTGTGGGAGAAGTGTAAATAGTAACTTCGCCGTCAAAAGTGAAGGGGTTCACGTTGGCTGGTACAACATCGAAATATGGAGTCAGTGTTACTTGATAATGTCTCGGGCGTGTGGTCGTTGGAAGACGAAACGCCGGATCCCGAAGCATCCTCGCAAATTCAACCCACTCATCTTCTGGTACTGGTATGGGGCTTAATGTTAGTGAAGTTTGTAAGAAGGCTACGCCCACGAGGACGTAAAACCAGCGAGATGCCTAAAATGTAAGCGTTTAATGGGGCATTGTAAAAAAATAGTTTATTAGCACTATTTGGAATGTTTCAGTCTACAAGAATTTCTTGTAAAGGAGTAATATCTGCCTCTATCTATCTATAATCTGCTTTTTTCAAATATAAACAATCTATAACGATCCTATAACATTTCTACGTATTAATAATTATATATTTCCAATGATATAACGCATAGTGAAATTTAAATTTCGCAAATATCACTAAATTTAAAATTAGTTAAATTATATTTTTTGATCTCGTTCTTACCATTATCACGCTAGTTAGACGAAACAGTAACAGGCCAAGACTCGATTGTTTCAGTACAACTTATCAAAATTGACTATAATCCTCATATCTTATCTCTCGATGGTTAATTACTTATTGGTACGTACCGTTTGTTTAATCACATGCGATACTGTTATCATTATCCACCTAATTATCAAATTGGACTATTTATGAGTTTTACGAAAACGTTAATAGTTGTAATGGTTAGCTATAAACTTTAATTGGAGATAAATATGAATTAAAATCGAGCTTTTTTTCTTTACCTAAATAAAGTTTCCGGTGTAGCTATGGAAAAAGAATTAGGTTGTTTCAATACGTGATTTTTTCTTTTTCACTGGGTTGGCAGACAGCTGTTAAAGCTCTAGCTTGTTCAAAAATTGCGTAATGAACTATCAACTGTCTTGATGCTGATTCACTTCCTTATTCTGAGCAGTGGCATCTTCTGAATTTTCTGTAATCTAAGCTACATAATTGTACTGCTCGATCATTATTTCTTTAGACTAGATTCCATAAGTATCACAACGTGGCTGTCGCAACCCAAGTTGAGATATCGGAGCGAAGTTTCAATAGAAATTAAATAAAAAACTTCAAATATAACCAGAATTAGCATTAGATATACGGTTGAACTCTAGGCCCATCAGATGAAAAGTAGTTATCAGGGTTAATAGTCTCCACAACTTAAAAGCCATCACCCACATTGAGAAATAAGGTCGGAACTGCGAACTGAGAATACGCCATTATACTATTGTTTATGCAAATATCTTAACTTTCGGTTTAAAAAACGATATTAGTCATTCATTCATTATCGTCTTGGAAGCAATAATGAGAAAACTAGACTGGAAGCAATATTGAACAAATATTGATGGCAACTACCTTAATCACCTCCTTTTCGTGGCCTAAGGGATAAAACGTCCGGTGCATTCGTATCTAGTGATGAAACTGTGTTCGAATCCCGCAGCCGGGTGGGTGGGTACCAATTTTTGTAATGAAATACGTACCTAACAAATAAATGTTCACGATTAACTTCCACGGTGAAGGAATAACATCGTGTAATAATAAAAATCAAAGCCGCAAAATTATAATTTGCGTAATTACTGGTTTTAGGACCTCTTGTGAATCCACACGGGTAGATACCACCACCCTGCCTATTTCTATATTCATATAGGTATTTACGGACAATCCAGAATACACAGCCTTAGTTCCATTAAGGTCGCATATTGCAAAAATAAAACGCATATCCCGCAGAATCTGAAAACGAAAGCTATCAATCAGTGCGTCCTACCGGCTAAGACTTACAGGGTCGAGACGTGAACACTCACGATGCAGCTTTTTTTTTATTGCTTAGATAGGTGGACGAGCTCTCCGCCCACCTGGTGTTAAGTGGTTATTGGAGCCCATGGACATCTATAACGTAAATTCGCCACCCACCTTGGGATATAAGTTCTAAGGTCTCAGTATAATTACAACGACTGTCCCACCCTTCAAACCGAAACGCATTACTGCTTCACGGCAGAAATAGGCAGGGTGGTAGTACCTACCCGTGTGGATTCGCAATAGGTCCTACCACCAGTAAAATCTAGTCCGTCAGCATAAGCTCGCCCGGCGAGCCATGGAAAAGCCATGCTCGGAGTTTCTCTGAAGGATAATAACAAGAATGAGGTTACCAGACAGAGAACTAAGGTCATCGACATAGCTGAGAGAGTCGACAATCTGAAGTGGCAGTAGGCTGTATACCGTAGAACCAATAGCTGTTAGAGGGGGCGGGTTCTTGAATGAGGACCGCGTAGTGGCAACCATAACGTGGAACGCCTCTGGTGAGCTGGTGCGATGACCTTCGAAGGGCAGCTGGCAAGAAATGAATGGGAATAGCTGAAGATCGGGCTCAGTGGTGTGGATTAAGAGAGGTCTATGTGCAGTAGTGGGCGACTGTGAAATGATGATGATTATGAAATATAATAATATGAATAGTTTAAGTTGTGAGATAATATAGGCTACCTTATCCCACGCCTGTACACGAGTCTCCAACCCTGCGATATAAAGTGTAGTCCTCGCAGTCGAAGCTCCAGGAGGATGATTAGCAATAAATAAAATTAAAATACTAATTTTGTTCTCATATGTACGTCAGGTCGTTGACTCAATAGCATGAGAATCCTGAGCAGGACAATGATAGTCACAGCGAACACAACAAACCTGTCACCTTGTTCTTAGTAGAAGGATAGAAAGATAAAGAAGATGTTACTTTTTAACGTGAGATTTGCATCTTTGGACTATTGGCCCATGTCGTTTGCTTTAATAGACTACAGAGCCAAGTTCTTCCACCGTGCGTATGTCTTGTTAGACCGAAGCTCAAAAAACTCCCGTATCACGTACGCAGCTGCGGCCTGGTATCACCTCATCCCGCAGGTCACGCGGGTGAAGTTACAGGCCCAGCAGAATCTGGCTCTTCGCACGATAGTCGGAGCAGGGCGTTACGTCAGAAATGACGTAATCGCCCGGGATCTGGATGTGGAGTCGCTCGAGGAGTTCATCCGGAGGCTAGCTCGTAATCTTTACGAGCGGGCTGACGGTGGACCCCACGAGCACCTCCACAATATTGCTCCCTTGCACGCCAGACCACCTGATGGTCGGGCGCTACCAAGGGAGCTACTGGAACCCCCGGCTATGGTAAGATAGTCGGCTTAATCGGAGTGATATGGGAGTGCTCATAATGAGTGCCCCCATGGGACTGAGCTGTCCACACTCGTCATGTCCCCCCACATCGTTGGGGTGCCCCCTTATGGGGACCCATTTCCCACCCCNGGTAAGATAGTCGGCTTAATCGGAGTGATATGGGAGTGCTCATAATGAGTGCCCCCATGGGACTGAGCTGTCCACACTCGTCATGTCCCCCCACATCGTTGGGGTGCCCCCTTATGGGGACCCATTTCCCACCCCCGTTGGGTGGACCACTCCCCCGTCTGGGGAGTGTTTAATATCGGTCCCTCCCCGCGATGGTCTTCCCCTTGTCCCTGTATGTATATAGTAGTTTAGTTAGCTTTAGGTTAGTTGTAGTTAGTTGTTAGATAGTAAGGAAAAAAAAAAAAAAAANTAGTTAGACAGGAAGGCAGAGGACGGCAGCCGGCGCCGGGGAGCGTCGTCCACGGGCATCACTCCTCCTGCATCATCAAGCCCGTCGTATTATATATATGTATGTATTTTTGTCGATGTAGTGTGCCGAAGCACGCTGCGAACAGCCCCCCCCCCAATCCAGTCTTGCATCCATTTCACCCCTGCCCTGTGTGGCAGGGAGCGTCTGCCCGGGTAGTGGGGTTTACCCCGAGGCCCGCTCCGTGCCCCCGTAAGGGAGTACGACGACCCCGTAATAAATAAAATAAGCTCAAAATGGTATTGTTCACAACTTGTATCCACAATATCAAAACAATTATGTTCAAGAAGAGCACATTCTAAGGCAGTTTTGAAAACAAACCAAAAAAAAATGGACCATTTTATTTTTATAAAAGTTTATTGATAAATTAACAAAAAAACAATATTTACATTAAGCGACTATTAAAACAAATAGTTTTCAATTTTTATAGCGAAATTTATAACTTTTATTATTCAAAATGACATTGTCTCCAAAATGAAATACCCGGTCTATTGGAGACCAATATGAACTCACACGAGCATCAAAAATTGCACAACAACCTTATCATAATTTTCGCTACAAAAATCACAAATTAAATAACTATGAAACTACATAATCAAGTTAACCACAGCGGCTAAAGCCACAACAGCTACAGATAAGAAAGTAGAGACTGGTGCTGCATCAGGCACTGGAAGGCTTGGAGTCACAGGCTCCACCAGGTTGGGTGGAGTTACTGTGGTGGGTGGTGATACGACCACGTTTGCAGCAGTAGAAGCTTCATAGACCGTGTCTCCGGTGACGAAGTAGCTGTTCATATCGTTTTGAACTAAGGAAGCCCAGGCAATGCTTTCACGGGAAGTCTCGGCTCCGCGGAACACAGCTTGGTAAGCATCACCCAACGCTACCTGGTTCTGAGTCGCCCAATTTTGGAACTGTTTAAAATATAAATTTAAGTTAATCATATTGTATTGAATTACAAAAAATTTATTATTATCTTAAAATATTTTTACCGGATTAAAAATAATCAATATCTACAATTCTATGTACGCCAATAAATAACATTAAGTTACTAATATTTTTAAGAAAAGGGCACGACAATGAAAAAGAAATGAAAATGAAATGACGCCATAACGTAATAGTAATGATGATCTTATTGAAACGATACGAACTTAAAATAAGCTTTGTAAATTATAGACATTCGCTGCTTATAATATGGTTAAACATAATTACCTTTTCACCTTCAAAAATTGTTATCTCACACATTAACTAAGCTAAGCATTTACAATACAAAAGTCATTAAAAATTACTTACTGAAACAATTTCAGCTTCCGTTCTTAATCTGGATGAGACGTATGATAGTGGAGTTGCGACACTTTGGAACCTGAATGCAGAAGAAACATTAAATAAAAGAGACAGAAGCAAAGTACTAACGTAGAAGATTAAGGGTATGTTGTACGAGAAGCACTATAAGTGGAAGCTTTTTATTAGTCGTAAGTTACTGCTTACACAAGAATATTTTATTAATATGGTTTTAGTTGTTACATAAAAATAAAATAATATGTAATGAGGGTTGTTGCGTTGTTGCTACAGAAAGTTTTTGTTAAGCAAAAGCTTGAATAGGTGTTCTTTGGTGTTGTAAAACGACACTTAGTAACAGTTCTGTTATGCTGGTAAGAGTAACGCCATCTATTGCTGAATAGTCGAACGGATATCGAAGGATCTTGTACATAGAACGCTCGAGAGGTGCAACGCCATCTATTGTCAGATTGCGGAAACACACAATACTAGAATTTTGTGGAATATTCTCGACGATTCTAGGGATTTCGTCTCGACTATAAAACAGAGAGAGCGCGTAACAAATCTTTTTAGAAGAAATAAAAATATATGGACGAAAAAATCTGAACCATCATTGTGGAAGGTTTTGATTTGCAATATGAAGGTATTTTTCACAATTACGATATTTCAGCTGAAAGAGTCAGTAAATTCGTAACCTGTCTTCATTGCTATTCAAATTGGACATTCCAGAAAAGTTGATTGAATGTATTTCACAACGAAACGTGGCCCCCGGCTTCAGTTGTATCGAATTTCTAACTAAGAACTTAATAAAAAACACGTATTTTAGATTATGAACCAAATCTTGACTAAGGCCTAATTCTTCATTATTTTAGCTTCATTATGTTAGTCGTAATTCTAATTAAATAAAACCATTATCAGAAAGTACACAAAAAAAAATATTCCCAACGCCCCATTTCTCACGTGCTTTTCAAGAGATTTCCAATACTAAATTTTATTAAATTAATTCGTATTTTTTACGAATACGATTTGTTTGTACATTTCCTTGAAGTCATATCAAGAAAGAAATACAAAATCAATACGACACATGTATTTAGCTGGAAATTTAAACAGAAACAAATAATGTACTGACGCAGCTGTGACGGCAGCCAAATTGTTCTGGATGAACCGGAAAGCTATCTGGGTGTTGCCTTCGTTTCCAGAGACAGCGTTGTTGAAGGCATTAGTGTAGTCTTGAGGACGGATGATGAAGTTATCCTGGACGATGGCGTTGAGAAGACTGGAGTACAAAAAACAAATATTAATTTCATAATCAGCTTAAGCTGAGCCTTGAGTGAAGACTTTAAAGTCTTCACTCAAGTCATTCGGATTAGAAATTCTGACGACAGACACAAATACGCTATACATTAGTACCTGTAAAATTATTTATTGTTTGCAGATTTCATTTACTCGCGACGTTTCAAATCGATACAGAAGTTCTAATTAAATTTTGTACTGGTGGTAGCACCTCTTGTGAGTCCGCACGGGTAGGTACTACCACCCTGCCTATTTCTGCCGTGAAGCAGTAATGCGTTTCGGTTTGCAGAGCAGGGCAGCCCTTGTAACTATATGGAGATCTTAGAACTTATATCTCAAGGTGGGTGACACATTTACGTTGTAGGTGTCTATGGGCTCCAGTAACCACTTAACGTCAGGTGGGCTGTGAGATCGTCTATCCATATCAGCAATAAAAAAAGAATTACGTAGCTTACCTTTAAAAATAGTTTTAAAACAATAAAAACAAGCGTGGTGAAAACTGCCTGCTTAGGAAAATCTGCTACCAAACTTAAATTTACTAATAGCCATTCGAAATATCCGTTACCCGCCTTGATCATTCATGATCAATCATCATTCTTCTGCCCTTCTCTTAGCCATCTGGGGTCGGCGTAACATGTTTTCTCCTTCCATACTCCTCTATCATATACCATTTCTTCGCTCACTCTCCTCTTACACATATCGTCTTTCACGCAATCCATCCATTTCTTCTTAGGTCTACCTCTTCCTCTATATCCTTCCATATGATACCATATTATCTCCAAATATGTGATTATTAGTAAATTAATCTTTCATACTAAACGTATAAAGAAAGATCTACAATTGACAAAACTTACGTGTTCAATGAGTTAGCATGAGGAGTGCAGCCAAGGACCCAGAGGATTTGAATCTTTTCAGTGTATACATTGTGGCTTTGGAATCTCTGGTACAAAAAGTTGAAGTCCGCTTCAGTGCCGTCACGAAGAGCGTTGCAGTAAACCCAGTTGCGGTTGTCCACTGGTACTCTAAGTATAGAGAAACGTTATCTTAAATAGGTCTAATTCTAATCACTTTTATATGTATTTGTAATTAAAAACATGCAGCATATTACCTCCTGCATTAACTGCGCTAAATTCCAACACGATTGAGGCAGCTACAAAGATCTATGGACTAGGTGACTGCCATCAACATTAGTTTATATTGTTAATTTTAACGAAATACAGCAGAAATCGACAAAATGCTGGTGCCCACTTGCGTCAGGTCCCTTGGCTTACCACTCAAATCATAGAACTGTGTCTCTAAATCAAAAGCCATAAGATCGTATACACTTTGTGCAGAATTCGCTTATTCTTGTGTATACTACATCCCTACAGTACGATTTTAATAATTAATTTTTATAACTTGTTTTAACTAGTTTACAACACCAAAACAGTCACAGTTCGGGAATTAAAGTTGAATATTATGCCAAGCTGTGCATCCACTGCTAAGACTATCAATTAAAGAAAATGATACGTACTCTTGTCCGTTAACACGAAGAGCTTGGAACTGAGTAGTAGCTGCAGTACGACAGGCTGCCACGTTGATGTTACAAAGTAGAGGAGCCAGCTGATATCTGAGGTAAGACCTCATGAAGGACTCGTTGGGAATTGGAGAGTAGGTGAGCTGGTTCATCAGATTCGAAGACCAACGGGCGATCAGATTCTGTGAATAAGGTAACTATTAACGTGGTCCTAAGATTTTCGTTATCATCAAGGCCCTTAACCCAAAAGTCCATAAAGAAAGGATCATTATCGACTGGCTGTGCTCATTTTTTACCGAGTCTTTTTCACTGACTCATCCTTATGAGCTATGGCTACGGCTGTACTTCCGGCATTTCCGATGTACATTAGTCAGTATGGTTATTCTTAATACTTACATTCAAAGTGGTGAGGTGGGCGGTTCCCACAAGACGATTCCTGATCCAGTTGAATCCAGTAATGGCTGCGACCCACGGAGCGTATTCAGTTTCATTCTCAAGGAAAGAAAGAATGTTGAAGGCTCTGTTGTAGGTCATGAGTCCAGAGCGAGCGAATTGAAAGACGTCGTTAACGATCTAAAAATATACGTATTGATTGAAAAACTTCTTAAAACTTACGAGCTAACTATTAGGCCTAACTATTAAGTTCTGAAAATAACTTTTTAAAAATTAATTACACTTCCTTGCATTTGAAAAGTTCCAATTATATTTAAATAATATTCTAACTGGAGCTTGATTCTGAACGGTCTGTAGGGAGATCTCACCTTTCTTAAAATATGCCAACCCCGAAAAAAACCAAAATACACATTGTAAGAAATGCTTCGCCTCATATGCTACAGGAAATTTCAAAAGTATCGCACTCTAAAAGACCAATTAATAATTCATAATAAAATTTACCTGAGCTCTATTGTATTCGTGAATTTGAGTTCTTTGAGGACCGCGTAGAGCAATAACAATGAGATTCCAAGTGTAGTCATCATAGTTGACTCTGTAGAAACCTGTCCAAAAATTATGAAATTTAATGAAATACTTATTATTTTAATCGTACCTTAGTTAAAGTTTCATACATAAAAAGAGTAGCAGAGCAATAAAAAAAAACAGGTTGGGCATCAACGGCCTAGATTAGAGTAAATCAGGCATAGAAAAGGAATTAAAGCTTAAGTACTAAGCTATAAGCGACATATTCATTCGCCTTGAGCGTCATGTCTAAAATTTATTCATGTATAGTGTGTGGTGCACTCACCAGTCTGCTGTTTATTGAAAATAACCCATTCATCTCCAACAGATCCTCTGTTGATAACAGTAACAGCTTTGGTGAGGACATGAGTAGGCTTTGTGTTGGCGAAGTTAGGGTTGCGGGCAGTGGCAAAAGTGATAGGCACGATGTAGTTGGTGTTGACATTCGAGTAACCAGTGTTGATGTTGAAACGACGCTAAATAGATAGAATTATAATATTAAATTTGTTCATTAGCAAAGAAAATTGTACATTGAGAAAAATGAGCATTCGTGGCTTTTCGTGAACTATACGTCCACGTATCATTTCGGTATTATTGTCGTATTGCAACGTGCTTACGTTAAGAATCATAAATAAAAGCTACCCACGATCAATCGATAAATTAAATCGCGGTGAAAATATCTTTACACTCTTTACTATTATGACGCAAAAAAACTTTTTCTTACTGTCATTTAGCTATCGTATAAGTAACGTATGTATAATATACACCACATCAAAAACCTCTGAGATTAAAAATAAATCAAAAGAAGATCTTATGGATCGGGCAAAGACGTGCAGTAGCATTGATCCTTGAGAATTTTTGATGCTTGACATAAGGAAATCTGTGTACAAAAAACAATACGTCGAATTTTAGAATTGAAAATAAATCCTTTTCCTTCTCGATCTTATCGTACATAACGGGTTTCTGATAACCATTCCTCTCAATTTCCAATTTTAAGGGTGGGAGGGTCGTCCAATTTAATTGAGACTTCGATATTGTATATCAAGAAGCAACATCACATTGTGATATCATCACTTGTACACACATATATGCCAATAAAAATGTGTAAGTATTAAATATTTGCATAAATGTTCACGAGAAATGAACTCAATTGACATTCATATTGGCTTACTGAGTTGAATCAAGATTTTGAACTGTTTCTCACCTGGTAGATAGTCATATCCCCAGTCTGGTGGTTAACTTGAACGTTAAGTACTGGGTGACCGCTTTGTTCAGTCCAACTCTTGTAATAGTCAACAAAAGAAAAATCTGGTCCGTATGCTGATAAAGCTCCAGCTGCTCTAGCGCTGACTTCAAGGGTTTGGAAGAGATGGATAGGTAAAGCAGTGTCAAAAGATCTAGATAAAAGAACATAAAAATATTTGAGCTTGTCATTTATAAATATAAAAAAAAGACATTACAATAGAATTTACAATGTTGAATCTTACCTCTCAATCAGATAGTTGTTCAAGCCTTGTCTATGTACTTCGAAGCCTAGGAAATGCTCAGTCATTCTAATCACAGCTGCACCCTTGTTGTATGAAATGGTCGAGAACATGGCACTCACTGATGCGGGGCTGCCAACACCTGGGTTGGTCAAAGGCTGAGGGCTGTTGGCCGAGTCAGACAAAAGGGACGTGTGAATTTGCTCTACAATGAATCGAGTTCCAAGACCCATGTAATCTTCAACCTAGAAAAAAGCAATTAAAGTATTATTCTTTTTAGACTAAGATCATCGATTGTGGTACTAAATGAAACTCACCCAGTCAGTGAGGAAGTATTGGTAGTAGCGAGCAAAACCTTCGTTCAGCCATAAAACATCCCACCAGTCGCAAGTAACGAGGTTTCCATACCACATATGGGCGATCTCGTGAGAAAGGATGTAAGCGATCAACTGTTTGAAGTAGCCATTGGTATGGTTCTCATCGTACATTAAGTATGCTTCTCTGTAATTTTAGAATAACTTTTTAGACGATTCTCTATCGAGGTTCATATTTTGTTAATTAACACTATGAATTGAATAGATAATGAATTAAGTCTGCAAGTCCATAGAATTTAACAAAAGTAAAGCAAGTGAAATTTACCTGTAAGTAAGCAGACCCCAATTTTCCATAGCACCAGCTGAAAAATCGGGAATTGAAGCCTGCGTCATCTTTAAATTAGGGTGGATGCTGTAAAAGTCCATAGCGGTATGTCTGCTCATTGTCGCCAACAGCTCCATGCCCACATCGAAAGCATACTGCCCTTGGCCGGCAGATAGGGCTCCGGGCCTTGCGATTACTTCATACCTCAAGACACCGTTTTGACGCTGCTCTAAAGATTCGTATTCAGCAACAATAAGAGCAATCAAATACGTAGACATTAATGGAGTTCTGTTGTAAATGTCATCTTGATAGCCCCTGCAATTCAATAAGATATCTAAGTGCTAAATCCGCTGCCTGTAACATTTGAGCATAATAATATCACAACTTACGTTACGGTTGAAACTCGTGTTTCTCTGATGTTTGTGCACGACCAACTTCTGTGGGTGGTCGGACGTCTGATCGTAATATCAAAAGTTGCTTTAAAACTGGGCTCGTCGTAACAAGGGAAAGCGTAACGAGCGGATGTCGCTTGGAACTGTGTAGAGGCCATCCATCTGGGAGCAACATTTACATTAATTTGGCGGTATGTAACAAAATACAATTTTTTGATACAGAACCGTATACCTTACCTTGTGACGTCATTAGCGCTATTCCGGAACCAGGTCCGGTAAATACCATACATGTCGGTACGTAAGGGAGCAGCGAAATCAATGGTCAGTGTGTAAATCACAGGAGAGGCAGCATTGAAGACCAGAGTGCCCGTATTAAGGCGCAGTCTCAGGAACTGTAACTCTTTCTGGAGGGTGTAAGTGGAGGGTGTCGTGACGGTTCCTTGTCTGAGAATCACGGATGTGATTTCCAGGTCGTCGGCATGAATAACTATCTCGCTTACGTTAGCCCGAGTGGCGTACAGCTGGATTTCAACGGTGCCAGAGAAGGTTAGCCTGGAGATATCAATAGCCCAAAGCACGTTGTAATGAAGAGGTCTGGTGGTTGTGGGCAGTCTGTATGTACTAGCGGCAATACTTCTATCAATATTTTCAAAAGCCTCAATATCCTCAAAGATTTCCCCTTCTAGTCTCTCGTCAAGAAATATTGTGTTGTTTGTCCTGTAAATTGGTTCATCGGGGAAAGCCTGTGCTAACACGCACGCCGCCAAGAAGATAATGACCTTGTACGTCGCCATCTGCAAAATAAATTTTCTCAAGAATCTGATTTGATGACAATTCACAGTAAAATCGTTTCTCGAAATTGACCTTTAGGAAAATGAAAGGTTTGAATGGCTTTCTGAAGTGAATTTTCTAAGAAGTTTATGTCTCAATCCTTAGTGATTTTAATCAGCTTTTGCGGGATTTTAGTACGGGAAAAGGTCGAATAACACAAACAGTGATGATAGCATTATGAATACTGAAAGATTTTGAAGGTTTGACGATAACAAACAACCATATTATACGTGGGCTGTGAGCTCGTCTACCAATCTAAGCAATAAAATAAAAGGGTTCTCGTGTCGATTGATGAGAATTTCTCCGGTTCTGAACGAGCAGATAATGACTGAAGCGCAATATGGGCAAGGTTATGGTAATAAAGTAATATGGAGTAAAACAATATGAAGCTATGACACACCAGGCCACAGGACCAGCCATTACGCTAAAACTCGAGAACGGCTGGACCGATTTGGCTAATTTTGGTCTTGAATTATTTGTGGAAGTCCATAGAAGGTTTAAAAGATAGATAAATATGAAAATGCTCGGAATTAAATAAAAAAAACAATTTTGTTTTTCTTATGATGTACCCCCCCCCCCCATCAGACGGATTCCTATTGTTTGAGGTCTTTATTTATCGACTGAGGCACTACGAAGTCTGCCGGGTCAGCTAGTTGTAAATAATTATTGTCATGAAAACTTGTTAAAACACCCATCTTGTTTATGTCGGCCAGAAAGTGCTGTTTGAATGGTATGATAATATATATTTTTGACATCTAATTGGCAGCAGCACTTTGCCGTTTTCAAGATTCAAACTACCATCTAACCAAATACGTTGTTAGCTTCTGTTATCTATTTTATTAAACTCTTAACTACCGTTTCACCAAATTCTACTAACAAGATACTTGTTCCTTTTAATTTTTCAGGCTGTTCTAACTCACAATGATCGTGGTAGCAATTCAATTTAAGCTTCAACATAACGACTTTCATGTGAAACTAGATCAGTGACGCGCTTAAAAGCCATTAATTTTAGCCTTCCCGATTAAGCCGTTTATCTGTTGATATCAAATGGAATTTGTGGCCATTAAAAACGGCCGTGAGCTTTTGAGCAGTTTTTTTTCCCGTAGTAAAAAGATGAGGAGGCAACGAAGTCGTCGTGGCCTAAAAGATAAGACGTCCGGTGCATTCGTATGTAGCGATGCACCGGTGTTCGAATCCCGCAGGCGGGTACCAATTTTTGTAATGAAATACGTAGGCATAACAGATGTTCACAATTGACTTCACACGACACGGTGTACGGTGACACGGGGAAGGAATAACATCGTGTAGTAAAAATCAAACCCGGAAAATTATAATTTGCGTAATTACTGGTGGTAGGACCTCTTGTGAGTCCGCGCGGACAGTGCCCACCACCCTGCCTATTTCAGCCGTGAAGCAGTAATGCGTTTCGGTTTGAACGGTGGGGCAGCCGTTGTAACTATACTGAGACCTTAGAACTTATATCTCAAGGTGCGTGGCGCATTACGTTATAGATATTTATGGGCTCCAGTAACCACTTAACACCAGGTGGGCTGTGAGCTCATCCACTCATCTAAGCAATAAAAATAAACTTTGACGCCTTCACGAACGACTGGACCATTAACAACAGATAAAATTGGATGGATCAGAGGACTTTTGCTCTGCCATAGAACACTACCAGATTATCTATGCATTTAATTGGATGGATCAGAGGACTTTTGCTCTGCCATAGAACACTACCAGATTATCTATGCATTTTTTAGAACATTTATTCGTTAATGAACTCCTCCTAGACGAGTGAACGGATTTTGCGGGGATACTTCATGTTTTTTTTTAGGATTTTTTTTAAATTCTGTATCGATGAAACACATTGTACTGTTTTTGTTGATAGGAATTCAATTAAGTAGATAAGTACAATACATACTTCCCGAACCTGATATGTACCTACACAAATTCCTGATAAAACTTTTCGACAATGCGTCAAACGCCACATTATCTTTAGTTTTACAATGCAATGATAAATGCCATTAATCAATCATTAAATATTATCACTAAAATAGCCTTAGTGTTAGTGTGTTTTATCTGAAGGCCATGTCAGAAAACGGGATTAAAATTAATAACCCGGTAAAAAAGTTTCCTAAGGTCATTTTATTAATTTAAGAGTAAACAAAGCCTCTTAAAATTTACAAAAAAAGACACATCACTAGATGATGATATTAAACAAAATACTTTATACTGCCTGTCCTATATTTATAGTATGTGTGCAAGAATTTCTTCATAAAAAATTTAGAACTTGAATAATAAACCGTATAAAATTACAAAAAAAAACTTTGAGTAAAAATTTTTGAGCAAAATGAAAAGATCATACAGATAGTTTTTCTTTCTAAATATAGCATCATTGCAGTTTCGGAGTAGGAAGCCAGAGAATGCGAATATTAATTTCGTGCTTGATTTAAGAAGCTTTGACGATGAAAGCAGCCGTACGCTTTTTTCAAGCTGAAACTTATAATTACTCAGCATTCACGTTAACTTCTGTTACATTTTGAAAACCTGCTCGATCATTATGTACTTAAATTTACGAATTTATCAAAATAATTGAAGCCTAGATTAAATATTTCACTTACTAACCCTTATTCAATTTAATCTGATCGAGCGATTGTCCGAATAACTGATTAGCAATCTTTACAGCGTAATCAACAAATTCATAAAAGTACAATTTTACGAATTATGTATTCAGTAATTCGATATTTATCAGTTATACTTTCAAAAGAATTTTTGATGCATTTATAGATTACGGTGACACATTCACCAGAAATGGAGACTCTTCAGTTTATTACTCGAGATTTACCAGTAATTTTTGAGAAAATCAAACTGTATTCAATGGAACCTAATATGAAAAAGTAATAGAGCTGATGTAATGTGTAGTGTGTCGGAGCTAATATCATGCGTCAGTCATATTTTTTTCTCACTTAATACATAATATGTATCTAAAATAAGTTCATGAAAAACTTGTGCGACAAAAAAATAACGTCTTTCTAATAAATAAACTACATGATGTCACCATCCTGCATAATGCTGGCACTAAATAGCTTAGCCTTTAAGTTGGGTTCGAACGAAGGAACAGATGCTTTATTCAAAATTTGAAATTTCAAAGTAATTGGAAACACTCATATTGGATATGAGTGTTTTCGGTCTGTGTGATTGGGTAAAAAAATATCAAATGGGCCGGTTGGTAAATTGAATGTCTCTGATTACGGGCGCACAAATTAGCACAAGCGCAAGCTTATATAAATGATAGCTAATTTCTGTTTATTCAGGATTGCAGGAGAGCTGTAAATAATCCGGATTCGATACGCATTTTGTGGAGAGTAATTAATGGTAGCCGCGGCTTGGCTCTACCCCTAGCATTGCTGAAGTCCATGGGCGACGGCAACCACTCACCAACAAGTGGGCCCTATGCTCGTCTGCCTACAAGGGCAATAAAAAAAGCATGGTTTTACTAATATTTTCGTATAACAAGCAATGTAACACAATTATAAATAGACTGACAGACGGTGGCAATGGCCTCGCGGGAGCGCGGGAGGGAGAGTTGCAGTTTTTTCTCATATTGCGGGTATTTTTGTTCCTGTCACACGAAACGGGCTCTTAGCACCCTATATTCATGAGATATGGCTTTTTCATGGCAATAATATAATATGAAGCTTAAACTAAAAAATCCGCTGCATTCACAATCTAGCCGGTACGATAGCCAAGAACGAAATAATAGTAAAAGTTTTACATTGAAAACGATGGTGTTTTTTTTAATAATTTTAAAATTCACTTTCCGTACTCACCAATACTTCTTTCTATAACGGTCTCAGAACAGTTTGCATTATGAGAGCCGTGTTCATATTTGACAAACAATCAGCCAAATCTATTATTAATCTTGATGACGACAATGAGCAGGCCAGAACGCTCTCATTTGCAAGTATTAAACTAATAATATCTTAAACATTGTATATCTTACCTTGACAAATTTCAATACAGACAGCACCACTAAAGCGGGAAGGCTACCCGCGACTGTGCCGCCCTAATCGGTTGATTACAATATACAAACGATATCCGCAATCGCCACTGATAAAAAATATCATGAGAATTACAATTAATCATTATGGTGAAGAAAATTTTTGGTGCACTATCGTCGACTTTATCGCAGACTTAATTGATTAGGTTGGATTTGCGATTATTTTTTTTTGAAAAATAGCTTAGCGGATTCCTTTTTCCTTCTTCTTCTTCTATTACCAAGCGTTTTTCCGGTCTAACCCCAGGATCCGCTTTCCTACTTAAGCTCCTCCACTTTGCCTGGTCTTCGGCGTGCTTTTGGGTGGATTAATTTTATTATACTTTTATTAGATTAGTGGATTATATTTCCTTCGATAGATAATCGATTGCTCGATCCACCTAATGTTAAGTGGATACCGGAACTCACAGACCTAAGCTTGCTTAGGCCGAGAACTCCTCATTCACTTAAGCAATAAATAAGGCTTTGGATTTAAAATCCTAATATCAAACCTTGGCCACGAATGTTCAAAAATAAAACCATGAATTTCGCATATAAATAAAAACTGGTTTATTATTAGTGGCAGGGCCCGATCTAATAACGATGCTTTTAGGTACCTCAAGCACCGGTCACCGTCTTTGGCGAACCTTGTCGCTTGCGACGAAGGACTCCGCGAGTAAATTAACCCACACAGCCCATTGAGTTTCTCGCCGGATCTTCTCAGTGGATCGCGTTTCCGATCCGGTGGTTCTGCGAAACACTGCTCTTGCTAGGGCCAGTATTAGGAACACCTCCGCTTCAAGCCCCTAGAGCTCACCTACACGCTAAGACAACGATGAAATAGCCTCTCGAAGCTATCAGTACAGGTAGGAAAAAAAGTGTCAGGGCGTCTTGTGGGCCCGCTTTGGTATCACCACCGTTCTTATTTCTAAAACCGTAAAACAGTAATGCATTTCGGTTTGGGATAACATTTATACTATACAATTGAGACTTAGAACTCATGGCTCAAGGGGGCAGGTGGCGGTTTTTGCGTCGTCGATGTCTATGAGCTTCTGTAACAACTAAACGTTAAATGGCCGTGAGCTCTCTCTCCCATTTAAGCAATAAAAAGTCCGCACGGGTAGTTACTACCACCCTGCTTATTTCAGCCGTGAAGCAGTAATGCTTTTCCAGTTGAAGAGTGGGGCAGCCGTTGTAACTATACCGAGACCTTAGAACTCATATCTCAAGGTGGGTAGCGGCATTTACTTTGTAGATGTCCATGCAACAAAAAATTAAATCAAATTCAAAATCGTGTTAAGTCCTCAAGGGAAAGCGTTGAGAGACATCTAGACTAGGTTCGACCTATTTCCATCGGCCTATACCATTATCAAGTCGTCTATAAATTCGATCTTATCCTATTCAATTTGATGATTAAAATTTTCACGTAATATTAACACCACATAATCAATTTTTATCAAAATGACCAAGCGCTAAAGTCATCGTGCAAAATCTAATTAAATGTGTCTACTCACTTCTATAGTCACGTAGCCAACTAAGTTTCTGGCATTATTGACGCCAATAAACATTTTCTGCTATTGGCCTATATCTACCTCATATTAGCCCTGTATCCACCGCAGATCTAAACAGGAATACGGTACTCATATCAAACCGCTTTCAAAGAAAATTCGTTGCTATTTTCATTTATTTTCACAATGGGAAGATCTTTCACAGAGAGGTAAACCATTATTCGGTACATATCAATTCCAATTGCTACTGGTACTTCTATTGGCATTATTAGTTATTACTGATCCATCATCAATTGGTAGGTATTACTAGTGGTAGGACCTCTTGTGAGTCCGCGCGGGTAGGTACCACCACCCCGCCTATTTCTGCCGTGAAGCAGTAATGCGTTTCAGTTTGAAGAGTAGGGCAGCCGTTGTAACTATACGCTGTACCTTAGAACTTATATCTCGAAGTGGGTGGCGCATTTACGTAGTAGATGTCTATGACCTCCAGTAACCACTTAACACCAGATAGTCTGTGAGCTCGTCCACAAATCTAAGCAACAAAAAAAGGCCACCAATTTAAAACATTTACAAAACTTTCAAATCAAAATCTCCGTCATGAAGTCGGCTAAAAATGTTTTGTACTTATGAATAATTCTCTATCTCTCTTCGGTCGGTCCCTCACTGCTGAGGATCGTGAATCCGTTCGATTCCGTCAACCAGCTGTCTCCATCGATCCCGTTTTGTAGCTTGGTGGAGTGCGTCGCTGACAGGTATCCCCAGTTCCTCAACTATTTGGTTAATGAATAATTAAATTATCGAAAAAAAAAACAAGACATGGTACTTTCACATTTATTTACTTACACGTACAAAACATAATAAGTACAGTTATCAATATGAGTCACTTCGTTAATCTAAAAAGCCGACTTAAATTTAATTTGACAAAAAACGATCGATTCCAAAATGCGTCACGACCGGATAAAGAGAAATCAGCGACATTCAAGAGTATGGTCTATGTGATGTGCATAAGACACCGGATACTGAGGAGTGCTTAAGAATGTGTTCTAGAAGAAATTTTTAATTATATAAAAATAGATTCCGATGATCTAACACCTAATCATAATTAGGGTTACAATAATTCCGCCGCCTACAGTGGAATCGTCCTAGCCCTAGTACCTACAGTGGCCACATCACTTTAGGTGAGCACTTACTCTGCTCGCGCTCACATAAACATCTCAATAAATACATTAATATTTGAAAAAATGAAATCGTCGCTCGTCGTATTACAAATACTGGTGGTAGGACCTCTTGTGAGTCCGCACGGGTAGGTACCACCGCCCTGCCTATTTCTGCCGTGAAGCTGTAATGCGTTTCGGTTTGAAGGGTGGGGCAGCCGTTGTAACTATACTGAGGCTTTACAACTCATACCTCAAGGTGGGTGGCGGCATTTACTTTGTAGATGTCTATGGGCTCCGGTAACCACTTAACACCAGGTGGGCTGTGAGCCCGTCCACCCATCTATGCAATAAATAAAAAGATAAAAAATAAAATGCTTTATATAAATTTCTTTAAATAATTAATCTAAAAACCGTATTCTAGTATCGGAACCTCCAAACAAAAGGTAATAAAACCTTACAAACGAATCGATATGATTATTTTAGACGATTTTTTGCAACTAGTAAATTCATCTCCGTATTTCTGATGTCTCCAAACTTTAAGTAGATCTGTTTATGGGAGACGAGAATTTTGAAGTTCATGAAAATCTCGGCAAGAAAATTAATACAAATATTAATTGTTATACATTCGAGTAATATATATATAGTATATATTTATGTTCTGCCCAATGACTTTCATATTATAACTGCTTACTTGTATGTCGATTTTTTTCTCCAAGCATTACAAGCGGTCCCCGTTTGGAGTGGACTCCTATTTCATTGTGGTTTGCGTCTTGGTCATTGACCCCAATAAAATGATACCTTATATTTATTCTACTAGGCTTCTATTATCAATGAGGTAGATTCTATTATTTTAAATTTCGTAATTTTACGCTATTTATCGCAGGCTTGTTTTTTCAAACATTTTGTGATACAGCCGTCGAGATACAAGCGTGTAATAGTTATTTCATAATGATTTGCATATTACACTTCATCAAGGAAATCCTCATTATTAAATGTTAGCACTTAGGATTCGGAATGTCATTAAAAATTATTTTAAATTCTCACTCGGATATTTTTCGGATATCCGATGATTTCGCCCATGTAATCCCGGAACATCGTAAGCTTAATCTAAACCTTGTATTTTTTATTAACTTCTTGCAGCCAATCTACAATGGTTTGATAATTTCTTTTTCTCCACTGAACGTTCGCGTGTACTGTCTCCAGGACCTGCCGCACTGGACGTCCCAGGTCGCTACAAGACTCCGAGACGAACCTCTTCAGCTGAAATATAATACATAAAATCCTAAGTTCACAGAGAGAGAGTGAGAGAGAGATAGAGATAGAGATATATATAGCCTTGTTTACACAACATGTACCATTGTGAATGTGAAAATTTGTATTTAGATGATAGTACGCATGAAGATACTGTTACGCCGGTAAAAGTAACGCCATCTATTACCAAATAGCGAAAACACATATCGAAACGACTGGTCTTCCCGGGAATGTTCTCGATAATTGTAGAGATGTCGTATGGACTATAAAATCGCTGCAGAGATGACACGAAGGCGGTTTGTAATCGGATCTACTCGAAGCGAAACAGCGTACGGATAACCTGAAGCGAAGCGGAAGAAGTGAATTACGAATTGTAAAATGTTCTGTAAGTGTTAAATAGACTTGTAAGTCGTCGTGGCCTAAAGGATAAGACGTCCGGTGCATTCGTATCGAACGATGCACCGGTGCTCGAATCCCGCTGGCGGGTACCAATTGTTCTAATGAAATACGTACTCAGCAAATGTTCACGATTGACTTCCACGGTGAAGGAATAACATCGTGCAATAAAAATCAAACCCGCAAAATTATAATTTGCGTAATTACTGGTGGTAGGACCTCTTGTGAGTCCGCACGGGTAGGTACCACCGCCCCGCCTATTTCTGCCGTGAAGCAGTAATGGGTTTCGGTTTGAAGGGTGGGGCAGCCGTTGTCACTATACTGAGACCTTAGAACTATATCTCAAGGTGTGTGGCGCATTTACGTTGTAGATGTCTATGGGCTCCAGTAACCACATAACACCAGGTGGGCTAGGAGCTCGTCCACACATCTAAGCAATAAAAATAAAAAAACTTTTAATTGGTAATTGGTACTTGGTAGCAGTTTTATTTATCCCGAACCGCAGCGCATAACAATACTTTATAATGGTAATTAACACAGGTTATTGTTTGTTGTGGTGTGTAGTAGAATCCGGGCAACTCCGGAGATAACTGGCTTCATAAACACGACAGTGTTTGATGGTTCGTATTTTTACTTACTACCTACTACTACTACCTTTTACAGATCGACTAATAGTTTTTAGACCACAGAGTGATACAAGTGGAAAAAACAAAGTCTTTGGGGTACGTCGGACCCACCGTCGAAACGGAAATTTTATCAAAACAATCGTTTTTCATAACAAGAAGAAAAACACAAAAAGAAATGGTCCGAATTTGCTCAGCTCTCAACATTAGATGCTGCGCATTACCCCAAGGCCAGATTTAGCTGGAGGACCATCTTGAAAGGGTAATTCACGTCGAGGAATTCAAGAACTTCACTAATGAAACCAATGGCGCAACGTTTCTCGTGTGCCGATGATGGTATAAAAACAAATTAACACAATTTACCTCTTCATATTCATGCTGTAGATTCAGGCGGCGAGTCACGACCTTCACGATGTGGTTTAAAGTGGATATTGACCCGAAACTGAAACAATACATAAGTTTAGCAATAAGCGTCTGGAATAAAATAACCATAAGTAGAATAAATAAAATTATATATATGCCCGTTAGTATAGTCGACTTCCTAGTTGCAAATTGCATTTTTATTGTCCTTGTAGGTAGACGAGCACACGGCCCACCTGATGGTGAGCGGTTGCCGTCGCCCATGGACTTCAGCAATGCCAAAGGCAGAGCCAAGCCGCTGCCTACCGCTTATTACTCTCCACAAGCCTCGTTTGAAGAAGGACATGTCATAGCGCTCGGGAAGCACCGTGGAGGGGAGCTCATTTCATAGCCAGATGGTACGTGGCAAAAAAGACCTCTGAAGAAACGCACTGTGGATGACCGCAGTGGCTCCAGGTAGTATGGATGAACTCGGCTCCGGTGGCGGGCGGTTCAATGGTTAAAACGAGATGCCGGTATCATCTTGAACAATTCCTCAGAGCACTCCCCATAGAACATACGGTACAAAATACAGAGGCAAGCGAAGTCCCTCGCAGACCCAGAGGTTCCAAACAATCCGTGAGAATGGGATTATCGACAATCGGAACGGCCCTCTTCTGTATGGAGTTAAATGGAAGAAGCGGGTATTTGGGAGCTCCGGCCCAGAGAAGGGAGTAGTACTCCACGCGAGGCCGGACTTGTGCTTTATAAAGCAAAAGTCTTTATAAGCGTATAAAAACTTGTGGCACTTATGCACTTAGGGGCTCTTCATTTTGAGAGGGAGAAATTACTGGTGACCCGAAGGCCTTTCCTGCTTTACCAGGAGAGGAGGGCGAGCGCGAGCTCAATTGTAAATTTGCGGGTTTGATTAATATTACACGATATTATTCCTTCACCGTGGAAGTCAATCGTTAATATTTGAGCAATGCCTGCGGGATCCAAACACCGGTACATCGCAAGATACGAATGCACCGGACGTCTTATCCTTTAGGCCACGATGACTTCAAATTTATACTATAGATTATATATTCACTATATATTATATTAAGAACTTCGCGCTTATGTCTCGAGGTAGTTGGCAGCATTTAGTATTAATCTATTTTGGCGTCGTAGCTATTCTAGGCCATATAGATTCATACAATAATAGTCTGTCCTGCCATTTATAACAAACACATGTGTCTGACAATGGCCTACATCTACAGCATTAGAATTACTACTCATCTCCATTATTTTCCAAATTCCTATCATGAGTCATGGGTAGTTATTCCAGGCCGTATTATATGGCCCAGATATTGATAGTGCTAAATGAATAGGCGATTCAACTGTAGCTGAGATTTCAACAGAATATTTCAGCATGAGAGAGAACTCGCATTAAGGTATATATAGAGAAGATTACCAGAAAGAAAATTACCGAAAAGTTAGGTCTCTAGGTAAATTCTCTAGTTCAGTATAATAACTGAGATTTGTTTTGTAAAGGTGACCCAAAAGTGACCTTGAATATAGTCTTCTGTCATTCTTATCGATTCTTATAAAATCATCCGTGATATTAGCCTTAACTTGTTTGTGTTATTTAAATAGGATTAAAATTATGGATTAATTATCCAGATATTATGTTAGCAGCGTAATCTTTTATTTGTAAACATAATTTAAATTTATCCATTACTAGGACAAATACTTTCAGACGATCAAACAAACCTTCCACGGCAAATGGGTGATCATTTAAGATAAGTACACATTAGAAGTCAGCCCCCCCGAGAAATAATGAAAATCTTTTTGAAGTGAAACTTCTTTAGGCGCATGAGGGTAAAATTTTTACAGAACGTCACGCAGGTATGCAACGGAAGTGACATCAAACTACTATTGAAATGAAGTACTTGTCAAATGTCAGTAGTAGTAGTTGTTATATTTTTCCAACTGCAAAGGCAAATGTATCATACCATACAGCCTAATATTATATAACTTTTTTGTGAAAAATGTTAATAGGAATTGAAATGAAATGAAAAAAAATTGGAACATTAATCAAATAGCATGAAATTAAATTATTCAATTCAATTGGCAAAATATTAGTCATTTACAATTTAGACATAATGTGACTGTCAACACTGAGGTTTGAGATTGACATTTGACAGACTTTTGGCGGGAACATATCTTCCTTTTTCCCTTCCTCTAAGTCTCGGAAAACTAAAGTTTTAGATTTGTATAAATATATAATATAATAAATATAAGCAAGACTTATAAATTAGTTCGCCAAAAAAGTTTCACTTCTGACATGTGTACTTTGTACGCACGCACTTTTTTTTTTATTACCAAATCTGGGTACATAGATTTACGGCATTTTGCTATTACTGAAGTCAACACATCAGAACAACAATCGCCTTGCAATCGAAATTAAGATTAGTGCCCATCTAAGGAAGGATTTTACTGGTGGTAGAACATCTTGAGTCCGTACAGGTATGGTACCTATCTATTTCTGCCGTGAAGCAGTAACGCGTTTCGGTTTTAAGGGATGGGTAGCCGTTGTAACTATACTGAGACGCTAGAACTCATATCTCAATGTGGGTGGCGCATTTACGTTGTGCAGGTCTATGGATTCCGGTAACCACTTAACAGAGCTGAACTCACGGCCTATCTGATGTGATTACCGGATCCCATACATCACAACATGAATACTGTCATCCACCTTGAGACCAATGATAAAGAGGTATAGGTACATATAAGATTAGTTATCAATAAAACGATAAGACAATAATGGCCGTGCTAATTTTGCGAGGAAGCATGGTCTCCGACTCCGATACAAAGTACCAAACGCGATGGCATACATTTCATTTTGATTGGTGTTTTGATAATAATCATATTTCACTATTTGTGCCAACTTGAAATACATGACATTTATCAGTAACGATACCAACGCCGATGTTTTGTTTTTCTTTGAAATGATTACATTTCTTTTATGTATATTTTAATTGCATATTAAACACGTTGAACAAGCTCACGTTCCATTTGACCTTAAGCGACTACCGCACCCCATAAACATCCTAGCGTCAGTGCCGCTTTGAAACTTGAGGTCTATATCTCAATTGTATAGTACGCAGTGCTCTGTGGAATTGTTCGAGATGATACCGGCATCTCGTTTTTACCACCGCACCGCCCGCCACCGGAGTAGAGTTCATCCATACTAGCTGGAGCCACTGCGGTCATCCACAGTGCGTTTCCAGAGATCTTTTTTGCCACGTACCATTCGGCTACTGAATGAGCTCCCCTCAAAAAAAAAAACGCAAGATATATTTTCTGACGGCATTATGCCTTCTACGTGAAATTTATTCTGTACATGAGTTAAAGATTTCATTTGAAAAATTGCTACCTGCCTGCGGGATTTGAACACAGATGCAGTCGCGTCGATCGATACGAATGCACCGGCCGTCTTATCTTTTAGGCCACGATGACTTCTTTACGATACATACGTAATATGCTTACTTCGAAAAATTGTTATCCATCGCATGTTTTGAACGACCATGGCTTCGCATAAATAGAGAATCTCCAGAGGCAATACCATGATGGAACTTGCGTGTGGTCTAATGCCTACCGCTGTGAGCTCTTTCATACTTACTACGTTCTGATATTCTGCCAGTTCTCTCTGATGAAGCTGAAGGATATGGGCTGTCCTATGGCAGTGTTGGAGACAGCAGAGAAGACCCGCACCACGTCCTGCTTCCGTATGCCACTGTCGTTCCGCAACGACATGTCCAAGTACCTATAAGTGTATTTTTTTAGATCTGTAGACTGTTTTTATTATTAAATTCAGATGTTCCTCGCAAACAGAAAGAGAAGCTGACCTTCTACCTATGTAGGGTTTCTCGATAGATTTTTAGTGCTTAAAATTAAAAACATCCAATCTCTATATATAAATATGAATTGCTGTTCGTTAGTCTCGCTAAAACTCGAGAACGGCTGGGCCGATTTGGCTAATTTTGGCCTTAAATTATTTGTGGAAGTCCAGAGAAGGATTACAAGGTAGATAAATATGAAAATGCTCAGAATGAAATAAATAAACAATTTTCTTTTTTTATCGATTAAGGCACTACGAAGTCTGCCGGGTCAGCTAGTTGCATATAAATAATTTTACAAAATCGAATCCGAAAATATTAGTAAGTTATATGATTTGGAATATTGGATTTGAAAGGACGTCATGTTGTACGATTTTATGCCTCTAATAGTTTAACAATCCCGATATTGTGAAAATCCATGGCTGTTTCTGCCGATGAATTTTATTAGTTGTAAGGCCGCGTGCGAAGAAGACACGCGTGCTGTTTATCGACCAATGAAAATGGGTCACTTGCGTGCTAGATACCAGCGCCCTGCCTATTTCTGTTTGCTGGGTGGGGCGGCCAGCTAAGTTCCGGGGTCTGACCTGCGCAGTAGGTGCGGGGTCCTGGTGCAGCCGAGCACGGAGAGCAGGCGGTGTCGCTCGGCGGGCGCGGCGGCGGGGAGGCGGTCCAGCGCGAACTGCCACTCGCTGACGCCGCCCAGCCGCAGCGCCATGCAGTACACTATCCCGCGCACGTCCACCGGTATACTGGAAGTATATACAGGACAAGCTCTTTATTTGCTTAGTATTAACGGCCGTCTGGTGTAGTGGTAAGTGACATGGTCACTACACAAGGGAGTCGCGGGTTCGAATCCCGCCAAGGAAAGATATTTGTATGATAAATATAAAATGTCTTTTCCAGGGTTATGGATGTTAAATATATGTATGTGTATAATAAAAATCTTACATTTATTTCCGTTATCTGGTACCTGTAACACAAGTTCTTTACGAACTTACCACGGGACCAGTAAAAGTGGCGGGTAAAAAAAAAAAAAAAGTATTGTAAATGGGCCGCGTATACAGAAAGCGGTGGTAGGACCTCTTGTGAGTCCGCACGGGTAGGTACCACCACACCGCCTATTTTTATTTTATTTTTTGCTTAGATGGGTGGACGAGCTCACAGCCCACCTGGTGTGAAGTGGTTACTGGAGCCCATAGACATCTATAACGTAAATGCGCCACCCACCTTGAGATATAAGTTCTAAAATCTCAGTATATGTTCAACGGCTGCCCTACCCTTCAGACCGAAACGCATTACTGCTTCACGGCAGAAACAGGCAGGGCAGTGGTACCTACCACCAGTAATGATAAACCTACAACGATATATTCTTTGATTAAATAATAAACTCGCAACCCCGCCGGACAGGTGGGTAAGCAAAGGCTCAGCCAGAAGGGGTGGGATTTGCTAACAGCCACCCGAAGGAGTCCTAACAACTTCGCGAATGAATCTACTACCGGATCGGAATCGCGACCCGCTGAAGAGATCCGGCGACAAACTCAGCGGCCTGATGCATGGGTTAGATTGCAATTGGGATGTAAACTAACTGTTCCTTGTTCTTCAAGTGTTACTAACAAATAAAAGAGCTATAAAATTACTCATTGAAGCGGTCAGGGTCAGGGGAAGTGCTCCAGTTCTTGAATGATATAATAGCGTTCTGTATGCAATCTGGATTCTCGAAATGGCATGCCGATGCCCAGAGATCCACTCTGTGCTGGGCCGTTATAACACTCTCGTCTTCTCGAATGTCCCATCCGACATCTCTAATAGCCCCTTGCAGCAGCCGATCAACGTATATCTGGGAAAAAAAGAAAATAGTGTATCCATCTTATCCATCATTCAGAAGCGATTTTAAAACTTTTCAAATAAATACATAGTTTACTGAATTTGAACACAAAATGATTTCTCTTGACTACTGTTTCAACAGCCACATTGTTTTTTTTTATATGAATGGGGGGGATTACTGGTGGCCCTTTCCAGTTTCACAAGGACAGGTCATCGAACAAAGCTCAGCCAGGAAGGGTTGGATTTGCTAACAGGTCCTAGCGCCTTCAAAGGAGACCTAACAACTCAAGAGTAGCTGCTTCGCGAATGAATCTACTATCAGATCGGAATCGCAACCCGCTGTGAAGATTCGGCGAGAAACTCAGCGAGCTGATGCATGGGCTATGTGGCACGTCGAACTCTTTTCCGAGTTCGGCGAGTAAGTCACATTGTATTTTTTACTGGAGCATGTTTTTATTACTTTTGCTATAATAGACAGTCGAACTCCCAGTTGATGCAAAACTATTAGCGAAACCCATTATTGTAATTTTCACTACGGATTCCTTGAAATAAAATGTTTAACATTCATTTTAGTGACACACAGCGACATCTAGCGGTGACTACCGCATGTGTGCTACCGTCTGATTTTACCTACGATTGTATAAGTTTGATTAATTTAATTCATTTAAAGAACCTTTTTTATCAAAAGTGTGTCGTGATAGTCGATAATAGCATTATGGACTACTGAAGGTATCTTCGACCGCGATTCTGAATCAAAAATGGCCGTTTTGAAGATTTAAACGCGACCCTTGACTTCCAATCTATATATTATTATATAAAAGAAAGTCGTGTTAGTTACACTATCTATAATTCAAGAATGGCTGAACTGATTTGGCTGAAAATTGGTGGGGAACTTAGTGGGGAACTTAGTGGGGAACTTATTGGTGGGCTTAGAACCAGGAGAATGACATGGGGTACTTTTTATCACGTTCCCGTGGGACGTGACATACAACGTGGTATAACAAAACGCAACTCATGTGGAATAACAAAAAGCAACTGACAGCTAAGACAGTGTTTGTTTCGAGTTTCTATTAGCTTATTGTGCCGAGATAGGTAATCATTAAGAAAGCCATGTCGGGACCAACACGATCAAATCTTTCCCGACGAAGCCGTAATGCAACTAGGATTCGAAACATTCCGAGTGAAAGGACTGAAGAAGAACAAGAAAATATAATAATAATAATAATAACAACTAAAATACATGGCCAATAAAATATCATTAAAATACTTGCTTTTTTAATTTACATTAATTATCCAAATAAAAAATTTACCTTGATCAAATCAGTCTGCTCATTTATTGCCTCTAAGGCGGAACAAAGTTCGCCGGGTCACCTAGTAACTAATATAGTTAATAATAAAATGTAAATTACCAGCAAATTATAAATTAATCAAAACCACATTTAACGATCGAAAAAATTATGATTTATCATTTAAAATCTGAACGAAAAGTTGCATGGAATATTTATTTTGTTCGTCTTTTTTAAATCATATTTTAGAAGATGCTAGAAGATGATATAGAGATGTCAAACATTTTGTTGCTAAGTCAAAAAGATCATTTAAAACAAACCGAAAAAAGGCTATCATTATTGATACCACTTCTAAGTAAATGTAAATACATTTATTGCCGTAATATTATATTATAATATAGGTATCATTTACTAGCTGATAACATTTTGATATAAAACAGTTTCGACCTTAAAGATCAATAAATTATCGACTTGGAAATTAATACGTGATGCTTTAAAAAATTCAAAACATGAAGGGAAAAGCTAATTTAAATGCAACTATAAAAAGGAAATGATGAAAAGTGGATGAGAATGTCGGGCGATCGAACGTTGTGGCATATAAAGGGGAGTGATGAAGTCGTCGTGGCCTAATGGATAAGACGTCCGGTGCATTCATATCCTAACAATGCACCGGTGTTCGAATCCCGCAGGCTGGTAACAAGTTTTCTAATGAGATACGTACTTGACAATTGTTCACTATTGATTTCCACGGTGAAGGAATAACATCGTGTATTAAAAATCAAACCCGTAAAATTACAATTGTAATTACTGGTGGTAGGTCCTCTTGTTAGTCCGCACGGGTAGGTTTCCTATATCTGCCGTGGAGCAGTAATGCGTTTCGTTTTGAAGGGCGGGGTAGCCGTTGTAACTATACTGAGACCTTAGAACTTATATCTCAAGGTGGTTGGCGCATTTACATTGTAGATGTCTATAGGCTCCCGTAACCACGTAACACCAGGTGGGCTGTGAGCTCGTCCACTCATCTCAGCAATAAATAAATAAAGGTATATGCTTGGCAGTAGATATCAAAGAGCTGAAGATATATACATGAAATAGTTTGAACCCCACTTAAAGCTTCTCGTACAAACAGCTCACGAAGAGGTACTAAGCTTACCCCGTATTCCACATAATGCTCTCCATTTGACAGCATGGTGTCAATATAGCCAAGGGCAGAAAGACCAGTCTTCCATGGTACGTAGCTGCGTTCATGGGCGAGGTAGCTGACCACGTCCAAGGCCGTCTTGTAGTCCAAACGACCGGTCAGAGCAAGGTTCATAGCGTCATCAACTATCTGGGCTCGATTGATGACGTGGATTTCTTGAAAACGATTCTTGTCGTTGAGTACCGCGGTCAGGAGTTGCCAGTTACGGGTGTCGTAGTTCACGCGGTAGAAACCTATCAAAGAAAAAGAAAAGTAAAACTATTTCAGTGTTGTCATTAAAAAGAGATGTTGGAATGGTGGTTGAAGATCGAATGCTATGACAGCAACGTTTCTCCATTTCCTTTCATTATACATAGTAATAGGCCAAACGAGCACTATTGAAGCTTTCGCTGAAAGCTTAAAGACACTAAAGCGTAAAACGTCGGCCATCTTAACCCTTGAGATCGGAGTTGCTCGATTGCTTGACAATGAGGTTACCAATGCTTTCACCTTTGGATTTTTCATCACTCCTATCTCCAAATACTGACATGAAAATCGTGCAACAGCGTTTCAGAATGTGAGTCTAGATAGATATCTTGGTCTGAGTAACTAAGATGTCCAATCTTGTCTTTGCTAGGCCATTACATCCATAGAGCATGTTTATGCAAAAAGCATTAAAGACGTTTAGCCCCCGCACCCTTTGTCTCGCGTTACTCTGGGAACGTTAAAAAATGTAGTTCTCATTCGGACCACCTCAAGCGTACGCTGTGCATATTTGTTTTCAATTCTCAAGTTATGATTTAATAACTAAAATAATTCCCTAACAGAGCATGTATACAGTGCTCATGCAGAACGGGCAGGTTTTGACGTTGTCCGACAGATTAGTCTTACGTAAGTGGCCCACAATACCGAAATACTTATGGCCTAAAGTCAGTACTTAGGATAGATATGGTTAAGTAGTTAAGAATAAAGTAAAGATACTTTTACTAAGAACAAACAATGACGAAATAGTAGCAACACCCTAAAGAGCCATGGGTTCTAATTAATACCTAAATAGGCTACCACTTTAGATCCTTTAACCTTAAAACTCATCTATCCTGTCACTCCTACAATTCTATTCGCACCTTTTTTAAGCATCGTATAGTTATAACACTCACCTGTTTCTTGAATATTAACAATTAACCAGTCCTCGTTCTTGACAGGGAAGTCTTTGACGACACTCTGCACTCCCTCAAGCCAGAACTTTGGTCTGGTCGACCGGAAATCTTGCTCGGAAGCTGTTGTGTAAGACACAGGTATCCACCACAGGGGCGCTTGTTGAGATGATGATGTTTCATTGATCAGTACGAACCTTTCCTGAAACATGTAATCCTTTTTGAGAATTTTATTGTAGGAATTAAATAACAGAGGAAAGCAGGAATAAGTTCCCATGGGATTATTTTTTGTTATAGATATAAACCACAGCATGACTCAACGTAGTTCATAATGTCTCAATGGGATAAGAAGATCGCTAATGTGGCGTATAAACCATAACGCAATGAAAAATGGCATCAATGGAAATAGTCGCCTACGCGTTTTGAAAAGGTTTTTTTTATATCGCCTTTGTCGGAAGACCAGATGGTGAGTTGTTACTGATGGACAGCCGCAATGTCAGAGGTACAGCCAAGTCGCTTAAAGAAGGATATGCCATAGCGTTCGGGACACATAGTGGAAGAGAAGATTCCAGAGCCACATGGCACGTGACAGAGCAGATCTCTGAAAACGCACTCTTGAGGAACTATTTCAGATATTATGCATAAACTCTGTGCCGCAAAGCAGAGCAGGCCAGGGTAGATAATAGAAGAAACAAGCGAAAGAGAATGACTACATCGGGACTTATAAATATAAATACCTACAAATTAAAGAATTTTCAGTAGATGTCATTTCTTATTTAATTATTGTTGTTCAACTAATATCAAAAAGTTGCCTGATAACGAAAGCGCGTTCACTAATCAGTAGTTTTTTCAGTATTAGACGAGGCTGAAGTATTGTCAAAGAAAATATCCCCACAAAACGGAGCACATTGCGTCTTGGCGACAAAACTAGAAGACCAGTTGATTAGGGTAGATGCCTCTTAATATTTCATAATTAACGCAGGTATCCTTGGTAATCGTACGCCATGAAGGATTTATTTTAAAAATAGCCCTAAAACTTATTTAATTCCAACATAGCCGTTTTTTTTTTATTTATTTTTTATTGCTTAGATGAATGGACGAGCTCACAGCCCACCTGGTGTTAAGTGGTTACTGGAGCCCATAGACATCTACAACGTAAATGCGCCACCCACCTCGAGATATAAGTTCTAAGATCTCAGTATAGTTACAACGGCTGCCCCACCCTTCGAACCGAAACGCATTACTGCTTCACGGCGGAAATAGGCGGGGTGGTGGTGCCTACCCGTGCGGACTCCCAAGAGGTCCTACCACCAGTAAAACGTGGAACGAACTCAGAAATTCAAACCCACAAAGAACCTAAGAAACAAATTCAATCAACCAAAAAATCAAATTCTATAAAACGCGATGACGCACCATTTTTGTTATTAATTAAGTCCATTCGGTTTAATTAGTAAATCTACATCATCGTTATATTTATCCTTGTGTATCGACTTCATTACTGGTATTATTCGGAAAATGATCTAATCAAATGATAGCACGCCTATGAATAATACAGACGGTATTTTATTGATAAAAGGAATCCGGATTGTGTTGATAAGCTATGTAATTTTATTAGCGGCACGTGCGTCACGTGGCTTTAAGGCCCGATGGGGATTTTTAGTGTCTTAGAATAAAGAGTATACGGCCCACCTGATGATGAACTAGCACCATCGCTCTTGGACAAATACCAGAGTCTAAGAGTTCGATTTCAACCACATTTGAAGAAAAGCGTGTTACAGCAGTTAGGTTGAAAAAAGAGATAGGTATGGCTAACTCACAGCCATAGAATCAAATGTACCGCAGAGGGGATTTCTTTCTGGAATCGAATAGGACATGGTCAAGCTGAGGGGTGGAAAAGTAACGTGAATAAACACGACAGTTTCGGCTATCTTATGTTCAGATATCCAGGCATTGGGTCCATCTTATCCAGAACATGGATGACGCTGCGTATTTCTTTACATGACAAAGTCTGAATTACATAATCATTTGCAATTTTTCAAGCCAGACGAGTTATTGCTAAGCGACAGTTATAGAAAAAGAGATTATTTACTCACGTAGACTCACAATACAAATTTAAGTACCAACTAAAAGGCGCATAGTCGATTTATAACGATACCAGGGCACCTATTGCAAATCAAATATTTTTAATTTCCAATCATATTGAAATGAATCAATTACTTAGAACTAACAAAATTTTATTTTGAGCAAAGTAGTGACATCTGTTGAAAAATAAAGTAATTTCGGAAATAAATTGGGTTAAATTAATTTTCACTTAAATATGTGCTGCTTACACGGTATGAGAATCTTTTTAGATATAAGTATTAAAGAAAACTAGGAAAGGAAGAGGTAGAACTAATAGGAAATGGATGGATTGCGTGAAAAACGACAATAATATGTGTAAGAAGGGAATGAGCGAAGAAATGGTATATGATAGAAGAATATGGAAGGAGAAAACATGTTACGCCGACCCCAGATGACTAGGAGAAGGGCAGGAGAATGATGATGATGATAAAGAAAACTATAATCTTCTGTTAAATAGTAAGCTGGATTACCTTGACCGCCATCTATTGATTAATAATTGCAACATTTTCAACGTCAATTATTTATCTTTCATAAAATGATTTTTTCTTTATATTAATTAACCTAGAAAATTCGCATTCATTAATTAGTTGGCACTGAAATATGTATTGTGAGTTTTACATGAGTAAATAATATCATCTTCTACTACAGCATTGTAATTTACAAAGCATTATCAATGTCAACTCGTCCCAAATTTATTGTTTAACGGCTGCCTCACTCTTCAAATACCGTATGTTCCATGGGGAGTGCTCTGAGGAATTGTTCGAAATGATACCGGTATCTCGTTTTTACCATCGCACCGCCCGCCACCGGAGTAGAGTTCATCCATACTACCTGGAGCCACTGCGGTCATCCACAGTGCGTTTCCAGAGATATTTTTTGCCACGTACCATCCGGCTATGGAATGAGCTCCCCTCCACGGTATTTCCCGAGCGCTATGACATGTCCTTCTTCAAACGAGGCTTGTGGAGAGTATTAAGCGGTAGGCAGCGGCTTGGCTCTGCCCGTGGCATTGCTGAAGTCCATGGGCGACGGTAACCACTCACCATCAGGTGGGCCGTATGCTCGTCTACCTACAAGGGCAATAAAAAAAAAACGCACGACGGAATCCTTACGTGTGGTGAACACGCCCTATCACTAATAATGCAACAAATCATGACCACACCTGACTAAATTTGATTTGTTGGTTTCCGTAATCTCTATTGACGGTGAGCACCGGGAATCCAGTCTGCAAAGTCCACGAGTCCATGACGACCGCAACATCGATTTTGAGGTTCCTTTGCGTGGCGACCGCAGTCAGCGCAGCCCAGAGGTCCTTCTGCTCCGCGTTCCCATACATCTTCGATTTCAGGTAGTTAGTGACGCCCGCGTTGAAGATATCATCAGTGAGAATGTGGTTCAGCATCCGGAGCAGAGCGGCACCTGAATTTGTAGTTACCAAAAAATAAAAAAAAATTAAGCATCTTTTATACCATTGTCGTCGTTTTAACTTTTAACTCTCCAGAACCGACAGAATTTATCTCTCTAGTCGATCGTAGGCTACTGAGGGATCGAATGTTTTTATTTAGAATAATAAATAATGATATTAATTCTAGCTATCTTCTTTCCAAAATTTCATTTAAATGTAGTCGTATTTCCGCGCGTTCTAAACAGACCTTCCACATGTCCACGGCTCGAACGAAATATGCTTCTAACTCTTTTGTCCGTAGATCTTGTAGGTTGTATGATGCTAAGTTCTCTAATGCTGACATCTTTTGCTTGTCATTTGTTATTTTAAAGTATTGATAAGGTGATTTAGTCCGATGAGTGCTATAGTTCTATAGTGTAAGTTGATGTAGGTATAAAATAATATGTGCGTATTGTGTTGCTTTTGTTTTTTGTAATTTAAATTCAAAATTTCTCTTCGCTGTTCACTTTCTACTAATATGTCATTTTGATTGTGGAAACATATTTGGTTATTGTTTTAGCCACATTTTTTAAAATATTATATGTTTGTATTGTGCTGTTTGTTTCCCAAATAAATAAACAAAATAAATAGAGAGGCACGTGTTCATTAAATTTCTAGATTGGATTACTTCAAAAATCTAGACTCAATAAAAAATAATTAAACAAAATCATGTAAAACTGAAGTCATCGTGGCCTAAAGGATAACACCAGGTGCATCAACACAGTCGTATCAAACGATACGTGTGCGCCGGTGTTCGAATCCCGCAGGCGGGTACAATTTTTCTGATGAAATACGTACTTAACGAATGTTCACGAATGACTTCCACATTAAAAGGACTAACTTCATGTAACAAAAATCTAATCCGCAATAATTATAATTAGCATAATTACTGGAGATAAAGCGTCATGTGAGTCCGCACGGGTAGGCACCACCACCCTGCCTATTTCTGCCGTGAAGCAGTATTGCGTTTCAGTTTGAAGGCTGGGGCAACCGTATACTGAGACCTTAAAACTCATATCTCAAGGTGGGTGGTGGGCAGTGACCACTTAACACCAGGCTAGCAATAAAAATAAAACACTGTGTACTGATAGCCAAATTAATGAACGTCAAACTGAAGTTCTTTCATACAAAGAAATAAATTGTAACGATCGATCCGTGATTCTTTTTTAAAGCGGTTATTTGCTGTCTACCATCTATTGAGTAGTTGTAATTGGTTTCATAAGCGTTCGGTGCTAAGCCATCTACTCATATCTGTTCATAAAATATTTATAACTACTGATACCATGAACCCCATGCTTTTTGCAATAAAATTATTTTTTCTTACACTATTTTTAATTCAAATTTATTTTCTATTTGTTTGTTGGATTTTCTACAAAAGCGTATTTTGTAAGTTTTTTTAGACTATTATTTATTTTTCATTTTTAGTTGAATTTCAACTTTTAAAACTTTTCTTTTTCATTTTTTTTTTAATATTGAGTAGTTATCAGTCCTTAATAAGTATACTAAATTTCGAGTTAACCCGACGTTTTGAAGGGGGCCAAAATCATGTTCAAAGATTCCGTTACAAACATACATACGCCTGAAGCTAATAAAAGCGTATTAAATAAGAAAGCTGTAACGTCTTCCCTCTTTAGTCCATCGTCTTAGTCAATATTTAGAAGCCAACTAGCCTGTCAGAGTAAGCCCATAAAAGTAAAAATCATGATCGAACCTTTTCCATATGATATTTTGTCAAATATAGCGTCGGTCTCTTCGGAAGCCGTGACGTCGACGGAGAGCTGATGCGAAGAGTTCAGCGCGTCCAATTGGAAGACGTTGTGGACTTGGTCCAAAATACACAACTCGGTCAGATTCCACGATTTCTCAACCTAAAAAGAATTATTTTGTATTGGAATTTATGAATGATCCCTCGAGTTTCCAGTAGTCTGGCGGGTCTGTTAAAAGTAGAAGCGTAAAAGTCTTCAATAAATTTATAACCAATATCTATGTCAATTATCCAGAATCGAAATATATCTAGAATTATATGAATCCGTGCGTAACTTAAGAATATTAAAAACCTGGCGGTAAACTAGTCAATCAAATACAAAAAAGGATGTTATTGGTAAGCTATATGCTATAGTTCTGGTTTGCCGTTGGTGTTTGTTAATTGTTATAGAGAAATGATAGGGGAACTTATGGTGTCCTTATACTCCGAAAACCACTGGGTAGACCGTGGCAGAAATAACAGATCTGCATATCGATCCAATTTAAAAACACAGTATCAACATGAACCTTTTGTTTTACCAACTAGACAAGGACTCTTTAATCTTCTATATATATTATATAAAAAAAGAATTGCTGTTCGTTAGTCGTTAAAACTCGAGAACGGCTGGACAGATTTGGCTAATTTTAGTTTTGAATTATTTGTCGAAGTCCAGAGAAGGTTTAAAAGGTAGATAAATATGAAAATGCTTGGAATTAAATAAGCAAATAGCAATTTTGTTTTTCCTTTGATATGTCTCCCGTCGGACCGATTTTTTTTTGTTTGTTTTAAGTTTATTTTATACAAAAGTTTAGGTCTTTTATTTATCGATTGAGGCACTACGAGGTCTGCCGGGTCAGCTAGTAATAAAATTCTTAAGCCAGCATCACATCAGCCAATGGAACCAAACTAAGTCATAAACTCACAGCATCGACAGCAACGTATTCGACGTACGTAGCGAAACCCTCGTTGAGCCAAAGGTCTCGCCACCAGGAAGGCGTCACGAGGTTCCCGAACCACTGATGGGCGATCTCGTGAGCGACCACGGTGGCAACATGCACCTTGTCCATCGTAGCTGACACACCTTGCTGGTAAAGCATGGCTATTTCCCTGAGAACGTATCATTCAGAAAGTTACAGGTATTGAGATTACACTGGCAAGCTCATACTCGGTCACATGACGGTCTGATTTTTAAGTGATTACGAACACGATTACTACTAAGTCGACGACTAAGTCGTCGTGGCCTAAGGGACGTCCAGTGCATTCGTGTTGAGCGATGTACCGGTGTTCAAATCCCAGGCGGGTACCAATGGGGGGTACTAATGAAATACGTACTCAACAAATGTTCACGATTGACTTCCACGGTGCAGGAATAAAATCATGTAATAAAACTCAAGCCCGCAGAATTATAATCTGCGTAATTACTGGTGGTAGGACCTCTTGTGAGTCCGCGCGGGTAGGTACGACCCTGCCTCTTTCTACCGTGAAGCAGTAATGCGTTTCAGTTCGAAGGGTGGGGCAGCCATTGTAGATGTCTATGAGCTCCAGTAACCACTTAACATCAGGTGGGCTGTGAGCTCGTCCTCCACTCATCTAAGCAATAAATAAAAAAAAGAACAATGATTCTCCTACCTCAAATCTTAAGTCATAATTGCGTAGCGACATAAAAAATTAATGTACTGACAGCATAAACAGACAATGCACTCGCTGCATGAAATGTACTGATTGCACATAAATTAAAAAGATTTCGTTATTTCGTACGTGATTTACATAGAATTGACGAAAGTATTAACGCGGATAATACCTATTTAATTCAGGAAAATAAAATATCGGACGCCGAGGAAAAAACCTCAAATGAAGTTAATGTCATATTGAACAAGCTTAACCTCGACGGAATTCGCGCAAAGGTCGTTGATATTCAAGGCCTGAATTATTTGCAAGCTGTCCTTGAATACGCGATAAATTCTGGGAGCTGCGCGATTTTCAACCTTATTCAGACGTGGTATACAGCTAGTTGATGGTACCTCGGTCTCTAACGCTGATATAAGATTTATTATGAGTATCAAATGCCTCAAAAAAATTGTCACAATCAACTGAAAAACGCATCCTGATTATGGCCAACCGAAAGATTGAGTAAAGTGGAAACATATTGGAAGCAGTCGACAAGATCTTAAATATTCAATCTTTATTAATTCATCATAAGCAACCACCTCTATCATCTATTACTAATTATCATTAAGTATCACTAATTACTGGTGTATGTGGTGGTGGATGGAGGTGGTAATCTATCTGCTATCTATATATATAAAAATGAATTTCTGTTCGTTAGTCTCGCTAAAACTCGAGAACGGCTGTACCGATTTGACTAATTTTGGTCTTGAATTATTTGTGGAAGTCCAGAGAAGGTTTAAAAGGTAGATAAATATGAAAATGCTTAGAATTACTTAAATTAAAATAACAATTTTGTTTTTCCTTTGATGTGTCCCCCGTCGGACGGATTCATTTTGTTTGTTTTAAGTTTTTTTATAAAAAACTTTAGGTCTTTTATTTACCGATTGAGGCACTACGAAGTCTGCCAAGTCAGCAAGTCTGTTATAAAACCTATTCCTCAAATTATTTATGAGAATGTCGTCTCATATAGATTACTTCACAGTGTATGCGGCTTGGTTATACTCCCCGCATTGCTGATGTTACGGACGGCAGCTACTCAGCATCGAGTGGCCCCTTTGTTGTCGAGGGAATTTAAAAGACACCATTCTAGACAAGCTCATATCATGAATAGAGACTACGAACGCTTTTCAGCATAAAGCTCTCGGTGCTTTGAAATTCATGAGTATTTTATATTCATAAACGCTTTCAGGAATTTCCTGACGTTCTAAAAACATGAAAACATGTTCAAGGTTTAATCTCGCGATTATTTATTATTATTATTATTTATATTTAGTCCAACATTTTCGAAGTAATTAATTGTTCTTCTTTCTGACATAGAACGCACTATATCCAGGTCAGTCTAACATATATCTAACTAGTATCTGTGGATAGAATGTGATGAAGTCGTAGCCTAAAAGATAAGACGCCCGGTGTACTTTTTTTATTTTATTTTTATTGCTTAGATGGGTGAACGAGCTCACAGCCCACATGGTGTAAAGTGGTCACTTTAGCCCATAGACATCCACAACGTAAATGCGCCACCCACTATGAGATATAAGTTCTAAGGTCTCAGTATAGTTATAACGGCTGCCCCACCCTTCAAACCGAAACGCATTACTGCTTCAAGACAGAAATAGGCAGGGCGGTGGTACCTACCCGTGCGGACTCACAAGAGGTCCTACCACCAGTAAGTACGAAAATAATAATTTTGCGGGTTTGATTTTTATTACACGATGTTATTCCTTCACCGTGGAAGTCAATCGTGAACATTTGTTAAGTACGTATTTCATTAGATAAATTGGTACCCGCCTGCGGGATTCGAACATCGGTGCATCGCTAGATATGAATGCACCGGACGTGTTATCCTTTAGGCCACGACGACTTCCACCCGTGTTCAATAAGAAAAATAATTTCTAGGCCAATGGATTTGTTACCTGAAAGTCAAGAGTCCCCAGTTCTCCATAGCACCGTTCTTGAAGTCCGGTAAAGCAATCATATCGATCTTCGGTAAAGGAAATTTTATATCGTAATAATTCTCTAGAAACTTCAGTATCTTCGAGCCGATTTCGAGGGCGAAAGAAGCAGCCGGTAAGACTTTATCTCGCGCCCACACCGAGAACGTGTCCTTCGATTTACTACTGAAATCTGTGACGGCAAACGCGACGAGATACGTCGACATCGGCAATGATTCTTCGTAAAAATCATTAATGTAGCCTTCGACCCTGTCACTGGAAACAGTCAAAACATTTTTGTTAATCTCATTTTCATTGCTAATTGTTTAAAATATATCTAAATAAAAACAGCTTAGTTGTTGAAAACCAAAATTTCTGGTATAAAAATATTTAACAGAAACAAATAAAATCAAATTGTTTAGGTATAAAAAAATACGTATTCTACGTAGTCTAGTAATTAAATTATGACTAGATTCTATTCCTATTAACTTCTATTAAGGAAATTATTTTCGTAGGAAAAGTTTTTTTTTTATTGCCCTTGTAGGCAGACGAGCATACCGCCCACTTGATGGTGAGTGGTTACCGTCATCCGTGGACTTCAGCAATGCCAGGGGCAGAGCCAAGCCGCTGCCTACCGCAAAGGTACAACGAGGCAGTTAAAAATTAAACATTCTAACACTTCTAGTAGAGAGATACACCATATAAATAAAACATGCTGATGTATGAAAATGAATAGGCACCAAGTCTCCTAAAGAAGTACGTATCTGACGCACGATCGAATTGAACGATGGAGGCATGATAAATAAAGATGGAAAAAATGGTAAAAAACAAACCCGCAAAATGTATGAATTTGCATTATGAATTTTGGCAATAACCCCACCCGGATAGGCACCACCGTCCTATTTACTTTTATAGCGTAGCACCTTTGGCTTCTAGTTTGGTTATAAAATATAATTTCAATCTCGTATCTCAATTATGGGCTCCGGTAACCATTTTATACCAACGGCGACACATCGATCTATATATGAAACAAAATCTTTCCACGTAATATCCACTAAAATTCAAGTCAATTCAAGTATTTTGAAAATCTGCACACGTATCAAGGATCAACGATAATAAAATCATTTTATAAATCTTTGTCGTATTTAAAGTATTATATTTTTCTCTGAACCAACAAAAACTACTTACTGTGGAGACTGCTTAATACTATTCATGTTGGACAAGGAAGTCATATTGGCTGGTCTTCCGATGGTAATAGTGAACCGTGCCTTCATGGCCGGCTCGTCCCAGCAAGGGAACGCTCTCCGGGCGTCCATAGCTTGGAACTGCGTCACAGCTATCCACCTAAGGGGCATTCAGGAAACTAAAACACACAACCTTGAAATTGATTTCCGAAGTAACCTATTATATAAAATACTAGCTTTTGCCCGCGACTTCGTCCGCGTGGAATAGTTACTTTGGCATAGCGCTAAATTTTACCCGCCTCTTCATTTACGGAGAAATTTTTATATAATCGAATATTTTTATATAATCAAAAATTAGCAAAAATTATAATCAAATATTAGCAAAAAATTTTATATAATCGATAGATTTATCGAGAATGCTTGAACCGATTCTGATAATTCTTTTTGTTTTGTTCGAAAGGGTAGACTTCCCGAATGGTTCTGTAATCATCAAAAACTGATGATGGGATCCTAGAGAAATCGAGAATAATCTACATATAAATGTCAAAACCTATCTTGAAGTGATTTGGGCGTTTCAATGTTGTAATGAATGATGTATTTATTTGGATAAGGAATTAATATCATCTTTATAAAAACACCTTCACAAAAAATGCTTTATTTTAGAACAAATTTGTTCAACTTAAAAAAAAACGTTATAGTGAGCTAATCTAAAATATAGGCATATGCTGTCGCGGATTTTTTTTTTAGATCTTTTAAAGGGGAACAATTCTGTCATACATTATTTTAACGAAACTTTAACCGTTTCCGCAGCGCACGAAGTGGAAGCTCTCAAAAGGAAAAAAAAACGATTTTGAAACATTCTTTACTGGTGCTCCGCTTGTATTAGTCTTAGCGTGATGTTATATAGCCTATATATAGCCTTCCTCAATAAATGGGCTATCTAACACTGAAAGAATTTTTCAAATCGGACCAGTAGTTCCTGAGATTAGCGCGTTCAAACAAACAAACAAACAAACCCTTAAGCTTTATAATATTAGTATGTATAGATTTGCATATTTGTCTGCTTATGACGTATGAGTTGTGTAACTTTCATGATTATTGGAATTCCAAGGAAGGTTTTAGTCGCAATCCCATCAATAAACAACAGTAGAACCATTTATCCCCAGCTGCGCTGCATGTTCCTTTGCCTCGTTGACGATAATAATAAAAAAACAATAAGCTATTAGCTATCAATAAAAGTGTGAGCAGCCTGTGTTATTGAGCATGCACAAGTGAGGGCGAACCTTTAGAATGTTAATGTCCTCATTCAAGTCCAGAAGCGAGTCGCCTCGAGTCGCGGAGTTGTTTAAAGCTACACGACACGATCTCGCACGCAATTTTTTTCTATAGATACTCTAAATATAAGCAAAAATCTGCACTTTAGATGTAATATGCCGGATTCCTATTGGAAGATTCGTTTCTTTTTCCCAATCCAGTATTTAGGTTTTACAATATCATTAGTCTGTACCTCTGTTATTAAGGAGTATTAGATTTCTTATATTATGTAATTGGACACTTAGCAAGGCGAAATGATAATAGATAGAGCAAGATAGTAACGGAATGGTAGTCAAGATTAGGTCAAGGTTAAGTTGCCGATACACCTATGGCTCGGTGGACCGATGACATAGTCAGAACGGCGGCGCAGACGTGGATGATAATGGCGGGAAATCTAACATTATGGCATAAAAAAGAGAAGGCCTATGCCCAGTAGTAGCTATCAAAGTACTGAAGTGGATAGATATGTATTTGGTCTACTAACTTCACTCTTGTATTCTGGAGGTCAAATAACTAATTACAGCTCGTAATTTTATTCTTGGAAAACGCAATTATAGATTTTGAAAATCACATAGCTATCTTTTATAAAATTATTTCATTATTGTATACACCTAAGCTTTCGTTAAATAAGCAATCCCAAGATTTTAAACGTGTATAAATTTAATTATTCGTGTAAATGAATTGAGCCGAAACTTACCGACTGAGAGTAATATGAACTGTGTCATGAAAATAAATAAAAATCGAATAAGAGCTATTTTTTGTAAAAGAAAAACCTTCTAAATCATGAGATAGGGAATACTTTTATGACACGTGTAATTCTACTGGTGTGAGCGCACACGAAACTGGCACTATCTCTATTCATTTTCTGCAGGGAAGCAGTCGTGCATTCAAATTTGTGAATAAAATAACCATTAATGCAATCGATATTTAATGACCGTACATCAGCTGGGTCGTTCGTCCCATCCACCATACCCAAGCTAATATAAAAATACTAAGTAATTAAGAAGGATATTACTCACTTTCTAACGCCTCCGTCTTCATAAGAACTCCTATAGAAACCATGGAGATCATCGTTAAGAATTCCTGAGTAGCTTATTATCAATAGATACTGCATTCCAACCTCTAATTTATCTCGAACGGTCACTGTATGAAACTGCCTTAATTTATCTTCCTCTGTTTTCAGGATGTCTATTATTCTTCTATCTTTCTCTGTCAGCAACTTCAGATCTCTAAACACTAAATCGACTCCATGGAAGATAATCTCATTAGTCTCATTAAAAACCGTTAACAATATAGTAACTTCGCCTTGAAACGTGAAATTATTCTCTAAGAAGAATGGAGTAATGTTTAGATAATAATTCTCCGGCTTCACGTTTTGAGGTAAACGAAATTCTTTAGGTGTCTCCAAATTTGTATCGTTCATGACGTCTTTACCTTCTGCATCTTTGACTTTCTCTATTTCATTCTTACTTATAGCTATATTTCTTTCTGTTGCTGATTTCTTATCGTTAACCTCTATATTCCTGTCTTTAGGTATATCTTTGTTAGTTTCATTAAGGGACAGTTTAGCTTCCGCAACTCTACAGAGTTCGTATTTTGTGACATTAGCCAGCTGATCAGTTTTAGGGCAGGCAGCGAAATTGTACACCAAAAGCGATGACGTCACCAAAGTCAGTACGAATATTACGAATATAAATAGAACTAACGGCTTTGATAGAATGATTCCTCTTTCGGTTTTCGTAGTGCCATCCACTACGTTTAATGGTTCGTGTGTTTGCATAGACAAATCGCCATTAGCCCGGCCTGTGAACAAATTCTATTTTGTAGAATATATAGTAGTAGATGGTAGGACCTCTTGTGAGTCCGCACGGGTAGCTACCACCGCCCTGCCTATTTTTGCCGTGAAGCAGTAATGCGTTTCGGTTTGAAGGGTGGGGCAGCCGTTGTAACTTTACTGAAACCTTAGACCTTATCTCAAGGTGGGTGGCATATTTACGTTGTAGATGTCTATGGGCTCCTGTAAACACTTAACACCAGGTGGCCTGTGAGCTCGCACACCCATTTAAGCATTAAAAAAAATTAAAACATTTCTCTTGAGGATATGTCTCTTCAACGTCCTCGACATAACAAATGACAGTCACACATTTTATAAAAGTTTTACAAAGTATTTTAGCTTTGATTATTGACGCTGCAGTACATAAGAGTTTTGGTAATCGCAATACCAAATGAGCTGCCTAAGTATTTTATTTAAAAAAAAAATTCTACTCTGCATATTGGACTCGATATCGCTCTAATTGTCACAACAGATATTAAAGACAAGATTGATGAGAGACTTCATTACTTTCCCAAACACATCGTGACGCTTTACGAGCTGTGGAGGAAATATGTGTAACGAATTAGTCATTTGTCGTACTCAGAGGGGTGCGTATACACCCACACGCCTGATTTAGTAGAACAGATTTTAGAAAGACAATACTCAATCGACTTAGTAACATCTTGGTTAGTACCAATAGGGAGTACGATGAACCAGCTTTGAATGTACAGCAATCTTGTTGGTTAGATGCGGGCTGTATGGGCCGGTTGCTGTGATAAAGAAAACTTTTGCTTTGTGATGCAATACGGTTTATTTGTATGTTTATACACTTGATATCTTATGAGTATAACAAACACGTCCGCTTGTGGTGAAAAGTAAAAAAGGAAGAGACTGATATCAACAATGTTGCCAGTCATATAATTTTATTTTCCATACTAAAATGTTGGAGTTGCCAACACTTGTTTCGACCTCGTTGAAAGGTGGGGCACTAGATCAAATATCTTAAGATAGGTCGTGAAATACATGTTCTCGTCTATGTGGACTTTGAGAACCACTTAACATCATATGAACTGTAATAAGAAGATGAACAGTTCATAAAAAAATAAAATAAAAACAAATTTGGGTAACCCTACGCTGATACCAGCATCAATTTAATATAATAGATTCAACAAATTGTAGAATGAGATGTACTTAACTAGGTCAAAGCTTAAAGAACTCTATTGAAATGATGAATATTAAAACAGATGAATTGAAATTCTAATCAGTTAAAGTACTGTTTCGATTCACAATGTTTAAAAGGGAAGTGGTTCAGAAGAAAGTTTTGTTTTGGATGCAATCATGGGAACCATGATTCATGTCACGACCAGGTTCATGTCACGTCTACTCTCACAGATCATTTGGGACCTCTAGAACTATGCTAGAACTCCCGTATTCCTCGGATCTCTTACTATTTCAAACCACTGCACCAATGCATTTCCAAATATAATCCCGGTCGTCATTCTCGTCGAACCCGTCGCTTGCGACGAAGGGCTCGACGAGTAAATTTACCCACAGACACAGCCCACTAAGTTTCTCGCCGGATCTTCTCAGTGGGTCGCGTTTCCGATTCGGTGGTAGATTCTGCGAAACACTGCTTTTGCTAGGGTTCATGTTAGCAACGTCGTCAGGTTTGAGCCCCGTGAGCTCACCTACTAGTTAAGGTTACGCTGAAATAGCCTCTCAAGGCTATCAGCTTAGGTAGGAAAAAAAAGATATCATTTTTGGGCTCTGGAATGAGCTTCTTAGCGTTACGGAATTCAACGAGATGTACTTATTTAGCTGAAGTTTGAAGAAAAACAGAGGTAGAGTTCTTTTTATTGCCCTTGTAGGCAGACGAGCATACGGCCCACCTGATGGTGAGTGGTTACCGTCGCTCTTGGACGTCAGCAATGGCGGGGGCAGAGCCAAGCCGCTGCCTACACACAGTACTAAATACTTTTTTTTAATTGCTTTGATGGGTGGACGAGCTCACAGCCAAGCTGGTGTTAAGTGGTTACTGGAGCCCATAGACATCTACAACGCAAATGCGCCACCCACCTTGAGATAAGGTCTAAGGTTTCAGTATAGTTACAACGGCTGCCCCACCCTTCAAACCGAATCGCATTACTGCTTCACGGCAGAATGCGTCCGACTCCGCGCGGACTCACAAGAAGTCCTACCACCAGTAAAAAATAATGAAGTGTAACTTTGCTAAAATCTCGGATAACCTAATGGATTTTATGTTCGCTAAAATGTCGATAAGAAACGGTCTTGACCTCGACGTCATATTGAAAATCAAGGTGCAATGGCGCTCGCGTTATGACGTAATGAGGTTTGAACAATTCTTTACCATTACCGCGGGCGCTAATAATACTAATACCCCACTTGTCTGATCCGTTTGTATCTATCTCTTTCTAACGTTCTAATAAAGAACCCGCATTCGTAGGTATCATAAAGGGCCATGTTTAAAAAAATATTAGATGTCTTTCTTTACAAACTTTGTACCGATTTAAGAATTCTATTAAATTTTACCAGTTCATTTAGTAAATAATTCATATTTTTCTACGACCTAAGTACGATATCTCTTCAAACACGTTCGAATTAGAGTATACCGCACTGATAAATAAGTTTTAAAACTGTTCCAATCGTGGCTAATATCATGCTTAGAGTTGAACTCAGAAAAGTGTTTTGAGATTATCCAGAAGATTATAACAAAACTGACATTTGAGTCACACACACTGGTGGTAGGACCACTTTTTACTGGTGGTAGGACCGGCTGTGAGTCCGCACGGGTAGGTACCATCACCCCGCCTATTTCTACCGTGAATCAGTAACGGGTTTGGGTTTGAAGGGTGGGACACCGTTGTAACTATACTGAGACCTTAGAACTCATATCTCAAGGGGGTGGCGCATTTGCATTGTAGATGTCTATGGGCTCCAGTAACCACTTAACACTAGATGGGCTGTGAGCTCGTCCACCCATCAAAGCAATAAAAAAAAAGTATTTAGTACTGTGTGTAGGCAGCGGCTTGCCTCTGCCCCCGCCATTGCTGACGTCCAAGAGCGACGGTAACCACTCACCATCAGGTGGGCCGCATGCTCATCTGTCTACCTGAGGTTTTCCTTCAAACTTCAGTTAAATCGGGACATCTCGTTGAATTCCGTAACGCCGAGAAGCTCATTCCAAAGTCCGTAGATTATATCTGGACATGCATTGGGTGGCGGCTTTTACATTGTAGATGTCTAGATAGGCTTCAAGGACCACTTAACACCAGGTGAGCTGTGAGCTCGTCCACCCATCGAAACAATCAAAATAAATAAATAAAACATACAGTAAATAACAACATAGGCTAAAGTCGGATACGATGAATAAGTCATTGGCGGCGGAGACATTGGTGAAAATAAATAATAATTAAATGTTTTAATAGCAGTAGAGCCGTGTGAACTCTTCTGCTCCGCTACTAAAACTAAATCAACTTGCTAAAATACAATAAATCATACTCATTTATATAGTTATTATTATTTTATGGATTTTTTCTGAAATAAATGTTTTATTATTATTATAGTACATACAAGAAAATACTTGGACCTTCGCGATGATACTTTTAATCTTAAATGAAAAATACGAAAGCGAATTATCGGATAGTTGAAATGAAACATCAATTATGTGCACGGCATTTCCCTTGAAGCTTGTAAATGAATGACACAAAACGTTATACTGTCAGTCTCGGAGCCAATTGCTGGATGACAAATTGTTCACGTCAATGAATTGCAAATCCAACGTATCAGGAAATGAAGCAGGGACGCCTGCATTCACGACTTCGGAACGATAAGGTCGCATGTCACTTCGATAGTTCAATCAAATAGAGGGCCTCTCTCTTGTTAATTAAGTTCTATAGTTCTTGAGTAGAGGCCAGGCGGTAGACGTCACCCCTGGTCATGGGAATAGGATAAGTTATTGCCTATATCCCCTCATTGTCGATCTCTGAAATCCCACATAGAGAGGATTTTTATTCATTTATTGCATATATTGGTGGACGAGCGCACAGCTCTCCTGGTGTTAAGTGGTTACCGGAGCCCATAGAAATCTACAACGTAAATGCGGCCACCCACCTTGAGATATGAGTTCTAAGGTCTCAGTATAGTTACAACGGCTGCCCCACCTTTCAAACCGAAACGCATTATTGCTTCACGGCAGAAACAGGCCGGGTAGTGGTACCTATCTGTGCGGACTCACAAGAGGTCCTTCCAACAGTAAACAAGAGGATAGAAGGATCGCAGCCTTTCATGACTCGGCTTCATTATTAAGCCATAGTACAAAGCGATCCAAGAACGGTATAAGCGAGCGCGGAAGAAGATATCCTAGCCCGGCTAATAAATTGAGATGTGATCACAAATCGAAAAGCTTAATCAAGCTGATAAAATGATGCCAGAGGATTATCGCGACTTGTTGTTCGAGGGCATACACCCTAGGGTACTATTCACGTGTTCTCATTGTTGTTCTATGAAGGGTCGCTCCCTACGTGATGGGCACAAAGGGTTCCTCAAAGGGCTGTGTGGAGCAATAAAATGTAGCAAGGATTCAATGATTGAACTATCAATGGTTCGTCTACACTGATTTTTATAGCGTAGATGACGGTCCATCTGGCGTAAATCGGGTAAATTCTTAGACGATTTAATTTTATTAATTTAAATGAATAATGTATATTAATAATTAACTAGAGGTCCCGCAGTAGTCGAAATTCGGCTATAATTAATTGGAATTGTAAGTTTGTACACTATTATGATTGTATTTTATACTTCTATAATTACAAATTTCGCCAAGACTACACTATAAAAAATACAAAGACAAACAATATTTAATTTCAATTTGACAACAGACGTCAAGAACAAAAGTTTGACAATAAATAGTATGCATGCGTGTGTGCGTCAAATACATGGTATGTAGTGTGTGTAATGTTTTCTTTATTGATTTAATGTATCTTTTATGCATTATTTTAAAAAAATATTAGCATTGTGCACTTCTTCTCTATATTCTCTATAAGTGTGGAAAATTTCATACTCCTCCGTCCTNACAACAGACGTCAAGAACAAAAGTTTGACAATAAATAGTATGCATGCGTGTGTGCGTCAAATACATGGTATGTAGTGTGTGTAATGTTTTCTTTATTGATTTAATGTATCTTTTATGCATTATTTTAAAAAAATATTAGCATTGTGCACTTCTTCTCTATATTCTCTATAAGTGTGGAAAATTTCATACTCCTCCGTCCTCGCAATTTTCGTAAAAAGGGATACAGTGTTTTTGCTTCACGTATTAATATAATTAATAATGTGAATTATTTAAATACGCAACAGTAAAAACTATAAATGTGTATCCTGATGCTATAGTTAAGCTGACGATTTCACGGTATACCAGGTGGTAAGTGGTTATCATAGCATAGAGACATTGCAAAACGCAAGCACGAGACTACTTTAATAAAATGAATTGTGTAACATTATGTGTATCATTTTCTTGTTATTTAATAATATTTTTAATGTTGGTAGGTCGCGTTGTGATCCCGCTCGGGTAGGTAGGACTAAGAGAAGGGGCGCAATACAAGTTGACTCACAATATACACAACAGCCAGTCTTTTAACGGTAAGCCGATAATATAATGACATGCTATTAATAGCAGATGCAGACGGTTAGCGTGGTATGGACATGAGATGCGTAGAGAGAAGATGCATGTGACTAGGAGATGTATGGAAATGGTAGTGGAAGGTAGAGGGGGAAGAGGTCAAAGACATGGATGGAGTGTGTGAATGACGCCATGAGAGAGAGAGGAGTGAGTGTTGAGCTGACGACTGAGAGAAGAGAATGAATAGAAAAATTACCTGTGCCGACCCCACCTAGTCGGATAAGGTGAACAAAAAGAAGAAAGAAGAGTCGTTAAAACACACGCCTAAGTAGCAAACCGAACAAACAATTGATTTTGTCTTATTGTTGCCTCTTGATACAGAATATGAACGCGAAGCAATGAGATTCTTACATCCTTGATGTGGAAATTTTCAAGTTAATCAATCTTAAAATCGATTAAAATGATGTTCAAACATTCCTGTACATACAAACAAACATACATCCAAACCGAGTTATTAGAAGCGTCTTAAAAATGTGAAATGCATTCGATTGCTTGCGCTATGTTTGTACGTTATTAATAAATGGACGCTGTGCATTTTATATGTCAATGTTAACTTGTTAATCACAATATAGTATAGAAGTGCGTGCGAAATTATTCAATAATACAACTTTGTATGATAATTCTTAGGTTTTTAAATGTATTTTTCCTTATGCTTTATGAAGTTTTTTTGCTCTAGACGTGCTTACGTCACTCCGGAGCTGATGCTTTTTTTCCCTAACTATTCACTGGTAGGTAAGGGACTATTCCAGCTACGCGTGGACGGGTAGTTAAGCTCACGGGCTCAACCTGAGAGAATTTACTAACACTAGCCCTAGCAAGAGCAGTGCTTCGCAGAATCTACCACCGGATCGGAATCGTGACCCGCTGAGAAGAACTGGCAAGATACTCAGTGGGCTGTGTCTATGGGGTATTTCGCTCGTCGATTACGATGAAGAGGAAGAAGGTAGGTGGTCGGTGATAAGGAGCTGGTGAGTATCTCAACGTGAAACAGTGAAGCATAAGTTTTAAGTGTCGTCGACTTCACTACAGACTTATTCTTATTCTTCAAGCGAGAATGCCTATCTCGTTTGCGGAAGAAATGAAGAGTATAGGGAAGCAGTGCGTGTTCACAATACACAATCGTACTAGTGGTAGGGCATCTTGTGATTCCGAACAAGCAGGTGCCATCAGCCTGCCTATTTCTGCGGTGAAGCAATAATGCGTCTCGGTTTGTAGGGTGGGGCAGTCGTTGTTTTTTTTTTTTTTTTATTGCTTAGATGTGTGGACGAGCTCACAGCCCACCTGATGTTAAGTGGTTACTGGAGCCCATAGACATCTACAACGTAAATGCGCCACACACCTTGAGATATAGTTCTCAGGTCTCAGTATAGTCACAACGGCTGCCCCACCCTTCAAACCGAAACGCATTACTGCTTCACGGCAGAAATAGGCGGGGCGGTGGTACCTACCCGTGCGGACTCACAAGAGGTCCTACCACCAGTAATTACGCAAATTATAATTTTGCGGGTTTCATTTTTATTACACGATGTTATTCCTTCACCGTGGAAGTCAATCGTGAACATTTGTTGAGTACGTATTTCATTAGAAAAATTGGTACCCGCCTGCGGGATTCGAACACCGGTGCATCGCTCAACACGAATGCACCGGACGTTTTATCCGTTAGGCCACGACGACTTCAAAATTGTAAAAATTGTACTGTAAAAATTGTGACTTAGAACTCATATATGTCTGTCAAGGTGTGTAGTCAGAGCAGTCGCGGTCGTCGGCCAGTGTCATTGCTGTGGGCAGATGTTATGCGCTTCATGAACAATCACCTCTTTTCCCGGTTTATGGTGAGTCTGGTACGCTCATGTAAATAACCTCCAGTTACTGAATTGACCTGGTCAGTCCATAGCTTGGCCGATCTTCCATGTAGTCTGATGCCTTCTACTTTGCCCTGAACGACAAGCGTTGTTTATTTTTATGTTTGTAACACCAGGTAATCTGTGAGGTTGTTTCAGAGGCCATACAATAAAATCGTCGTTACAAGAGCAAACCGTTTCGAAGAATCGTGCGTCATTTGTTTTCGACTGTGCCTAATATTTTGTTGTTTCAAATCAGTGTGCTTAGTGAGAGTTTCTTAACGTTCTCGATAGCGTAAAAGTTAAGTCAATTTTGTATGCAATTGGAACAGCGCGTCTAGCGGCAAACGTACGCAATTTTTTTCCTATCTAAGCTGATAGCCCAGCGTAGCCTTTACTAGTAGGTGAGCTCACGGGGCTCAAACCTGATGACGTTGCTAACACGGACCCTAGCAAGAGCCGTGCTTCGCAGAATCTACCACCGGATCGGAAACGCGACCCACTGAGAAGATCCGTCGAGAAACTCAGTGGGCTGTGTCTGAGGGTGCGTACGCAAACGATCCCATTCCATACAAAAATATGAGCTAACTTTTACGCTATCGACAACGTTAAAAAACTCGCACTAAGCACACTGTTCTCGATTGACGTGTCGCCGTCACTTGTTGCGACAACCGCCCTTCAACTGGTTTCGTCCGTCAATATCGAACAATTCAGCTACGATCCACCCCTGGACCGCTGTTCACACGCGTGAATAAGTGAATAAGCTCCCTGCACTACTACATCTGTCGAGCCGGCACCCGTAAATCCAGTTGATGTTACCACGGTACGTTTTCTTGGTATATTCATTGTTTTGAACGACTTCAAAGGCTGCCAGTTAGGGGACTTTACACATTCTAGATACAGCAAGTCGATAATATATACTTAAAAACAAGACAAAAAGAAAATTACACTTTGACTGTCTCACCTATTGTTAATTGTTTAAACCCTTAAACTATGACTAGCTTTTGCCCGCGACTTCGTCCGCGTGGAATAGTTAGTTTGGCATAACGCTAAATTTTACCCGCCTCTTCATTTACGTAGAATATCATCTTTATAAAAACACCTTCACAAATAATGCTTTATTTTAGAACAAATTTGGTTAGCATAAAAAACGTTATAGAGAGCCAACCTTAACATATATAATATAATAAATATATTTTAAAGGGGAACAATTCTCTCGTACATTATTTTCGCGAAACTAACCGTTTCTGCAGCGGAAGCTCTCAAAAGGGAAAAATAACCCCAATTTTGAAACATTGTTTATTGGTACTCCGCTTGTATTGGTCTTAGCGTGATGTTATATAGCCTATAGCCTTCCCCGATAAATAGGCTATCTAACACTGAAAGAATTTTTCAAATCGGACCAATAAGTAGTTCCTGAGATTAGCGCGTTCAAACAAACAAAGTCTTCAACTTTATAATATTAGTATAGACGTTCATGATTCCCGTGTGCCTATTGCAGCTATAGTTTCAAAACAACTACATATATACTTAAAGATACCCCATCAACGGATAATTAAGTTTTCCAAGCGCATAAACAATTCTTTAACATAAGATTAATGTGTGACATTCCCGATCGACAATTAAAGACAGACAGACACTCAAACTTGTATTCGTCCTTAGGCGTTAGACTTATAAAACTATTTCCAAATTGAAACGGCTTTAAATCCATATTGAATATTTGCGGGACATTCACTAATTATTTTGAATTATATATTAGTAGACTTTTCATTAAATTGGTTTCGAAAAAAGTATAATTTATAATAATCTTAATATCGTTGCTCTTTGATATTGTTTAATGTACAAAAAGACTAAATTTAGTGAATACTTATATTTACGAAGGTATAATTAACAACCAAAATACGATTTCGTATTTATTTACAGAGCATATAAAATTCAATACTTTCATTCCTATCCATAGTAACGGCATATCCTTCGATAAACCATACGATCTGTAGCCCACATTGAGATCTCCAGTAAAAGCGATCGCAGCGCCAAAATGGATTTAAATAAACAATCAAATTAAGCAATCTCTAATCACAGAATCACAAATTGAACAGAAAAAAAAAACCGTTTACCTAGCTGCGACGTTTGGTCCATTGTGCGGCTTAGTTGTGCGCGAATACAGGCATGACAGATCGTGGCGGGAATCCGTGCGAGATTGGCAACGTGCGTCGCGGGTCACCTCTGAGAACTTACTGCGGAGTTGGGGTCGGAGTGGTCGCGACCCGCCCAGCGGAGCGGGATGGGGCTGCTTCAATGAATATGTACAAGGGCTTTAGCGTACAACAAGAGAGATGCGAATATTGAGTGTCAAGGTGAGATGATGCGGCTCAACGTTTTCTCGTGAGGTTTTTATTTATTATAAACCAGCTGACCCGGCAGACATCATAGTGCCTCAATCGATGAATAAAAGACCTAAAATTTGTATAAAATAAACTTAAAACAAACAAAAGGAATCCGTCCGACGGGGGACACATCAAAGGAAAAACAAAATTGTTTTAGTTCCAAGCATTTTCATTCATTTACCTTTTAAACCTTCCCTGGACTTCCACGAATAATTCAAGACCAAAATTAGTCAAATCGGTATTAGTAACACTAACGAACAGCAATTCATTTTTATACATAGAGATATAGGTTTCGTTTTCGAGACCCGCGTCGGCTTATCGCATACCAAAAAAATATTCTAAGGAAATTATTCAAATTGTTTCATGACCGCTTTCTCGTATTTCGAGGTCAGGCTTCCGAATAAATTAGGGAACCACTGCGGTCATGAGATAGACATATTATTGCATTGTTCAAGACCGAACGGAAGCTCAAATTCCGTGCAACATGTATAGCCGTGGTATAGCCTAACATCGTAGATGTGGAAGAGTGTGGATGAGACGTTCAGACACATCAGTGTGCTGTGGCTCTATGACTAGTAGCTCTAATTCTCGAGACATTAATTGAACTTGTCATTACTAAGTCTAGCCTACTTTAGGAAAAACCCGATAAGGGGGGGAGTTGAATGGAAAACACGCGGTAATGACTCAACGTGTTTTAAATTATAAGTACCGTACAGAGTAGAAATGGCATATTTTTCTTTAAGTTGAAGTGAAAGGATGAGTGAAAGGTTCCAGGAGTCCAGGAGTCCATACACATCAGTAAGTCAGTTTCAATTGTTTGATCCGAATTATCAATTTAGTGATAGTTTTGCTAGTGTCGTACTGAAACAAGAACCGATTATAAACACCTTTTTTTATTGGTAACTTTGAAGCTCTTTAATAGCTATTAGGAAAAAGGGAGTTGAGAAAAGAGGCTATTTTGTCTTTCCGTTTACTTAATAAACATATATTTTACATATATTATAATGTAATAATTTTTTTATTTTTATTATATTAATTGTCAATTAAAACAAGTCTAATGTTTGATATAGTAAGTGCCTGAACCAACCCACTGAGTTTCTCGCCAGATCTTCTCAGTGGGTCGCGATTCTGATCCGGTAGTAGATTCAGCGAAGCACTGCTCTTGCTAGGGCTAGTGTTAGCAATTCTCTCAGTTTGAGCCTATAAGCTCACCTACCCGTCTGCTAGTAGTTAGCCCCGTAGGCTACCAACGATTAGGTAGGGAAAACAAATCCCTGAACAACATTTAAAACTGGTGTGTTAAATTCGTCTACGTGTTTTTCTAATGAAATACGTACTCAACAAATTTAATGTTCACGATTGACTTCCACGGTGAAGGAATAACACCGTGCAATAAAAATCAAACCCGCAAAATTATAATTTGCGTAATTACTGGTGGTAGGACCTCTTGTGAGTCCGCACGGGTAGGTACCACCGCCCCGCCTATTTCTGCCGTGAAGCAGTAATGCGTTTCGGTTTGAAGGGTGGGGCAGCCGTTGTGACTATACTGAGACCTTAGAACTATATCTCAAGGTGTGTGGCGCATTTACGTTATAGATGTCTATGGGCTCCAGTAACCACTTAACACCAGGTGGGCTGTGAGCTCGTCCACACATCTAAGCAATAAAAAAAAAATAAAAAAAAAAAAATTCTTATATAATTTGAATTTATATAAAGTACTATTTATTGTACAAATAAAACTTAAAATGGTTTACTGGTTGGGAATAAAGGTCAAGTGTTATATGAAAGAGATATTGCTATTAAGATAATGATAGGGACTCTGATAAGCCGATCTAACTATCCACCGTTGAGTGTCACTTCAAAAACTTGCTGTTTTAGTAATACAGCGCCATCTGTCCACGAATACGAAATTTGATTTACAACCACAAAGAAAATTATTGTTTTCGTTTCGTAAAGTACCACTAGATGGCACTGTTTTTAAAAATTTTAAAATATTTTTTTCTAACAATCCCAATATAGAATGCCAATTAAAATATGCAAAACGCATTAATGATGCAAAATTCTAACATTTAGTGTCGTTGTTTTTGCCTTTTTAAAACGAACGAGGTCAGAGATTCCTGAGCTGACACTGTTCTGCCCGGCTGTTATCATTATCATTGGTTACCTACCGTTTTGCTTTGCTTTATAGGCTTTGAACGTATTAATATGTAGGTCGTATTTTATGCTTATTAATGCTATTCGCCAATAGAAGAGGTACAAGGTAGATCATGTATTAGCACGCACCTGTCAGACTGGTACTAGTTGTAGGACCTCTTTTGAGTCCGCACGGGTAGGTGTCACCGCCCCGCCTATTTCTGCCGTGAAGCAGTAATGCGTTTCGGTTTGAAGGGTGGGGCAGCCGTTGTGACTATACTGAGACCTTAGAACTATATCTCAAGGTGTGTGGCGCATTTACGTTATAGATGTCTATGGGCTCCAGTAACCACTTAACACCAGGTGGGCTGTGAGCTCGTCCACACATCTAAGCAATAAAAAAAAAATAAAAAAAAAAAAATTCTTATATAATTTGAATTTATATAAAGTACTATTTATTGTACAAATAAAACTTAAAATGGTTTACTGGTTGGGAATAAAGGTCAAGTGTTATATGAAAGAGATATTGCTATTAAGATAATGATAGGGACTCTGATAAGCCGATCTAACTATCCACCGTTGAGTGTCACTTCAAAAACTTGCTGTTTTAGTAATACAGCGCCATCTGTCCACGAATACGAAATTTGATTTACAACCACAAAGAAAATTATTGTTTTCGTTTCGTAAAGTACCACTAGATGGCACTGTTTTTAAAAATTTTAAAATATTTTTTTCTAACAATCCCAATATAGAATGCCAATTAAAATATGCAAAACGCATTAATGATGCAAAATTCTAACATTTAGTGTCGTTGTTTTTGCCTTTTTAAAACGAACGAGGTCAGAGATTCCTGAGCTGACACTGTTCTGCCCGGCTGTTATCATTATCATTGGTTACCTACCGTTTTGCTTTGCTTTATAGGCTTTGAACGTATTAATATGTAGGTCGTATTTTATGCTTATTAATGCTATTCGCCAATAGAAGAGGTACAAGGTAGATCATGTATTAGCACGCACCTGTCAGACTGGTACTAGTTGTAGGACCTCTTTTGAGTCCGCACGGGTAGGTGTCACCGCCCCGCCTATTTCTGCCGTGAAGCGGTGATGCGTTTCGGCTTGAAGGGTGGGGCGGCTGTTGTAACTATACTGCGACCTTGAAACTTGTATCTCGGGGTGGGTGGCACATTTGCGTTGTAGATGTCTATGGGCTCCAGTAACTACTTGACACCAGGTGGGCTGTGAGCTCGTCCACCCATCTACCTTCCTTCACCTTTTCCTGTCATTGTAGTTGTATATAGTTCCTGCATTCCGGAAGCCGTTCGTGAACATTTATTAAATATGTAGTATGTAATTCGTATAAAAAATTATCATCACTATATTATAATATCGGCACTAGTATCACATAATTGACCCGTGAATTTCCTTGAGAGATTATGACTAGCAATTAATTGACGTGTAGTTCGAATTTATTGGGCTTAATTAAATGATGTTTCAGATTAAAATTCGTCACGTTGCTGTTTGCTTCAAATTTTAATTTCAGATTACCAGAAGCAATGATTTCATTATAAAAAAATTATAATTGTTTTGCGAATTTGTAAAAGATGTAGGTGCTCATGCGAACTTCAATAAAAAAATACAAAATTAAACAAAAAATACGGTTTAATAAAAGTCGATACTAATTTTTTTCCCATACCTATGCGCTTTTAGTCTAAGAGGCTATCGGGTGAGTGATCTCACAGGCTCAACCTGAGAGAATTTGCTAACACTAGCACCAGCAAGAGCTTCATAAAATCTATCACCAGATCGGAATCGCGATCCACTAAAAAGATCTGGCGAGAAACTCAGTCGTCTTCTTCTATATCGTTCCTTCACTGCTGAGGATCGCGACCACATGTGACAATCCTCCACTGTGTTCGATCATGGGTGGCAAGGACCGCATGGTACAGACTACCACCAAGTGCTTCCCTTACTAGATCTGACCATCTGGCTGGTGTTCTGTCCACGGTGCCCTTGCCCTCTATGTGACCCGCAATTATAGACTTCTCTAATTCATGTTTTTTTTATTGCTTAGATGGGTGGACGAGCTCACAGCCCATCTGGTTTTAAGTGGTTACTGGAGCCCATAGACATCTACAGCGTAAATGCGCCACCCACCTTGAGATATAAGTTCTAAGGTGTCAGTTTAGTTACAACGGCTGCCCCGCCCTTCGAACCGAAACGCATTACTGCTTGCCGGTAGAAATAGGCTGGGTGGTGGTATCTACCCGTGCGGACTCACAAGAGGTCCTGCCACCAGTGAATGTCTGGGAGACCGAAAAATTGGAGTTATCTTTTACGCGTTCGAATAGTTAAAAAACTCGCACTAAGCACACAGGACATTCATACGCATAGCAAATTATCAGCAAGTGAAAGACGCGAGACACGTAGTCAGATCCTTAATAAGGATACACTCACTTCTTCGAGCGTGTCCTAGATAGATATTGTCGTGAACAAACCGTTGAGTCCCGCACAAAGACTTCCATTGTAATGTACTCGCGAATCATGTGACCGCGCAATTTAATGACCCTTACTAAGATAGGCAGATTAATTCACTGATGTCTACTGATAGAATAATATAAAAACCAGAAATACTGCTTTGGGACATTTTCAGCGTATTGATACGCGAAACAATCGTGCAGTCTGAAATGTGGGGGAAATCGTATCACAATAATAATTAAG